CCAAGCAAGATTTTCCTGTTCCTTGAAAAAGGAATGGGATCGGTGAACAGGTTCAACCTATTTAAACACCCCTCCCTACAAGGGACATTTAACAATTAATGAGAGTAAATTGTACATAAGATAATAGATTAAGATTAATTGTACCTACTGTTGCAAATATTATGATGATATACAAGTCACTCACAAATACATAAATGCACACATACATATATCGGTACATAAACAAACAGCATACCAGCGTATCACACATACAAACAACTATTAGATCGATGTAATCGTTTAGAAGACATATTAAGATTTTTAATCTTTTAGATTTTGCAATGAACAAATGGACAGATTGTACAATAGCAAGGTTAGTATCAGTAGATGTTGTAGCATTTCCATATAAAACTGAATCCAAGTCATATCCCTTTATATAGTAGTACATATTGTTCCGAAGATTGCAGTAGTTGCGACATGAAAAGAAGTAATGTGTAGGATCCTCATAATGATATCCACAGGAGCAGGTAGTAGAATCATGAATATGTCTATGATATGTGTGTGCATTTAAATCACTGCATCCTAATCTGAGGCTGCAATGGATAATTTGACAGAAACGGGTACCATAGTTTAAGTTAAAGCTAAATATCTTAGGATTTTCTGTCGTGGTGATACATTTAGTGAAGTCATTTACAGTATATTTTGACTGAACATTTTCCAGTAATTCATTCCACATTTGCACTGTGTCGGGTAAAAATGATTTGTGATAGTTAACTGTTCTAGCATTTACAGTCTGTAGCTGTGAAGAAGTTCTTAAATTGTAACGTGCGCCCGCTGAGACATTAGGAGGAACAAGATTACATAGATATTCAGGGGCCAACTTGTTAACCATTTTGTAAAATGTTTTTAATTTATGAGATTGCCGTCTTTTGGATAAGGATGTAAGGTTAGTTTCAGAGTATAGAGACTCGTGGTTGGTACCACGAGTAGCTCTACATATTGTTCTCAGTGCGTCAAAATTTAGCCTTTCCAATACCAATATATATTCTATAACGTTTTCCTGGACAGGCGGTATTTGAAAGTTCTAAAGCAGTTAATCATTACTTTATCTACCATATTATCTATATGATTTGACCAAGTAGCCATCTTGCAGTAAAATTAGCCCTAGGTGTTTGTGCGATGAGACCTCTGTTATTGGAGTATCTTTCATTTTAAGAACAGGTTTGTGACTCGGGTTAATTTTTCTTGAAAACATTATGGTTTCAGTTTTGTGTTGATTAAACGGGACTTGCCATTTATTCGCCCATACGGATATCCTTCCTAGATCAACATTTAAATTAATCGCTGCTGTGTTAGGATCATCGACAATAATATAAAGTGACGTATCAACCAGGTCATTTATAGAGATAAAATATAAAAATGGCCCTAGGACCGATCCCTGTCGAATACCTGCCGTGATAGATTTTAACCTTGATTCTTTACCATTAATAACCACTTTTTGTATTCTGTTTGATAGATAGCTGTCAAACAATTTCAACAATTTTCCTCGAATTCCACATGAAGATAACTTATAAAGTAATCCTTCATGCTTAACTTTATCAAAGGCCTTGCTAATGTCACAAAACACTGCCCTTACTTCTGTTCCATTGTCTAGAGCCTTTGAAATAAATTATACAGATCTTATAATTGGTAGCTTGTGGAATCGCCTGGTATAAAGCCTGACTGGAGATTGCTCAGAATACTGTTGTCATTGAAGAAGTTAAACACATGTTCATGGATACATTTTTCAAATACTTCTGCCAAACAACTTGTTCGTGCGATTGGTCTAAAATAACCCAATGTGGGTTCGAAGAGCTTCCTCACCCTCCTTACTCGCCAGACCTGGCACCAAGTGACTTCCACCTGTTTCATGAACTGAAAGAACACCTTCGTGGAATGCGCTGTAACGACGTGGAGGACAATTCCAAATTTGACGCATCAGTGACAAACATTATGTCCAATGCAATTCCCTATTCTGACTTGTACCATGTGTTCCCGTGTGTTTTTTTCAGGTGAACAATTGACTTACCTTTGCATTTGTTTTTGACGGGATATATATAGTTGGATCCTACATCATATAACCTTCTTCTGAGAATATGGGATTTTTTTAAAGATCTTTAAAATAAAAATATTAATGCTTTAAAATATTACATTCGTGCCACAATGTTCCCTCAAGTGTTCATTAATCGTTGGAATATCACATCACATTTGTCTTGTATACACTATACGTATATACCAAATGTCAGAACAATCAAACCTGGTTCATTAATTAACACAAACAAACAATATTTACTAGCACATTTAACTTTTATCAGTATATGTTATTTTCGCTTCAGAGTTGTTCACATCATACATGTATATTGTGTTATTTTTGCCACACTGAACTGATCATTCTAAACATAATGTAGAAACTGTGTGTCATGCTGTTTTTTGTTTCATAAACACTGCGTTATTACGTATGCCAGCAATATATCGACAGAATACGTCTACATTTAGATGCACCAGATTACACGTTTACATTGTACTCATATGGGACATGAAATCCAATTTAGCGCGACAGAATAATGCTTCAACTACCGCCCCACACATTCACAAAAGCATTCAATATCTAGAGAAAACGCAAAGTTTATTTGTCTAACCCTTGTTTACAGTTTAATAGACAATATGTGAAATATGTTATGTGACATGTGTGACTGAGTATAATAACCTGATCCTGGTATCATACTAAACAGGGCAAAACGGGGAAAATCGTGAAAGATGTATTTGCATAATCAAAACATATCACAATACAGGTAGCTAAGTCATCAGTTATAACATTGTGGCCACGTGACCAAACATGCAGTGAAAAGGGTATGTCAAGGTGTAGGAAACCATGGATGCATTGAAGATAATTAATTACATTACACCTTAATTTCCAACGATTACAAGATATTTAGCTGTCTTCATGTCTTGATTGTAATACCCCGTACAGAATGCGAAAAACGTGTTTGACTTCTAATATTTGAGGATCTACTAACACAAGGTGTCACCCACGGAAAGACCCATATTTAATAGTAGGTTTTCATATACACTACACTGGAATTGAGGACATATGTGCAGATGCGTATGTAATAATCAGTTTTGTAGTAGTAATGCACTTCAAATTGTTGTCGACTTTAACCGCGTGGCCACACTTATAAGGGCGTCGCTCCATACATGTATGTGTTGTGAACCAAGTACAATATGCCATTTGATATGATCGACCAGTGTCAAGTGACATTTATCAAACCACTGCATAAGTATATGCATGAGCATATAAGTAGATTTATTCAGATACGAGACACCACGCAAATTAATAATAAATCCATCTTTCATAGCTTCTTTGACAGGCATTTAGAAGTTGAAGTACAAAGTAAGGATAAGAATTTATGGATGAACAACTTCTTAATTACAATTAAGAGCGACGTTTCGGTGTAGGTTCTAACACCGTTATCAAGCAAGTGAAACGTCGCTTTTAATTGTAACAAAGAAGTTGTTCATCCATAAATTCTTATCCTTACTTCCAACTTTCATGTAAATTTTTTTTATTTAATGAGAGGATTATTATAGCAGGAATATTTTACCAACAGGTGTTTACATGTATTTATCAAACATTACAATTTATCAATTCCTTCACAGTGTAGTATTATAGTAAAGATTGGACATTTACATGTATGAAGAGTATGGCCGCGGTGTTATAGTTCCATAAAACCTTTAATTAGTACCACAGAACAACAAAATAGTTTTAGTAGGAATCCGAGAACATCCGAACTTATCCGCTGATTATTCGCAGTTTTACTGCAGAACACGATAACAAACTTGTACGTTGTTGTGTAATGTCGGCGCTTTGATATCTTTGCAAAGCATTTATACGGTGTCACAAAGCCTTCACGATAGTGTGTGTAAGGCCTCTATTTATTGTGGAGGGTTGTTATAGGCTGCGTTCAAACTTATAGTAGGGTTCCCTACTTCATAGCAGGATCAAATTAAACCCACACTCGCGTCACTGCGAATGCCTGGGTGGATGCCCGACAGCAGGCAATGTCAAAAGGGTTACACAACTTTACAATTGCTTACTGATTTGGGCGAATTGAGTTGTCGGGTAGACGTTGCTGTATTCTTTCGTTGATTTATATGCTCGTCTAGTATCATCATCATTAAAGGGGTATAACCTGCTGTAAAATATCTGGGTTTTCAGTGATCCATTCATATTTATTTAATCACGATTTTACCTTTCACTTAATTTTTTTTGCGTCAGATACTCGAGACGTTGATGTTATAGATTTACATACATACAGTGTAAAATATGATCTTTGCACCATTTTATAAACATTCCCCGCAACGTCGCCATTTGAAGTAATTTAAAGTGAACATATTGTCAGTAAATGCTCTATCGTGTGACTGGATTGTCTGGTTAAGACTTCCCATAGCAAGGTAGTCCGGCGAAAAAACCTCTATCACCCAAACCCTCTTTGCTGCATTTTGTTTTTAATCTTTAAATAATAAAAATAATAAAAATAATAAAAATAATAATAATAAAATAAAATAAATAATTATAATAATAATAATGGGATGCATATAGGCTGTGAAAGCTGGGTAGGGTGTGAATATGAAACCCGGGTGCCTGTTTTGATACTGTATATATGACCTGGGGTCTGTATGAAAGACAAGGTCATCAGTCAAATCCCAGCTCCCATGCAAATGTATAAGAACGCCACCCACATATCTATTCCAAGATGGCGGACTCAATATGTTCACTGAGAGAGTCTATATATAGACTCCCTGGTTTGCTGTAGACAATTCCCAGTCTTAGTGGTCCCAAGTGCTGTGTTAAAGACGTAGGCTGTTAATAGATAGCCACGCCAATATCTATCCGTATGTTTACACACTGCATTAATTAAATCCTCAATAAAATTATGATAATGATTGGGCCCCGCCTCGCTCTACACCTGATTGTACAAGCCGGATCGCGCCAGGGTACAATAAAGGACTGGTGCAAGGCAGACATTGAACGTTATCAGCTCAGGCGTTTATGAAAAAGGACCAAAAGGCCTAAAGCAACACGCCTATCCCGTATTTACAAAGCAAATTTCGCAAGACGTCCTGGCTAAAAGCAAACGCGCAGCCCACGTGATACAGAATACTGCTGGACCCACACCTGTCACCATGGGCCGAGATTACTGGCGGTTCGTGTTCACCTGTGTGCTGGGTTTCCTCAACCTTCCATTAACGTCAGGTAATCTCATACGTATTATCACCATCTGCCTTCCAGGACAACCGGTGTAATATTTACCGGCATGTAACCGTCTGACCGCCCATGGCAGGTTAGGTACGAGGTTTACTGGATGTACAGTCTTCGACAAACGAATAGTGAGACTGTGGGATATTTATAAATATGTCGGTCAGGCGTAGGAGTGATGATCAATGGATGATGTGATGCGTACAACTATGGCCTATTTTTTATGTAGGGATCTGCCAAGTGAGCGACTATACTGGATTATAGTATATAGTGTGTACCGTAGTTGATGCAATTTATCCCTCTTCTACTCTAAAGCTTACAATGTATAGAATATAGTAAGGTTTTTTTTATGTATATATGATATGTCTAAGCTGTTAACTTTTATAATTTTTCATTCTTTCAAAATCATGTGGGTAATATATTGTACGCTTTAGCGTTATTTAAAGTAGCGTATACATCAGTGTATAAATTTGTTAAGGGGCATTTTATATTCAGTGATGGAAAACGGGGAGATGAGGAGAGGGGATGAAGATTTTTTGTTGGAGTCTTTATTTATTTGCTTCAAAACATCCAGTTAATTTTTTACAACCCATTTTTTCAACTCTATAGTTGTTGGCAAAAATATATAATAGAAATGCCCATAAATTATATATAAAGATCGCTCTTAAATACATACATACATACATACATACATACATACATACATACATACATACATACATACATACATACATACATACATAATAATTAGTAATAATAAGTAATAATTTCAATATGAAACCTAACACATCCTATTGTACAATATTCCTGCAGAAATAAAACATGCGTCCATTTTCCTACTGTGGTGAAACCTACAACATAGATTAGTTGTTAAATACCACTGTCAAGGCGATGTTCCCCTTCGTGTACGCCCGAACGCCTTCTTACTCAAATACTTGACTGTACATATGCTTGTGACGAGTTGAAACGTTCATCCTCACGCGAGCATATTGTCATGCTTATAACAGAGTCGAAATCGTACAATGGACCCCCCTTTTGGCAATGATTGTAGAATAGTTTTGTCGCTTTTATTCCCTATGTGTGAGCAGACAAAGGTTCGGTATGCAACTTATAACAATCATCTTGTTATATTTAATGCAATGATTTGGGATTCCTGATTGGAAGAAGGTGCCAGGTTCGTCGCGAATGATGACTTTCATTTATTTAATATATACATGCCACCTAGCGAAATTTAACTCTGCTTATTCATTCAAATTACATATACTTATATGTATACTTATGTATCTCCAGAAAAGCTTATGTTGCTTTAAAATATTAAATTCCTTCGAAATTAAGATACTATTTTTCAAAGTATTACATACAGGAATGGGATAATTAATTATATGAACTAAATAACTTTACAGTAAACTAATAATTTCCCCCTTAATTAAACGTGAATGTGATTGTTATGCCCTTTAGCTATCTTACGCTTTAAGTCAGTTTGTGGGAATTTATTTAACAGTTTATTCCTCGATTGATATCTATCACTTGATGTGAACAGGTAAATTGGATAACTTGATCCGTTAATTAATTGTAGCCGGTGTAACTGATAGGGAAGGGCATGCTTAAACTTTTCGCGAACAACTGGTATCATCACTGCTTCAAAGATCCATTCAATATTTACCACTATTCTGCCTTTTCCTCCCAATGGAATGTGTTTTGTCCGATAATCGAGACTGTTTATTCTCTTCCTTTGACGTTCTATATTCATATTGTGGGACCGCGGACATGGTAGAGGATTTCATTATTGTCACAATAATATGTTTTCACAATCTGTTACCCATGTAATCAGAAACAAGAGAGAATTTATTATTGAATAGGTAAACTAGGCTACATGCCACGTCAACTCAACGCTAGAGAATAATCAGTCTCGATAATCTACCGAAACAGATTCCACTGGGCGTAAGGTGAGGTGAGGTGAAATTGGGTTTAACGTCGCGTCCAAGATTATTGCACTTATATAGCGACGTGCATGCACGTGTATGTGTGTGTGTGGCTGCTTGTACTAGTCCGGACTGATGCCGATTTATAGTGCTAGCTCACTGAGATACCATGCCGCAGTTTAACATGAATACCCCACTCAGACACAGTATACTGACTCCGAGCCGACCAGTCCTTGTTTTAGCCCCTTAATGCCGAGCGCCAGACAGGGTAACAACAAGTACAATCTTTTAACGTCTTTTTGTATGACGCGGCCCGGGATCGAACCCTGGACCTTCCGCTCTCCGGGCGGACGCTCTACCACAAGACCACGGAGGCGGTCCACTGGGCGTAAGAGGAAAAATAGTGGTGAAATTTATATGTATGAGTCACTTGAAATCAAAACACCTTCATGGAGAAGACGCTGACAATACGGTGATGAAACCGCGATGACAAATAAACAAGTCTATTCTACATACCGTCATAATGTTTATAGCAATATTTGTAATCGGGCCATATTTTATTCGGTTCGAGAGGGGTGCTGTGATTAATGTTAGAGACAGGATATCGATTCGGTCACTTCTCGAAACATACAATGTTCTCTCTGAAGTGGGAGCCAAAGAAATTTCTTTTCTTCGTTGCTTTTTGTAATTGACACGGGTATTGATAAATACTGTAACGGTTAAGAGACTGTGAATATAGGTTTTTGTGATAACCTGATTTCTTATAAAAAGTAAGCTGATTTGAGCTCACTGCAGCATCATTGTCAATCAAAACGTAAAAAACATGGTTGCTATGTTCACAAGTAAAATTGTGGCATATCTAATTCTCAACTTTTGGTTGACTGTTATCGTTTTTTACTATGTAAATGATAGGTAGTCTTATGATATGGGTAGTTTTATTTACATCAGCACTTTTATCTTCTTTTGTATTTACATAACAGCTACACCATGCGGTGTGCTAACTGCAACGACTGAAAAGAAGCTCCTTACCTCAGAAGGGTATCCTATCAAATATGAACCGTAAGTATTTTTTAAATGAATGAATTTACACATTGAAAAACTATAGAATCCAAGAAGAGACATCGCCCTTTATATCCAACAGAACCATGTTGTGTGTTATATGGAAGACACTGCCTTGTGTTCGTGCCTTTACAATGTTACGAGACAACTACTGCTGTCTGCAAGCTAATTGTATAATAAATTACACAGGATATCTTCACGTCGATACGTATTTTTGGGACAATGAGATTAATCAAGGAAGCGTATGTTCATGTGGTATGGTGAAGAACCACGTTATCAATTCACAAATATACTCAACAACAAAAGTTCCCGTGACACCAATATTTTGGTGTATTTTTCAAACAAGTAAAGTTTGGTTTTCAATATTGTAGTATATGTATGGAATCAAGTCACACAAACGCAACTGCTACCGAAAAGCATGCCTTCCATGCAAAAGTTTACTTTTATGCAAGCCCAATGCATTTCACTACCAAAGAATGGGTATAAAAAAACTTGTGCGTTAACGGGATTCCATATGCATTGTTTAGCATTACGCAATTATTCAACATTACGAAATGCCACGCCTGTCCGAAAATGAGCGCCTGCGAGCCATTGGTATGCTTGAAGCAGGATCGAGTCAACGTGTTGTTACAAGACAATTTAACGTCCACAGAAACACCATTTTTTTTATGGTAGACATGTGGAGGAGGACATTTTCAAATTTGACGTATCAATGGCCAAAAGAACGCCAAATGCAATTCCCTATTCTTATGCATATAATGACACATATACTTGTAAATAGCTACAGTGCCCCTAACTAAATATCCGTTGATGAATGTGCATTTCAAATTCAGACTGGTTGCGAATTAAGCGAACTTTACACTACACAGCATATGGACAATCATTTGCACCGTAGAGTAATAACTAAGCATGCAGGAAATAAAATATACATAATTACAAAATTATTTTAGTCACACTATCTATAAGCAAATATTCAATAAATATCGACAACATGGTAATTCAAATGGGTCATACACAAAAGTCGCCACAATATGCTTCATTGAAAAGTCTATTCCACTAACTAATAGTTACAATTTCAGTTCACAAACATGCTCGTGGAGTCTCCAGGCATCTAACGCTTCCAAGAATGTAATTCTAGAAACAGTGGACATGATGATACAACCCTCAACTGCTTGTGTTGATGATTCAGTCAGCATATATGACGGTAAGATCAGTATACCCCGTGGGGATCCAGGGATCCTACATGTAGTATGCTGCTCGTAAGAGGCGACCAAATGGATCGGGTGGTTAGGCTCGGTGTCCTCGTACCATGACGGCGTGGTTTACGGGTCACGATATCGATTACTGGGTTATCTGGTCCAGACTCGCAACTTAACAGACCACCGTCAGACAGCTGGAAATTACTACACTCATATGTCTTCTATATTAGATGTCTCGTATGTATCTAAACATGAGCGTAAAAACACAATGAGTATGTGCCAGAAACTGACGTCATTACCTTTCGCTAAATTGACAAATTGACTGATAAAATTGAGCATTATGCTAAAATTAACTATTGTGTCTTTGGACCATTACCCAAGTACAGTGAATGAGTTAGCGATTGTTGATCAACACTATTACCGTCATTATACGTCGGTTTTAAACAATGATGTTTTCATCATTTTATGTGAAGACAAGAAAGGATTATATACAGTGAGTGTTAACAAAGTGTTATATAACGAGGCAGTCAGTAATATAACAGCTATATTCTTGTTACATGTACAAATGTCTTCACATTACAAGCTCTAACTGTAACGCATATACATTGTTTGTAGTTCTTATATGCTCTGCAATAGAGAAATCACTCACCGCGTGTGATTCCGAAACGACGACATAAAATTAAAGCATTTATAATAATCAATAAAAAATTATGTTTTAATTGGACATCGTCGTATATTTCAGCATTATTATTAATAAATCATTGAGTACTTTGTTCTCAATTTTATTTTTTAAAATTTTATTATTGTGGTAGCTTATATTTATGTATTCCCCCTGTGCTTCCATGTGTTATGCGTTGAAAGTAACATTATTGATTTTGAAATATGTATTATATAATTTCACTACATGTACAGGTGACTCCAACTCTGCCACTAAGCTACACACGTTATGTGGAGTGGATAGCCTTGTGACAATAATGAATGAAGCGTGTTTACAAAATCGTATCGAAAGTACTTATTTTTAAATGTTCAAAAGAAGACAAACGACGACATAAAATAAAAGCATTCAATATTATAATGATGTTTTAACTGGACATCGTCGTATATTTCAACATTATTATAATCATTGTTTACTAATTTCTCACTTTTATTTTCAAAATGTTAGTATGGTTGCAGCTTGTATTTATGTATTCCCCCGATACTTCCATGTGTTATGCGTTGAAAGTAACATTATTGATATTTAAATGTACATATTATAATTATAATTTCACTACAGGTGACTCCAACTCTAGCACTAAGCTACACACGTTATGTGGAGACAGTCGTGTGTTTTTGACCTCATCTGGACGAAACATGTACCTTGAATTTCGTTCCAACAGCATTCTTGAGACGAGAGGCTTCCAGTTCCGATACTACCAGGGAGACAGTATGTAATTCCAAAGTCATTATCAGCCATTAAATATACGCTGCTCAAATGTTCAGAATACCATGTCAGGTCTTATGGCAAACGTTCACCCATAGGTGCAGACAGTTAACTCTTGACGAATATATATTGCGTCGACTGTTGCGATCCACATTTGAACCCTTGAACAATTTATGTTATTGTTCATGACATGGGAATCACACAATGTATGATTAAATGCCTATTTCATTGATAGGTTAATGTTCCTTGACGATATAGTATTGATTCAATATAATCATTACGCCAATACTTCTCTGCTCATGTAGAGAAATATAAAGGTTTTTTCATAATCACAAAACCCCTTTTGGATGTAAATGAGAACTTCGGTCCCGAACAGTCTATATTTTCATTTTATCCCATTGTGATTGATTCTAAACATAAAACTCTAAATGTACCCTATTTTTCGTTGAAGCTTCAATAGTTCTGATGTTTAATATGGTTGAAAATCCCAAACAGGCTTTCTAAATATTTTTTAAAAATCTTAATTTAAAGAAATTAACAATTTCACAATCAAATCAATTGTTCTTCACGCAGTAAAATGAATGGTCATTTTCATTAACCATAAAAGATGAAATGCTGTTTGAAAGTGAAGGAAAATTTAACTTTGAACTGATAACCCATCATCACTGCACCAAGATACACGGGTCTTGACAACTGGTTTGTTGTACGTGTACACCAGTTTGAATATTGATTACTTTTTAGTCCAAGTATTACAGTCAAATTATGAATAAATTGTTAATATCACAGTACCTGTAACAGTAGTTGTTGAATATATATGACTTACCTTGTTTTGAATTATAATATTGGCATCAGTAGAGTTAATATAAGGAAAGTACAAGTCTATAAATGCTTGAAGATGAATTGTTATTTTCCTCAGAGGCAACGCCTTGCACGTTCACGTTTACTGCTACTGGGGATGTAAAGACCTTCAACTCACCTGGCTACCCCATTGCATACTTCAAGTAGGTTGTACTGTCCGAAGAACAAGCATGATCCATGCTTACTTTTATTGCAATTGTATATATTCATACATTAACTTTGTGCCTTCAATGATATACTTGTAAATGTTCTGTAAAGTAAATTTTGTTTTCTATTTTGATAATTATATGTCTCAAATTACATCCCTGTTCTGATCAATATAACCTAGCTTTATGACACGTTGCTAGGCAACAACAGGTCAAGTCAACACACACTCAATCCACAATGATGTTTTCGCATGGTAGATAATCAATTATCAATGAAATAACTCTTATGACGTTGTGAACTGATACCAAGGGCACACAATGTACAATCACTCAACATACATAGAATGAAAATGTGTTGGTAATGGAAATGTGTAAAACATGAACACAATTGAATAGTTAGGTATACTGAATGAGTGATTTAATGAAGTGTTACATCGCACAACATATTGAGTTAATTCTTTGAACATTTAAACTCACCTAACCTAACGTTGAATTATTATACATTCGTTTAGATTCGAGCTTTGTCATGGCTTTGCAATTTGGTTAATTTATATTTCAGAATATCATGTGATTTATTTTACAGCGATGTATCCTGTGAATATTCAATTCAAGCGGCCGATGCGTCAGATATTCTGCAATTGAGGTTTACAGACGTTGATGTTCAATCATCTCAAACTTGTCGTTACGACAACATCAGCGTGGCAAATATAAGTAATGCATTCAAACATTTCCGGAACTGAACTTTTTCCTGGTACAGAACTACATGTAGTCTAACCCTCCTAATTCAGTGTAGAGATACGTGTGTCTAATTGTGTCAGGTCCCGCTGGTTACTGACTGATTCGCCCTGATTGTGATCCTAATTTGTCGGCACCATCGAGGTTTTTACTTGCCTTTGTCACGGGTGCCGCCGGTGAGACAGGATACCTATTCGCAAAACCTGTATCATCACCACTTGACGTACAATGGATTCTGCGTTTAAGCAGATATTTCTTCTATGTGGTTCGTCGCTTGCCCCAACGTACAATCCCTACGCCATTGAATAACTGAAACATTGTCAAAGTTCCAAGTGTCAACAAAGGAGACCTCATTAAAGTTGCTCATTTACTATATCAGAATATAGCACTTATGTAATCTGAAACACAATCAACGCAACCCCAATACTTATGTTTGCCTGCAACGTGCAGGCAATTGCAGCTATAAATATATTAGCTGTGTAACAACTGAGACACAAAGCACACTATCCGACATATGCATAAGTCTATGTTGACTCTGTGAAGCCCATTTCTGGTGTCCCCCGCCGTGATATTGCTGGAATATTGCTAAAAGCGGCGTAAAACCATACTCACTCACTCACTCACTATGTTGACTCAGTTTCAGGTGGAGATGACCCAGTTGCCACAATCTGTGGTATGCCGACCTCGTCTTACCAAGGAAGAAACAAAATGAAGGTCACATTCACCTCAGATGGGTCGAAGGTCAATAAAGGATTTTCAGTTAAATATCGGAGCGTCCCGAGTGAGACATTTATAATTTATTAAAGTAAATCAAAGTAATCATGTTTTTAAACGACACTTATGAGTGTTTTTATTATATATGAACATTGTGCAAAGGTCTTATCATTGTAATAACTTAAAATCATTAATTCTTATAAAACAATAGTGTTTATTCATTATGTTTCTTCTTGTTTATTTACTTGTTTTTCTTTTCTATATATTCTATTACCTGTTTCAAGTCAAGTACGTACACTTATCCCTGCATGGCCACGTGATGTGGGATGGTCTTTGACATACATTGGAAGAAAAAGCAACATTTCCAAAATTGGAAAGAACATGTATAAACTGACCTTTCTTACATTCCGTCAGGGAAAAACTGATCTGTGCAAACTTCCAAAAGTAAAACTTGGAAATATCACCTTTCCGAGCTTTTGAATAGGGTACTTTCGTTTAGAAATCCCTTATTTCCAAAGGAGGAAATGTTTGGAAAGAGAGCTATTAATTCCAGTGATGTTGCAGGGGGTGTTAACATAGTATGTAGCGATGGAAATCTATTAGACATCTCGTTTATTTTATATCTTTCAGAGGAAGAATGTTCAATACACGCCCAGGCCACAGATATGGACGCGTTTATCCTGTCTCCAGTGTACCCGACTCAGAACTACAGGTAAATTTGTACAGTAACATTATTTGCTATGATCGTTTCTAGTCATGTTACCTTCTTTGTAACACATATATACAAGCGTGGGGAATAATAATTACATTTACCTTTCGTGGTTCAGTTTATAAGTGAAAGAACATATGAATATTGTTTAATGCCGCAGTCACATTAGTATTCCAGCTATGTCGCGGCGGCATGTCATTAAAGATGTCTGGGCCAACCCAGTTAGTCCCAGAACCTCCGGGTCCTCTTTAATTGACTCTCTGTTTAATGATAATAAAGCAAGTCCTTGTGATAAACAGTCTTAGATAGTGCATTGTATACATGTTAGGCTGATAAATGATAGATGAATGGATTCAAGAGTACTTACATTATTATCAAAGACAGGGACATGTGTACGCAAAAGAAACTGAATGAATGAATAACTTCTATTATAGACTGAATGGCCTTACATATTGCATTGCTATCCCTGTACATTGAAAAACACTTGCCAAGATCAATACAGATTAATACCGATTCAATTAAAATCGTCTCTCCCTTTCAAACTTCTGTCTACACCTTAAATACAAATGCCCCTGGGTTTCACAACAATTTGTGTAAACAACACAAAATCTTTAGAAAAGAGCCCATCTTTTAAAATCAATAAAACAAAAGAACATAATACATCTCACAAAAACGAAATGATGTGCTTCAAGAAAAATCCCAAGTTGATGAATACGAACATGGTCCCAGTTACTCTTGCCTTTGGTTACAGCTAAATAATAGTCTTTGTACCTTAAACTTAATGGGTTTCACAATGGTGCAGATGTTATGGTCAAGGGGAGATAATTCCCCAAGTGCATCCACATAGAAAAGGTCAGTCAGAAATACCCCTCTGTTGGGACAGGAAAAGAAATCATACGTAATCCTTTTGGGTAAGATGCACACTTAAACTAAGTCCCACATTGCGACTATATGATACCTATTTAAGCAACAAACTTATTCTGGACGGATTATATACACATAGATCAGTGGATTATTTACGCGTTGGATGAAGAATAACATGGGTATGTGGCGATACACCTTGATTCAATGAGTAGGATTCAAATGTTTCTATTGATATTAACGTTTATGAAGGTCATATGCTAAATGGATAAAGGATTGTATAGCGGATAAATGTGGTGGTATCATTTGCCTCTTCCTTGCAATGTAACTTATATTCCATTGTGTAAATGTATGACACTATGCATACACAATGCCATTTAGAAAGTGGTCAGAATTAACAAATGTTCTATTTGGGATAACACTTTCTTAGTAAAGTACCGATTCTCGTACATTTGTTGCATTTGACCACTTTCTAAATGACATTGTGTATTCATAGCTTTCGGCCATGGGAGCCGTGCCAATTTACACCTGTCAGAGGGGTACTCAAAGTACGTGATCTAGGCTACCATTTTCATTTTTGAGGAAGCCTCGGTGGCTGAGTGGGTTAGATGACTGACTTTGTGTGCTGGCGATTAGGTGCCTCACTCTGGCAAGTGTGGGCTAAAATCCCGGACGGGACTCAACCCCCCAAAAGTACGAGAATCTGTACTTTACTAATTTGGGATTTGTTATTCCAAATATAACATTTGTTACAATATATGACACGTTTAAATACAAGCAAGAATTACATTTTGAACTTCATGGCGAACGATAGTCCTAGAACGTAATAGTCCAGCCAATGGGAGGTCAATATTGAGAACTAAATGAGATTCCACCATTACCTGACGTCGATTTTCATAGTTTAGGCAATGCAGTAGACACTGAGCCATATTGTGAAGCTGATTACAAACTGTACGATTTGCAGAAATATCGGGGTATGCACCAAGACCACAATGTCCGAGACGAAGTCTTCTCTTTGATTGTTTCGAGATATTTGTAATTTATTAATAAAAAGCTCGACGCCATAGAGATATTGTGTAAATAAAGCTTTGCTCTTCCAGCAACCTGAACTGCCGCTGGACCATCGTGGCGACGAATAACGATGCTACGGTCGAACTGGCTGCTGTCTTCTCCGACATTGCCGACACTTCCCCATCTTGCAGCAGTGACAGAGTGTCTGTGACGGACTGTACGTTTCTATGTTAATGATGTTAATGGATAATTACATTTGATAAATTTAAATTTAAAACAATATTCACGAAAATGTCACGTAGTTGGTGATATGATCATAAGAACAGTATCTATTCAACGATGTCACTCAGTGATTGGATGGGCACTTGCCGCGTTTTCGGGATTTCGTAATCTTTGGTTAACTGTTAAAAAACAAATGCAGGAAGTATAAGGACGAGAGTAAAGAGGGATCTCGCAGTTTCATTCTTTACACACATACACATATTTATTATATACCGGATTTTATGAATGATAAAAAGAGGAAATGTGAAATGTGTTGAAATATGGTCGAAGGTTGGCACGTGTACATGTAACATTGTCGCCCCATACCTCGGCTGATGGACCGTGGGGGCATTTGGTTGAAACATTTTGGTCATGTCGAAATTTGTGACACACATATACGTGAATACACGTTCCACCGGATTTCGTGAATGAAAAAGGTCAAATGTGTGAAATGTGTTAAACAGGTTTTTATTTTATTACCATCTTCAGCTGATATGACAGAACTAGGGACATTCTGTGGAACGAACAAACCTACATATAATAGTACAGGACCAAACATGACTGTTGTCTTCACGACTGATGGCACCAATCAGGCAACAGGATTTCGTCTGAAATACAAGCAGAAACGAGGTGCGTCATGTTTCATGGAATATGTCACATTATAATAAGTTTTGTTTGTAAAAGAATTAAGGAAAGAATACGTAACACGTGTCATCACGGACACTGCATATATCCACTGTATTTCATCTGTTGAGGGATTCTTATGTATCATGTAAAAACAAGACTTGTCAATAATTTTTCACAGTGACAATTTAGAGCCCTTATGTGGATTAAGAAGCCTCAATCAGATACATTTGTAGGATGCTTTAATTTATAAGTTTCAAATGTATTTATTAAAACAATTTATAAAGTAATTAAAATTCAATTCATCGTTACCTGTACATTTGGAACATGATGAAGGAGTAAGCATATACTCCGAAACGTTGTGTTCCTCACAATATATATAGATATAATTCTCTTCCTGGTGTACCAATTTGTCAAATGCACGACTGGTTTCGCGTTATTATACAGAAATAGATATAATAAGATATTGGTTTAAATGTCAGAGCTATTTTAAGTGTAAATGTAAACCAACAGAACGCAGCAGTATTAGGGGCCCAGATGCGTAGTGTGACTATAGTAATCGTACAACAATACAGATTGTCAGACACATTAACACCTTTTCGTTTAGTTTTTTTCATTCCTTACTGTTTTAAAGTTATTTGCTGTGCATCTCTAAATCTAAGAAACCCAACAAATTAACGTCTTCTCCCAAATTATCAGCATCCCATTCTGGTCCGGTGTAGTTATAGATTATGTGGGGACACAGATGGACTGTTACGTACCTTGGGGGTACGAGAAACCGATTGCCATGGATTCGAGTACAATATTCTCCCTGGTTATATTACTAGGTTTATCACCACCAGAGCCGTGCCCTTGTGTTTAGCCATATAGATTACACTACTGATTTCACTAAGTTTATTCCCTTTGCACGTGACGCAACCCGTGTCCTCAGTGACGTTGTACTTCGTGTTACTTCTTGCGATTGACCAAATTTAATTATACCGCACTATGATGTTTGCAGCCGCACCGGCAACGTGTGGAGGGACATTAACAGCTTCAAGTCCTGAGGAACTGCTTTCGCCAGGCTACCCAAGAGCATATTTGAGGTATGTTACAAGAGGTCAGTCAGGTATTCCTGTGTTGAATTGATCAGCAAATGCTGATAATTGAACGCTTTGGTAGATTATGTAATTTCAATTAATATTAATTCACAGGTGTTTGTTTGTGTGGGAAAGCTAGATTTAACGCCGTCTTAGCGCTGGAATCGTTTTATGTTGAAGGAAAGCTCAAAATAACACGCATTTGTTTACCTCTATGGAAAACCAATGAGCAGGAGTTTGGATCTGCCAGCGGGAATCTTGGCTTTGAACCTCCTATCATAGTATTCCGACACGATCAAGGGACGCAACACTGCTAAACTAATTTGCATTGGTATGTTTAACCGTCGACGGTTTTTTTCTATGTCGAGACTTGTATGTGAACAAAATGAACAAACAATTGTCCAGTAGAAGTTACTTGTCTCAATATGATCTTCGTGTTACAGGTCATGGACATGCACATGGACAATTACGGCCTATAATGAAAGCTTCGTCAATCTCAAGCTTGTTGACATTGATGTAGAAGTTAGTGATCAGTGTCAGCCGGATAGCCTCAAAATATATGACGGTAACCATTTGCATGACTTTGCATTCTATATACTCCAAGGCAATAGTAACTGTAATACTTTAACCTTTTTTTTACTTTAACATATTTTCATTAACAATGGCTTTGCCTTAATGGCTTTTTATATTATCAATGGTCTGTGTACAAGGCAAATCACTTCACGAAGAAGTGTGGAAAGAACAACTCCAGTCATCGCAACATGACTTACGTACAAAACAAAAATGTAAGTTATAGTTAGGTACTTCTAAATTGTTAACAGGGGGCAATTCTGCAAGTCCTCTTCTGGGAACTTGGTGTGGGCAAATGAACGGTTACAGGTTACAAAGCACAGGGAATGTGATGACTCTTGTCTTCAACACTGACGACTCCAATAACGGAAGAGGATTCAACGTCAGCTATAAACAAGACTCAACTCGTAAGTTTGTTTATTTGAAAACAATCTGAGTAAATTTTACGTATGAGTTCGACAGTTCGCCAAATGTTTACGTAGCAAACATTGTGTTCATAAACAGCAATTCGAATAATTGTTACAAATTCCTATTCCAAATTAGTGTTAAAAAGATACAGTTCTCTCTTTTTGCAAATGTATAAATGTCATAGAAATTAATGTAACAGTTACTTTCTTTCAATACCGGTCATTTCATGGCTGTGCGAGTCCACAAATATAATTTAGTTTTGTTGTCTTTCAAACAGGTATGGGATGCATCGATAGCTTTGAAGCTACAGACACATATTCCTACATCACCTCGCCGAACTACCCGAATTCTTTCCCAGGGTTTGTAGTTTTAATCTAGAAAAAAAGACTTTACAAAGGTACTGATGTTCATTGAAACTCCGTTAGTCCGTACCCCGTTCATCCACCCGTGAAGATCCAGGGTAGAATAGGTCTTCGGCAACCCTTGCTTGCCGTAAAAGGCGATTATGCTTGTCGTAAAAGGCGACTAACGGGATCGGGTTCGGGGTAAAACTATGTGAGAACTATGCCATCTTAATAAAAATATATCTTAGTGGTATCTGAGCCGGCTGTAATGCTAGATATGGACATTGCATGCTGGACATTTGAAACGGAAGAGCCTTCCCGTGTTTTATCCCCTTTTTTATCCCATGAATGCCGAGCCCCGGGTAACATAAAGTACCATCTTATCACGATTTTTTGGTATGACGCGACCGGGGATCGAACCATTGACTGCCTTGAGTGAAATATTGATCTTTCCAAAATGTCCATAAGTAAACTTTAAGCAATCTTTCCAATTCTTTGGATAAGATATTATCCTTTGGAAATAACTTTTATTTCATATTCCAAGGTAATCATGAAAAAGCTTTATATAAAGTAACATTAAATCCTACTTTGACTTTGCTTGACCAATAGTGTAAGCTTAGAACCAGCAATGAAAAGTAATACTTGACAATACATGATTACGAGTTATTTATTCTATATGGATCCAGGACAAGACCGAACTAATGATGTAAAATCTTTTAATTTCAGTGTTTCTAGCTGTACGTCGTACAAAATAACTCCCGACCTTGATACCAGAATCAAGCTCGAAGTGCTGGAGTTAAATCTCCCTGAACGAGTAAGTGGCGAGTGTACGAGTGACTACATAACAGTACATGACGGTGAGTGGATTTCCTTACTTCATTTTAACCACTTCTGGTGGATCCTTTAACTCGCAATATAACGTATGATCGTGTTATAGATTCCCGCTACTGTTTTATGCAAGGAATGTATCATATTGTTGTATTTGGCGGATTTATCTTCGTTTGACATTGTGTTGTGTGATGTATCCTACAGTAGAACTCGGATATAACGAACACGGATAGAACGAACAAACGGATACCACGAACAGTTACAAAATCCCCGATTTATCTCCTGTATATTATCATATAAAATTTACTTACATAACGAACTCTCTACCGCGGACTAACGTATATAGCATTAAATTCACACTGTCTGTCTGTCTTAGAGATCGTCCACAATCTGGCGTCTATATTTCTCATCTGTGAAGCTTAAGGTACATACAACTATAAACACGTAGGGAATCAGTTGGTGAATGAGTTGGGTTTGCGGCTTGAACAGTATTCAAGGTATATCACGGCGTGTCAGTTAGATGCAGGTGGAAAGGCCGAAGTGAAGGCCACAGACGTTTACCACTGACGTAAAACCCATGAGTGAGTGAGTGAGTCAAGTTTAACGCCGCTTTTAACAGTATTCCAGTTATATCGCGTGTCAGCTTAATGTGGGAAGACAGCCCGAAGTGATGCAGGTCTCAGACGTTTACCACTTCGGTGAAACCCACGAGCACGGGTATGGTGCCCATTCACCTGGAAACGTAATTGGGGTGAACCTGGACTCGAACCCACAATCATAGGTTTCTCTGCACAGCGACTCGCGGCGCCTTAGACGACTGGGCCACCCGTGTCCCCGGTAAAACCCATGACTGGGCTATAGGTTATGACGTCACATGACTAATTAATGTTGTAAGCGGTTAATTGTTCCACTGAAAACTCAACTTTGTTGTTTGCCTCTCTTGATGATATACAATACAATGTAGTGCAACATGTACGAATTTGAATGTATCTACCGGAATCACAATATGATGTTATTATTTAAAAAACAACGTTTTTCTTTAAGGTAACAAATTGTTAATAATAATAATAATAAAATAATAATAATAATAATGATAATACTTAATAAATTTATTTGTCTGATGATCCTCTTGTATATATATATATATATCACTCACTCTATACAGATGGATATCTTGCATGATTGCCTTGTGTTTTATAGGGTGGTTCAACACATCCATACCACTCAAGTCCATCAACACCCAAAATTTCCGGTTCTGTGGTAAGGAACTGCCGACGTTCGTGAGCCCCAGGTTCTTAATGTTTGTCCAATTCCACAGTACACAAGCAACAACAACCAGCAGCTTCCGGATGAGATATTTGAAAGGAATATTTGCGGGTAATGTAAAACCTTTCCTTGCTTCAATGACTCTAACACCGAGTCAACAACTATAGAGTATGTATTCACAGGCGATGGAAGAACGTAGTGTTCACAAACCCGTGGAATATTGACGATGAATGTAACACTATCCATTTTGTGGGTCAATGGGAATAATTATTCCATTTGGGTGTGCCTGGGATAGTATACAAGAAGGGCCACATGCATGTCGTACAATAAACTGTGACTAACAGGGCAAGGGATTAACTGACTATAATAAGGCCAGTATCCACCCTTGCCGAACTAGGCTGGAAATTATGGAGTTACATATTAGCTGGACTAACGAGTCTATCCATAGTCCAATCATAAACGAAATCGACATCCGGTTCTTAAACTGCCGCGGAGATTTCGGTCAATTGCAAGAGTTGCTAAATATGTGTATCGCCAACTAGGCGTCAGCAGATATTTTCCAAATATTTTCATGTTTTTAATCAAGGTGCTCACGTGATTTGATGCACATTACGAAGTAAGACCCGTTTTACGTGCCTGCCATATTGTTTGAAGCAAATGCAAGTGATATGAGAAGTGGAATCTGATTGGCCAATAGGAGGGACATAGAAGGGACATAACTCGTAATAGCCACTGGTGGTGCTACGATCGTGCCCAGAAATTCCAGGCTAGTTCGGCAAGGGTGGAAACTGGACTTTAAGTAACTCCAGTGCCTCGGGAAGATGATATTGTTGACCTGGCTGATTTTATGGTATTGTAGTCCGACAGCTTTCCTAATGCAGCAAGTCACCACTTTGCTGCGTCTCAATCACTTACAGGTAGTTTTGTCGACGTATACATGTAGCTTAAAAATGTTGCTGATTGCGGTGTAAAACAGTATTCACTCACTTGTTCACTTACTCACTCAGACCAGGAATAAGAGGTCACATAAAGAAATAATGCTCCTCTGATTAACAAAGGCAATGGCCCAGACAAAACCTTCCTATCACATTGTATTTATTGCGTCTACGTTTGAAAACGTTTGAAAAGTTAAAACTACATCTGATGACATATTGTTACCGGGTCTATTAATATAACATACCAAAATTTACTGTTTTAAAGTACTGTTGTTCTAAAGCTTTTGTATCATATATGAAATATCAGTGACCGAGGAAATGAAAACTGAACGAGATCGAATCACAGCATCACGTCAGCCCGAAAGTGGACATATGTATTAGTATACATGTATTATAATAACGTATTCAAATACGTTTCTTTTATCAGTTGGGAGCATTTCGATCGACGATAATTTCTAGTCACCAATTAGTGACTTTCCTTCAGCAGGGTCATTGCAATTGGCTATGTGTAATGTGGGTATTGCTCAGGTGATCAGTGAATGTATATGATACATTTTGAATTTACAGTGACCAAACGGGGATTTGAAAATGTTTAATCATATAGGATGGGACAGAAAATTGGACCACTCCAGTCTCCGTTTAAACGATATATTTAAGATATAATTGTTCATATATCTGCAGATTCTGTATTTATGCTATACACATATAACTGCAGCAGAAGAGTTATAAGTTTTATGTTAAAGTTATGCATACTTTACTAACTATTTGTTTTGTAATTCAGATGAATTTGTGTCTCCCTGTGGCGGGTCACTGATTGCGACTGATGAAGTTCAGAACATTACATCACCAAGTTATCCAAACAATTATACAGGGTAGGCCTCTAATATATTTTTTTAATTATTTAAACTTCACTTGTTCCTATTGCCTTTTGGTATCTAAAGTTATAGTTTCAACTCACCAGAATGCCAAGCCTGCTTACACTCGTCGCACATTTACTGCAATGTAAACAAATCAAGTATGGTGATTATACTTTGGTACAAAACTGTAACATACTCTCCATTAGAGGTACGGGATCATGAAATATAAATGTTGTGATTGTCGTCAGAAGAAAGATCAGCTTTGAAAAATGACTGCTAGTGATAAAACGGTTTTGGAACCAGCACTTACGGTCCAACATACCCAAAACATTGCACATGGACTATGCAATTCTCCCTGGTCATTTTTGATTTTGACACTTCAGTGGAAGGTGGTCAAATCGCTCTGAGCCATTAGTATTGCAAGTTTTCGTTAGTTCGTCGACTACAACGTGAAGAACTCCAAAGGAATATTGACATTCTTCAAACTGGCATAACTCAGCAAGAGGTAGCCAATACGTTCAATGTGTCTCCGTCTGTGAATAGGTTCCTGCGGACACAAAATGTTCCTAATCGGTCCCGCATATGGCTTCCTAGGCCAACAACACAGGTCCATGATCGATTAATCAGAAATCAGGCGATACGAAATCGAGCCCAAACAGACAATCAAAACTCAGTTCAGTGGCGCAAGGCCACCGGAGATCAAGCTACCTATTTGTACGATGCATGCTGCTAATCTGCAGGTTCGGCCACCACGTGTTGTAACACCGATAACAAATTGAAAAATAATAGCCAGACGCCAATGGTGTTTAGAGCGTGGAAATCAGGGGAATCGCCGGTGGTCTCGTGTAATGCATTCGGATGAGTCAAGATTCACTCTGGACGTTATGGAAAGGCGAGGGCGTGTTTGGATGCGTCCTTACGAACGTCAGTCGAACGTCAACATAAGGAAACATGAAAGTAAGGGGGTGGGTCTGTAATAATATAGGCGGGATCACTCTGACTGCCAGAACGCATTGGAGAGTATTGCCGATACTGACGCCAATAGTTGTTCCGTTTACGCGCCATGCTGGGCGACCTTTCGTCTCTCAAGACGATAACGCACGTGCCCACCGTACACGTATTATAACTAACTACCTCCAGCAGCAAAACATTACCAGAATGCAATGGCCAAACATGAGTCCTGACATTTACCCCAGAGATCACGCCTGGGACATGTACGCCAAAATCTAAGGCCGACGTCGAAGGACAGAAGCGCTGCAAGAGAACAAGACTCCATCAAATTGTTTTTGGGGAGATTGATTCGGACCATGCCACGCCGTATAAACGGCGAGTCAAGTCATAATCATTTTGCAACAATGTATATTTTGCGGCAGACAATTTCAACTTATTTTAAAGTCCTGTAGAATCTCAGTCGCGCCGCCGATCTATCCATTGTTACATATCTAGTAAAATGTACTTTCTGTCAGTTGGTCCTCTTTCTTTCACGGTCCGAAGGCTGACAGCAACTTGACGTATGAACTGTTAAATAACTACCTATTCCGATGAGCTACATGTACTGTGTCGCGCCACTATTATTATGTTATAACTGCATGTTACAAGGACGTATGTAATTTTTCATGTCTAATGTTGAATGACTTTTTTCACCAGGTTCTTAAATTGTTCATGGACCATTACAGCAACAGATAGTACCAAGATGGTACGGCTCATCACAACTGACTTTCAACTGCTTGACCGTCCTTATCCTAATAGTTGTGGTCTTACTTACTTGAGAATATACGACGGTGAGTAGACTTATATTTATGTGATATGTACTAGATAGATACGAGCACGACATACTTCGGTGAGTGAGCATGGTTTTACGCCGCTTTTAAAAATAGTCCAGGAATATCACGGCGGTGGACATCTGAAACGGGTTTCACACATTGTATCCATGTGGCAAACCAAAATCTGGCCCATCAGCGTGTCGAGCAAATGCTTCAACCGCCGGCCACCCCACCGGCTCTTGCACGACCAAATATGTTAATTTAATGAACAAATATAGTGAGTTTGGGTGAGATGTCCATCGAAGAGCATACCCAAAAAATCACAAACACTTTCTGTATACCATTTTAAATTTTACTCTATGAAACAAATCAACATGTTATAATGGTAAGCAATGCGCATACAAAATATCATCAGATGTAAAGCATCCACAGACCTCCACAGACAGTCTAAGATTATCAAATGGTCGGACCAAATTGAAATGTTTATCTTAGCATTTGTTCATATTGCTTTTACACAAGTATTGTGTTCATTTAGCCGCTTGTTCCAGGTGATGACAACGACAGTAACTACGTCGATGAATGTAGTAAACAGGCTTTGATGCAACACCAGAGCACCAAAAACAAAATGACAGTGGTACTGGAAGCGTTTAATAAAGCCAATGCATTCAGTCTTCAGTACACTCAAACAGCAGGTAACTACACAAAATAATTGTTTATCATTTATTAAAGATTAAAGATAATTCAATGCATGCGTGTTCACGCAGCAATATCGGAGCTACATGCATTAACCACGGCTGAATAAACGCGTAAGTGTGGCCCACTTGACGTCGTGCCAGAACCATCCCGTAATGAATCCAAGATCATCTTCCCGAGGCAAGGGAGTTAACTGAAAGTCAATTTTCCACCCTTGCCGAACTAATGGTCCTATTGACCAATCAGATTCCACTTCTTATATCACTTGCATTTTGCTTCAAACAAAACGGTGCCGCCAAGTCAAGACGATCTGATCGATAAGCAAAATCTATATTGTAATATAACGGGTCTTACTTCGCAATGTGCATCACATCACGTGAGCACTTTGATTAAAAACATGAACATTTTTGGAAAATATCTGTTGACGCCGAGTTGGCGATTCACATGCTTTGCAAATACTGTAATGGACCGAAATCTGCTAGGCAGTTTAAGAACCGGACATCGATTTCGTTCCGAAATTATGATTGGATTATAATACAAGGCTGGCAACTGGTTTTATAAGGTCAGTTAACTTCTTTGCCTTGGGAAGATGTCCAATATCCTTGCTTGGTCTGTCAAGTGTCGAGGCCATACCTTGTAGGTTCATCATAAAAACTTTTCTCTGTGCAAAGTGATACAACAACAGTAATTGTTTTATCAACTCATTCAGTAATAATACATTACATGTACATGTACATACTCTGTGTCTCTTTACATGTACACCTTTTGAAGTATCCTGACCATCAACATAACGCCAGATTCTACATATGCCATTGATTTAGTTTTTAATTGTTGTAAGACGTTGTATGTTCTTCTAAAATGATCGGGTCACTTCATTTTATACCAAGAGTGAGTGAGTTGGATTTAACGCCGCTTCGAACAGTATTCCAGTTACGATCATGGCGTGTCAGCTTAATGGGGGAGGATAGCCCGAAATAATGCAAGTCTTAGTCGTTTACCGCTTTGGGGAAACTCACGAGCACGGGTATGGTGCTGACAAACCTAGAAACATCATCGGGCCGAACCATAGGTTTCTGTCGTGCCCAAGGGATGCAACTCTTAGCGGAGCCTTAGACCACTGGGCCACCGTGCCCCCTAAATATGCAAAGGACTTTTGGTGAAGGAACGTTGTGAACGTTACGAATAATCGTAGGTCCTGGGTCACTTTATTTTACACAAAGAAGACGAGGAAGCAGCTGAATGAATACGTTACTTAAATAACTACTGCAATGGAACAGCATCAAAATGTTTCACAATATAATCACTTTCGGTTTCTGTATTCCAGTAAGACGATGTCACTTTGTGAATAAAAATACATGTGTTTCGTCGAGAATTATTATTAATAAATAACGTGTTAGTCTGAACTTCTTTTCGTTTGTATATGTATGAGTTGATGTCTTCTAGAAAAGATGATGACTACTAGCGATACACATATTTTTTCAGATCGGTTGTCATGTGATCATATAAAGGACATCGGCAATTACGGTTCAATTAAGTTTCCTGGAAGTGTGGAGGGACCAGTGCAGTAAGTATAATCTGGATAAACCGTGTTCACATCTGGGAACATAATTCCACTTCGAATATCAGTCTAATAATTGTTTGTTCATTGTAATTCCTGAAAACTGATTTGTTGAATGGATCACAATCTTGTCATGTATTTCCCAATTGAATGAGCGAAAAACAATACGCAGCACACACCAAAAAGGACTATTCTCACCACAGTGGATTATCGGGTTATCCCAATGCAAGTTGAGTGAATTCTACTGCTGCCCCACTGTATCCTATGAGCCATAGGCCAGTACCCGTGTACAACGCTTGGTATACCACACAGTTTACTTTTTTCTTGTCCGACATATGTCACAATGTCAAATGTAGTAAATAGAAAATATCTACCGAAACAAATTCCTTTGGGTGTTAGAGGACAAAATAAAGATGAAAGATTATTTGCTGAATAATGAATGGATCACTGACAATCAAGATGTGTTATCGCAAGATATGCCCTGTTGAGGGTGATACAAGACCAGGACATACATCCACGAAAGAAAAGTGTATTGTCGAGGTCGTGGTGATACTAGCTATTGTGAAGTGTCTATTGTGGGCTGCACATAGTGAGCTCAAATACATTGCAGTGTTCATGCAAAAAGATCTAATGTGTGGTGATTATGATATATTAAACTCATGATAGTACAATGTCATATGTCAGAGCCTCGTTTAGAGGATTGACAATGTGCCAGTGGCTATCAATGGTGCCGCCCTGGTCAGTTCTCTCTCTGAAGAAAAATTAAAGTCGTTGTTTCACTCTAACCGGCATCATATTGTCAATAGACCTAAGGGTATCTTATAACATTATAAACACCATAACAATTTGCCGAAACAGATCCAGTCATGCACCACCCTCTGCCTTCGAGCCACATCTGGGGGCATGGCAGAACTGCGTCTCTTTGACACGCCAGAAACCTATGATTGTGGGTTCGAATCCCGGTTCACCCCGATTATGTTTCTAGGTTTGTCAGCACCATCCCCGAGCTCGTGGGTTTTATGAAAGTGGTAAACGTCTGAGACTGGCATCACTTACGACGTTTCTCTAACAACAAGATGACATGCTGTGATATAACATGAACACTGTTCACAGTAGCGTTAACCCCATTTTACTCACTCACTCACATTTATCGAAGCTACAAGTGATGGCTTCGAGACTAGGTAAACAGTGATATTCATGTAAGGTTACACAAATGAATATTCTGTACGTAGCTGCAGTCGTCATGCAGCACATTCGCAGAAGCAGAATTTGCGAGACGTTGTCGTTGTCATTATGTTTGTTTCCATCAATAGCATTATTTCTTGCGTATCTTTTGTCAGGTCGATTTCCAAAACATTGCTTCGTCAGCTAAATGAGTTATGAACACATGTGACATAAACTAGCCAATGACTTGCACGTGAAAACCGATTTCTCAGTTCCCCAAGAAAACATTCTGCAACCGTTTTGCGACAGTTTATCCATATATTTTTTGACAGACTTACCGTAGTAGGAGTTAACTAATTAATATGTTTCTTCACATTCAAACAATTTCCAGAGGCCGTTTCTGCTCATGGTTGTTGAGAAGAACATCTATGGAGGACGACAGATATCTTGAACTGACGATTAATTCGACTGCTTTAATTCAAAGCCCGAATTGTACAAAGGATTACATTAGGGTATACGATGGTATGTTATATATATTGAACAATAATATTATACTTGAGTGAGAAGGAGGGAGAAAGAGAGAGAGTGTTTGACGCCTGAATATTCCATCCAGCTGTATCCCTGCTACATGGGAGACAAGCCTATCAATAATGAGCAACGCCAGGGTACATCTTCCCGAGGCAAAGGAGTTGACTGAAAGTTTGGCTTGATCCTAGCGCCACCAGTGGCTATTACGAGTTATGTCCCTTCTATGTCCCTCCTATTGACCAATCATATTCTCATATTACTCGCATTTGCTTCGAACAAAATGGCGGCGCCCAGTCAAGACGATTTGATCGATAATCAAGATCTATTTTGTAACAAAACGGGTCTTACTTAAGGTTTGCAATGTGCATCAAATCACGTGACCACCTTGTTTAAAAACATGTAAGGATTTGGAAAATATATGTTGACGCCGAGTTGGTGTTACACATGCTTTGCAAATCGTGCAATCGATCAAAAAGTGAGAAAGTTCGAGAGAGTGTTGATGTGGAGACAGAGAGGTCGTTGATGCTGAGAGAACGAAACAGATAAACAGGGACAGACAGATTGAGAAACAACGAGGCTTTCCATACAAACGCACAGGGTCATACATGGAAACAAATGTAACATGTTTTGGATAATCTCAATATAATAGGTTTCTTTCAGCAAAGTGGATATTTAAGGTTTGTGTAATTTGTGTTTTCAGGTCAATCATCATCAAGCCCTTTAATTGGACGCTTTTGTGGTGGGAAAGTATCAGAGCTTTCTTTTTTCGGAAACAATGTCTTTATCACTTCAGCCTTGTCAAGTCAAGGATCTTTCGAAATTGACTACAGTCCAGGTTGGTTAATAAAAATATGCTTTTGTGATGACCCCTTCTATTTTTGTCATGTGATAGAAAGTAATCAGAGAAAATTGAAAGAATGTTGCTGAAGTTGATTATGTCTATTTAACCATCACCCTCTCCTTTAACAGTTTGGAAAAGTTATCTGTGGCGGGGTAATTTTGTGTAAAAATAAATTAGTTCAGTGAATACTGGGGTAAGAAATGAATTTGCAACCACATGACCCCACCATGTTTTGTGCCAATTTTCATAGATAAGATGTCTGAGGTACCCATCAGCAGTTGTGTATTAGGCGATATTTTTAGAATTTAAACAAACAAAATTTTTAATATTAAAACAAATTATATCTTGAGGACAATGTAGAAGTATTCTTTTGGTGCTGACTAATCGGCAGTACAGTTCATTTTTTCTTATAATATAGCTTACGTAAGATATTTCCAACTGAACATCAAACATGATAAAATCAATTAAGTTTCCTTTGCTCCTCATTTCATATGGCAATTGAGAGATCACTTTGATGATCTGATTTAACAATGTAAATGTTAAATCGAGAGATTATGATTCTTCTGCATGTCAGTCATATGACATGCATGAGCGTCATATAACTGAAAAACTGTTCAAAGCACGCACTCATTTCATGGGTAAAGATTTGATATATTCATCACATAAATGTATTTAGTATTTCTGGCCTCGTGAACAATAGCGCCAAAAAGATATTATAGTGTGCTCGGTAATTCCTTTAGACAACATGGATTTAGCATTCGTCATATACAGTATAATATATATATCATATCGGTAACTTTTTTTCAAATATAAACCAAGACCTCAAATATGTCGAGCATTATATGTTGGTAATAACTGACAAAGCCTTTCTCTGGAAAGGTAGACATACCCGTGCGGTTTTACGACTATCTTGATAATGTGTGTACGTGTGCGTGTTCGTGTTTGCGTGCTTGTGCTTTTGCACGTACTAGTCCGGACTAATGCCGGTTTCATACTGCTAGACTACTGAGATACCATGCTGCACTTCTACATGCCCCTGACGTAGTATCCTGACTCCCGGCGGACCGGTTCTTGTTTTATCCCCTTAATGCGAAGCGCCAGCGAGGGAAAACAATAAGTACCATATTTAAAAGTCTTTTGATGTGACGCGGCCGGGATCGAACCGCCGACCTTCCGCTCTCCGGGCAAACGCTCTCTCCACTAGGCCACGGAGGTGGTCTATAGACGAGTCATAACGGCTTTTTTTAATTATCAGCTAATGTGATAAGGAACGAAACTGACATTTAATTTTTACAAGATCGTTTTTATGTGTGAAACTGTACATCATGACACCGTTGTACAAATTGCCAAATAAATAATGTACAGGGCCAAACTTTTTGGAAGTCCAATACGTTGATCCGTGTTGCGTCCCTAAGGCGTGCCAGAAACCCATGGTCGTGGGTTCGAATCCCAGTTCGTCCTGATTATGTTGGTTTGTCAGCACTCTACCCTCGCTCGCGGGCTTCCCCAAATTTGTGAACGTTTAAGACCTGCATCATTTCGGGCTTTCTCCAATATCAAGCTTAAATTTTGTTCAATGCAGCGGTAAAGAAACGCACGTTGTCCTTCATACACTCCACCAATGGTAAACATATACGCCTAAAAAAGAATGTAACCTATACAAATAACAGATGTTGATTTATTTTCAGGTTTTACCAGTTTCTTGGGTCGAGATGAGTACCTTTATTCCGACAGGAAAAGCATCCTAACATCTCCAAATTACCCCTTAAATTATCCACGGTACTTACATTGTCACTCAGACTGATCTAAATTCGTTTTCTCATTCAAAATTGTTTGTAAGGTTTGAATTCTTAATGTTCAAACTGTTTCATTATTACATGATAAAATACTTAACTTTCCGTGGGAATTCAGTGTTTCGTTGATTTGGTTTTGATCACTCACTGGTTTGCCTGGTCCAGACTCGATGTACATTCCGCCATCATGTAGACGGAATATTGAGTGCGGCGTTAAAAAATAGTGTAATTACTTCAAATATATACGTCAACGCCAGAGAATACTTAGTCTCAATTATCTGCCAAAACAGGTTCTATTGGGCATAAGAAGCAAAATAGTGGTGAAAACTATATGAATTGATCTCTGAAAAGCACTGATATCGCCAGGTGCACCCGCCACTCACACACAATTTGCACAAACAAGTAAGTGTTTGTTTGTTTTTCAGGAATGCTGAATTCTCTTGGACACTAAACGCATACGGAGAAAAAATTGTCGTTGAAGTGATGTCGTCACAGATAGAGATGTCAGAAGGCTGCGTCAACGACAGAGCTGAAGCATACGATGGTAAGCACTATCTAATTATCCTTCAGGCAAATGAAGTAATGAGTAATGAGTAACGAATGAAATAAAAGCGACAAATCTTCAGAGCTACCAGTTGCAAATGAGGCTGCATCGTGATTAAACGGCGTGACCTGGATCAAATTCAATGATCACATGACTTTGGTCATCGTATCAACCACTGGTGTGTTCGACCCATTTACTTGAGTGGCTATGCCAAAGCTGGAATAAATGCTAATTGTGGTGTAAAAAAAGCATTCACTCTCTCACACATAAATAAGAGCAGCAATATACTTGTTCCAGGTGCGTCAAAGAAAGACAAACTTCTTGGAAAGTGGTGTGGCACAGAGACGCCATCATTTGAAAGTTCTGGAGGAAAACTGACCATCGTACTGTTTAGCAACGACAACGAAATCGCTGGCAAGGGGTTTCAAATCAAGTACTACGAGAAAGGTATTTTTACTAAGTAGAAAAGGCGATGATGGGTAGTTGGGATCTCGGCACAATCTGTGAAGTCTCTGAAATGGGGATTTATGCATAGAATTGATTACAAGTATCCTATGCTTGTCGAAAGAACAACTTGAAAGTTCAGTGGCGGTGATCATAATATAAACCACTGTCTTGTCTGATACAGACTCAATTATTTACAGTCGTAAATAGCGTGGAAATTAATCGGTGTGAAATGTAAGTAGCAAAGAAACAAGGTGATGGACACCGAATGTAGGCCTTTATATATTATCGTTTTTATTTTGTGTTGGTGTTGCTTTTCACGTGATGGAGAAACACAAATTATTTTTTAAACAGTAGAGCGTTTGTATCACCGTGAAAACAGAATATGGAAGTAATATTTATTGAAATATATAACACATATGGGGAAAAGAGAGGTCTTCTCTTTGTCATATTGGCAGAATTTGTTTCATGACAGTTGACCTCTCGTACCAGAGTTACACATTAATGGGCACAAGAAGCCTCCTTATGACCAATTACTACTACTACTTTTCACATAACCCTTACCCAATCACGCTATTTAACACGGTCATGCATCGTCAGGTCTCTGAGAGGGATGCTTTCCGGGATACTATGTTTCCAGGATATAATGATAAATAACCTGGACCCATTTTTTCCTCATTCGACTTGATATATCGAGAACTCGCTTTCAGAAGAGTAATTTTGATTGGTTGTTGATATCAAGCGCATGCGCAAGAGAAAGTATACGCTTAGATGATAGAGGAGAGATAGAGAATGTGACGTAACTTCCAAAACGAAGCTATGTGACAAATAGGTCCAGGGTATTTAACATAATAGAATGGAGATATACTACACTGGATAATCGTGGGTGCTTTAAGGCCTTAACCCCGAACCCCTTTCAGACATTAACGTTTGGATAGACGAAGGGCGGTCGGTAGCCTAGTGGTTAAAGCGTTCGCTGGTCACGCCGAAGACCCAGGTTCGATTCCCGACATGGGTACAACGTGGGAAGCCCATTTCTGGTGTCCCCCGCCGTAGTAATGCTGAAATATTGCTGAAAGCGGCGTAAAACCATATTCACTCACTTTGATAGACGACCTGAGGGGATAACAAATACGACGAAAACACGCCATGGTATGAGTACTACTTGTATTTCATTTGGATATTTCAGAATCATATCTTGGATACATCATTGGAGGTGTAGTTGGCGGTGTACTGGTGATTTTAGTGATTGGAGCAGCTGTATTCATCAGTGTTAAAAGACCGTTTAAATCTCGAAATAACAACGCGAATGTTCAAGCAAAGTATGTGAACAAACATTGAGTAACTAATAAGGTACATGTCATTCAGATATGACCAATGCGAGAGAATACGGAGAACAGTTTAAATCTTAAAGCACAATGTGCATACGTTTACATCTTGTTTAATATTGAAATAATAGAGACAGAAATTGTAAATTGAAGGACATCTTCCGAGGCAAGGACGTTTCCACCCTTGCCGAAATAGGCCAGAATTCCGGAGTTAATTTGGCTGGACTAACGGCTCATAGTCTGATCAAAATCGCGAACTAGACATCCGGTTCGTAAACCACATGGATTTCAAAGTGCAGACTGTCGATTGCATTATTTGAAAAGCATGTGTACCGCCAAACGGGCGTCGACAGATATTTAGCAAACCTTCTCATGTTCTTAATGGAGGTGCTCAAGTGATGTGATGCACTTCGCGGGGTAAGATTCGTTTTATAATAATATAGATCTAGATTATCAATCAGATCGTCTTGACTGAGCGCCATTTTGTTTGACGCAAATGCAAGTGATATGAGACGGACCTAGAAGGGACATAACTCACTGGTGGCGCTGCGATCGAGCCTTAGTGGACGTAACACGAACGTTCTGAGAACATCCCATTACAGGTCTCGTCTCGTGACCTTTCGCGAACCAACCAAAGAAATGACTAACACTAAGTCGACAGTAGCCAATCAGAAAGCAGCTCTCTTGATCTTAAGGCGCTAGTTTCGACATGGCGATTTCCATTTCAGACCACATCCTGAAAGATATTTCCACAAAGTTCTCAATTCAAAATTTGAAAACTGAACAACAGAATATTGTGGAATGTCTAATTGGGGGCCGCGATTGTACGGCAGTACATCCCGCGGGTGGTGGAAAGTTTTGTCCGTTGCAGCCCGTAACTGTCGTACTGAATGTCCATGTTACCTTTTTTGAGGTTGCATGACGAGACCTTTAATGAGACGTCTTTTAAATTGTATAGCGGCTGCGCTGACTTAGATCTGATTTTAATGAGTTTGGTATTTTAGACAGGTACATTATTCCATTGCAGGTGAAATCATAGACTATTAGTGTGAAGTCGTGGACGGTCACAGCAACATTTTGTTTTGAGATGGATCGTGCTGAAAGACTCACACCAATAAGTAGATTACACATTTTCATCGTTGTCGAACAGGAACAGTTCGGGACCATTAATAGATAATATGGTAAGGGGCGTATTGATTTCAAATGGTATATATGGAAGGGAATCCAGTGCTGAATTTGTCAGGAGAGACGTGAACATCAGATGCGACACTTGTCTGTAAAGATGTGGACACCTACAGCTACATTTGTCTGTGGAAACGTGAACACCTGATGCTACACTTGTCTGTAGTAGCGTGAACACATGATGCTACACTTGTCTGTAAAAACGTGGACACCTACAGCTACATTTGTCTGTGGAAACGTGAACACCTGGTGCTACACTTGTCGAACGAGACGTGAACTCCTGATGCCAGATGTGTGTGGAGAGACGTGAACACCTGGTGCTACACTTGTCCGCGAAGACGTGAACACCTGATGCTACACTTGTCTGTAGTAGCGTGAACACCTGATGCTACACTTGTCTGTGGTAGCGTGAACAACTGGTGCTACACTTGTCTGTAAAGTCGCGGACACCTACAGCTACATTTGTCTGTAGTAGCGTGAACACCTGGTGCTACACTTGTCTATGAAGACGTGAACACCAGATACTACACTTGTCTGTAAAGTCGTGGACACCTACAGCTACATTTGTCTGTAGTAGCGTGAACACCTGGTGCTACACTTGTCTATGAAGACGTGAACACCAGATACTACACTTGTCTGTGAAGACGTGAACACCAGATGTTAATCTTGTCTGTAAAGACGTGGACACCAACAACTACATTTGTCTGTAGAAACGAGAACACCTGGTGCTACACTTGTCGAACGAGACCAGAGACTTGTATTTTCGCTATTTAGAGAGATCGATTTATCAAAATGTATATGTATGTCAAAGAACAATATCTGATTTCAAGATTTTGTTACGTCCATTTGATGTATTTGAAGAAGTCGATCATTATAACTTCTGAAATATATTTACCTTTGTTATGTTCTGCGATTGACTGTGAATTTTTAGATGCTGGTAGATCTCTCTTACTGTCCACCAGCTGTCGGGCATAAAGGTGTTTTGAATGTCAACACACATTTACGCGTATGAGTGAGTCATCATTCATGACGCCCTCAACATGTTCAATGGACTAATGATTTACAGCTTGAGACAGGTTGAAATGTAAGTGATCAAAGAAAGAATTTGTTTGAGGGGAACTGCAATCGCTTGTTTTGAAAATGGATCGACTGAAATTATAACAGACCTCCAGGTAATATACGTATTTGCGTAAGCTGTGCACAACACTTCACCATAACCAAATTAAAGTACGCAAAGTAAAGTAAAAACAATGGTATAACGACACAGTGTAATTACCCAATGTAGTCTTTTTAACTTGGGTACCTGTATGTATTTGCAAATATATTATAATATATACTTTTAAATCTTGCAACAATGTATTTCGTTTTTATTTCAACAGTCTGGAGCATAGTTATTTCATTACAGGCAATTTCTGCAAAAACATTTTTTTTCGAAAAAATCCCAGGTCCCCGTCCCATTCTTTTCAACTCAGCCGGTACATAATCAAGTCTGGAGTAGACAAACCAATGGTTGACATATGTGCAACGTTCCACGCCGTCGGAACACGATAAAACACGCATGTCATCGAACCTGGGCACAAGATCCAATTATTTGTTGTCTCTTTACGAAATTACGTCCTAGAGTTATAGAATATAGGGTTCGAACTCGCGACCAAGAAATAATATTTAAAGGAAATGGGATTCGAATTCACGTCCATGAATTATAAAAAAAAAGAATGGGAATCGAACTCACGACCAAGAAGTATATTCAAAATTAATATTGGATTCGAACTCACGACCAAGAATTAAGATTAAAAGGATATGGGATTCGATCTCACGACAATTGGGAAGCGGCGCCTTACGTATAGAAAGAGCACTGGGCCACACAGCATGGAAGAAAACAGACATTTCTTAATTAATCCCATTATGCATCCCTCTCACATAGCTGACGATTAAATTCCTTGTGTTTTAATTAGGATAATGCACACATATACTTTGGGAGGTTATCCTCTGTGAAAATGACATGCTTACATACTGGGTAAGTGTGAGTGAGTGAGTATGGTTTTACGCCGCTTGAAGCAATATTTCAGCAATATCAAGGCGGGGGACACCAGAAATGGGCTTCACACATTGTACCCATGTCGGGAATCGAACCCGGGTCTTCGGCGTGACGAGCGAACGCTTTAACCACTAGGCTACCCGACCGCCCTTTCTGGGTAAGTAAGTGAGTTTGAATCTGTGATGACATCAGCTGTTAGTGAAAAGTGTCAGCATGTCCTGGTCAACCGGAAGCACCCGTCCACGCGTATGCAGTGGTGTCGTGCTGACGAACACCAAAACAACATTATCGGGTGATCTGGGATCATAGGTTTCTGACACGCACAAGGGACGCAACTTTACACATTGCATTGCGGCGACAACGAGGCCCTCAGACCCTGAGCCTTATGTGGATTCTCAAAACCCCAAAGAATGTGCTTGACTGTTTGCAATCTCAGAAAAAACAAGTTCAATTCTCTAAAAATATTTAATTTTCATCTTTTTAAACACTATCCCATACAACAAACTTCAGGAGAAACATCCTTCCTTCATCCACGCTATTAGTTACTGAACGTGGTGACAATAGGTATAGTTACATCTCTATTTTCTGAGGTTCGTGCCAATTTGTCAAAGAAGAAAGCAAATGTCACCTGAAGCTGGAATTCCTAATCTATAATTAACATATATATGAAATTTGGCGGTAAGACATCAGAGAGTGAGTGAGTGAGTTAATTGTGTTTAACTCCGTTTTAACAGTATTCCAGTTATATCACGGCGTTCATCAGCAATAAATAAATAGGGATCCTAATGGACACTAACTGTATTTCCCTCCTTGTAGGTCTGTTTCCTTTTGACTATTATTCAGAATTTCTTCTCGGATTGGCAAAGTCAAAACAAGAAAATTTGGGCAAAGATGTTTAACTTTAGCTTGAGGTATATCGATTATCGTACGTTGTTCATAAGGGTCTGATTAACACTGATTTACGCACCTGAACTAAAAGAATATAGGAGACCAGTGAGCCCGCCTCATATTTAAACCTATGCATAAAAGTTAATTTTCAGTGACAAAAAACTCTACCCAAGACGTATGTTTGACAAGAGCGATGACTTCAGCTGTTCAGTATTCAACGTTAACGTTATGTTGAGCAAACTCCTAGCAGTTCCAGTTTACATTTCACAATTTGTCAGGTGCAACCGAGCATACTTTCGACGAATATTTCAAAGAGCGTCATACGACTCTCGATCCAAAGTTGTGTTGCATAACTGACAAAACTTGGTGTCGAATGCTATTCCCTATTTTGACCTGTGCCACATGTTCCTGGTGAACAATTGACCTCCATTTGCAAGTGTTTGTGACGGGTGGATACATTCACCTTTTCGCGAGCACCTGGTATCATCCCTATTTGATAATGATTCATAAACACCTGCTTATGACATAGCCAGAATCGAACAATTGGCTCTGCTTTCAGTAGGATAAGGATAAGGATAAGTTTTATTCCATACTGAAAGGCCTCAGGCACATGGTTCAATTCTGTTTTCGGGAGTGGTTACAGATCCGTCAAACAGGTCATATTCTAATTAACATAGCATGATAAGTGAACATTGATAGATTTTTTAGTGTCTCTATCAGTTGTTGACACGATCGAGATAATTGTTTGTAGAGTGGGATGTACATAAAAAGGCAGATCAATATATTTTCTTCTTAGGTGGTCGTATTTTTGGACAAATTAACAGAAAATGAAACTCATCTTCAATCACAGCTCCTGCTTCTTTATCATCGTCCATTGCCTAAGCTATGAAATAATATAATTTGATACACGTTAGAATCACCAAGTGTACATCACTATTGCAAAGATGTAATTATGACATAATGTAAGTGAGTGAGTGAGTGAGTATGTTTTTTCGCCGCTTTTAGCTGTATCACTATATCCAGCAATATCACGGCGGGAGACAGCAGAAATTGGCTTCACACAAGGTGACGAGCGAACGCTTTAACCACTGGGCTACAGATAAATGACAGCCGCTACGTGCATCAAATGGTTATTTGAACGGCAGTGGGGGCACGGGTGGCCCAGTCGTCTAAGGCGCCGCGATTCGCTGTGCAGAGTTGCTTCCCTTGGGCACGCCAGAAACCTATGATTGTGGGTTCGAATTCCGGCTCGCCCCGATTATGTTTCTAGGTTTGTCAGCACCATACCCGTGCAGTTCACGCGAAACGGATATCACTGTCTATTGACTAATATATGCTACAAAAATAAATATTCAGACTAGCTATTGGCCCCTGCAACACCTGCATAACTGTTCATTCGCGCTTGGTGTGGAAGATTGAATTGAAAATTATGATAGAGAGAGCCTTCATTGTAGTTTCACCTGTAAATTATGCCGATTTTGCAATAAGACACAGCCCTTTCTTGTGTGGTGCATTGTGTAAACAAGAGTAAACTGACCTAATTATAATATGAAGAGATTTTACTCCCATATGAAGAGAGACAGTGACAATGAATTGCGACTACTAACATCAACAAATTACAAAACTCGTTAACAAAATTAAGAAAGAAACCATACATAATGCTGTGTGAGAGAGTAAGTATGGTTTTTCGCCGCCTTTAGCAATATTCCAGTAATATCACGGCGGGGACACCAGAAATGGTCTTCACACCTTTCTTCTGGCTCGTACCAAATGTTCCCGGTTTTTTTCCCAGATGAACAATTGATTTGCCTTTGCATGTGTTTGTAACGGGGATATATAGTTGGATTAATTATATACACCATACAACCTACAACTGAGAATACGGTAATTATTAAAAGGTCTTTAAAATATCAATACTAGTGCACTACAATATTGCATTCGTGCCACATTTTTCACTCAAGTTTTTATTAATTAGCAGAATATCACATCATCCATTTTCAAGCATTCCCAGCACCCAAATATTGCCGATGTACATCGAATATGCCTTCAATGTAAATGTACATTTGAAAAACCCTCAAAACCTTTGGGTACATGTTGTTTGAGTTTTGTATCGCCTGTGACTGTGACTCGGTTACATATTATTACATACTCCTCACAAAAAGTTAAGCAACAAGTATTATTTTCCGTGCAACATTCTCATCAGTGTTGAATGCCATCCATTGAGAACAAATTCAGGCAGGAGAATTACCTACGAATACTCGACTTAAAGCCTTTTCCATGTAGATTTTCCTGAAAACACTGATAACATCGCCTGAACACAGCCACCCTCAAAACACACATGCAAAATGCACGACATGCATATTTTACACACTTCACCCATGTACCCTGATTGCTTAAAAACTGCCAGCAAGGGCAATTTGTCGACATTAACACTTTAGACACGACTAGGCGTCACTTAACGCCAACTGAGGTTGCTCAGATTGTTGGAATGGTACAGGGGGGTCTCACCCAAACTCCTGTTGCCAATCATTTTAATGTTTACCGCAGTGTCATCTCAAGAGCGATAACTCGATACCATCAAACTGGACTGATGACAGAGAGACCACGCACAGGTCGTCCAAGGGAGACAACTCCTCGTGAGGACCGGTATTTAGCCACCCTAGCCCGGAGAAACAGGTTTACTACGGCCAGATCTCTCCAGAATGACCTTCAGAGAGTTGCAGGAAACAGAGTCTCAACACAGACAGTAAGAAACAGACTTTACGGTCAGGATCTGAGGTCCAGACGACCAGTACGACGTACTGCTTGGGCAATTCAACGCCGTAACTGGAGGGTCAATCGCTGGCGTAACGTTCTCTTCACAGACGAGTCAAGATTCTGCCTTGACTTCAACGATGGTAGGGCACGTGTGTTGAGAAACCGTAATGAACGATACGCCAACTGTACAATTGCTGAACACGACCAGTACGGAGGTGGAAGTTTGATGATCTGGGCTGGCATCAGGGTTGGACACAGAACGGATCTTGTGGTCATCAGACATGGTACCATGACTGGAGTACGGTACAGGGACGAGATTGTCACACCTGTGATCATTACCCTGGCACAACAAGTAGGTCCTAACTTAATTTTTATGGATGATAATGCTCGTCCACATCGAGCAAGAGTTGCCACTGATCTTCTTCAGACCAACAACATCACGCATATGGACTGCCCTGCAAGGTCTCCGGATCTTAATCCGATTGAACATGCATGGGACATTCTTGGAAGGCGTGTTTATGGTCTTCATGTTTGTCCTCAGAATCTTGATCAACTTGAACAGGAGAATGGCAGAACATTCTACAACAGACACTTGATAGGCTTATCTGGTCAATGCCAAGACGTGTAGAAGCTTGCATTCAAGCCAATGGTGGACATACACTTTACTGAACATTGGATCATTGTTTCAAAATGACTTAAACTCAAATTTAAAGATTTTCATCTTTCAGTGCGGCACATTTTGCACGACTGTTTTCATGATACTGTTTTTGATCATTTGTAAACCTGTTAGGCATACACGCTTTTCAGTTCCCTTTGAGGGCAATGTGTGTTTGTGCTCTTTCTTTGTATTGCTTTAGTCAGTTTTTAGATATTGGAATATATGAGTGAGTGAGTGAGTGAGTGAGTTCGGTTTTACGCCGCTTTTAGCAATATTCCAGCAATATCACGGCGGGGGACACCAGAAATGGGCTTCACACATTGTACCCATGTCGGGAATCGAACCCGGATTTTCGGCGTGACGAGCGAACGCTTTAACCACTAGGCTACCCGACCGCCCCTGGAATATATGAACTTGGACTGACACATAATATATTTTTTGCTTAACTTTTTGTGAGGAGTATAGTACAACTTTCCCAGCAGATTGAAACATGGATGGTGTGAGGTGAGGTGAAATTGGGTTTAACGTCGCGTCCAAGATTATTGCACTTATATAGCGACGTGCATGCACGTGTATGTGTGTGTGTGGCTGCTTGTACTAGTCCGGACTGATGCCGATTTATAGTGCTAGCTCACTGAGATACCATGCCGCAGTTTAACATGAATACCCCACTCAGACACAGTATACTGACTCCGAGCCGACCAGTCCTTGTTTTAGCCCCTTAATGCCGAGCGCCAGACAGGGTAACAACAAGTACAATCTTTTAACGTCTTTTTGTATGACGCGGCCCGGGATCGAACCCTGGACCTTCCGCTCTCCGGGCGGACGCTCTACCACAAGACCACGGAGGCGGTCGAAACATGGATGGAAATCAAATGGGAGTTTTTGATAACTGAATCACAAAACAACTTCAATGGCGTATCCGAACTCGAAATATGAATGAGGGGATTGCGAACGTTTAGATTTGTTACTTGAGTGTAATCACTACATGTATTTTCTGTATACACTATATGCAAATGCCAGTTGCCAATTAAACTTGTAGGTATTGCCAAGGGTAACAGCATAAACATAAGAATTAGCATAGTACAAGATGGTAACGTTTCTTAATTGAGTGAATAAACAGTCGATAAACTGACGATAAAGTTGTTTTTGTGAACTTTAGTGGCCGCTATCTATTCGAACTTATCCACGGATTATCCGCGTATTATTCGCAATAATACTGCAGAACACGACAACAATTTTTTACGTTGCAGTGAAATGTCAGCCCTTTGATATCTTTGCAAAGCATTTTCAGAAAGCCTTCACCTTAGTGTGTGTCACTGTAAGGCCTTTATTTATTGTCGTTGGTTGTTAAGGCCTGCGTTCAAACTTATAGTTGGGTTCCCGACTTCACTGCAGAAACAAATCAAACCCACACTCGCGTCACTGGTCCACACGGTAACAACACTTGCCCATTGCTTACTGATGTGGGCAAATTGAGTTGCCGAGTAGACGTAGCTGTATTCTCTCGTGGATTTATTTGCTCGTTTTGTATCACCATCATAAAGGTCAGTCGTAGGAGTGATGATCAGTGCATGATGTGATGCGTACAACTATAGCATCTTTTTATGAAGGAACCTGACAAGAGAGCCGCTCCAAGTGTATCATAGTATACCGTAGTGGATATTGTGCTTTCTGTAGTTGATGCAATTTATCTTTCTTCTACTCCATTGCTCACAATATATAGATAATACACAAAGTAACTTCAGCATACATTTTAATTCTTTCAAAAAGGATATGAGTAGTATATTATACGTTTGTATTTGAAGTAGTATATGCATTAGTGTATACATTTGTTAAGGGATATTTAATATGCAGTGATGGGGAACGGGAAGCGGAGGAGAGGGGATGATAATTTTTTGTTGGAGTCTTAATTTAACTGCTTCAAAACAACTAGTTTTGTGGAAGCCAAACAACTTGTTTTCACCATATATTTTTCCAGGACATCTAGCATGTTCAGCGAACTTTTTAGTTGTTGGCAAAATATATACAATTTCCATAAATTATATGTCAAGATCAAATGCTCATACATACATACATACATACATACATACATACATACATACATACATACATACATACATACATACATACATACATACATACATACATACATACATACATACATACATACATACATACATACATACAAGTCTATTCTACATAGCAGCATTATATTTAGAGCGATATTTATAAAGGGGCCATATATTATTCGGTTCGGGAGGGGATCTGTGATTAATGTTAGAGACAGGATATCTATTCGGCCACTCCTCGAAACATACAATGTTCTTTCTGAAGTGGAAGACAAAGACATTTCTTTTTCTCGTTGCTTTTTTTAATTGACACGGGTATGGATAAATAACTTAACGTTTAGGAGAATGTGCATATATGTTTCTATGAACGCGGGGGAATCCAGATTTCTTATGGAACAAAAGCTGATTTGAGCTCACTGTAGCATCATTGTCAATCAAAACGTAAAAACATGTATGTGGTTGCTATGTTCACAAGTAAAATTGTCGCATATCTAATTATCAACTTTTGGTTGATTGTTATCGTTATTTACAATGTAAATGATGGTAATCCTATGATAAAGGTAATTTTATTTACATCAGCACTTTTATCGTCTTTTGTATTGACATAACAGCTATACAATGCGGTGGGCTAACTGCAACGACTGAAAAGAAGCTCCTTACCTCAGAAGGGTATCCTATCAAATATGAACCGTAAGTATATTTTTTTAATGAATCAGTTTGCACACTGTATAGCTATGGAATACTAGAAGGGACATTTTGCGTTTACGCCTTTACAAAACCAAGCAAATAATGACCCACTTAACCAAAGCGTGACATCGCAATAACGAGACAGCGCTTTCATTTGAGCAATTGCATACTATGAATAACACAGTTATTTAACCAAAACACTCTCTAATAAATTACTAGTTCGAAATACAAAAGGGGTTAATATTTGTGTCCTCAGACTAAATTGGTTAGTTACTTAATCAGAGCATGATTATATACTGTAGTATCTTCAAGGAGATGTTCTAACACCCTTAAAACTTAGGAAGATAGTATGGCTATCCTCGAGCTCATGACTGTAGAGTTTCAAGCGACTCTTGCTACTGTTTGATCAAAATTACAACAGTAAAGGCCTCAGTAAAGCTATGGCTGTTGTGGTAGGCACGAGGAGCACATTTCCAAATTTACGTATCAATGACCAAAATTATGTCCAATGCAATTTCCTATGTTGCCTTTTACGCAATATATAAACTCAATAAATAATATTCAATACATGTACGTTCATTAAAGTGATTCTCTGTATTGCTGCCCACCTCTCGTTGGCGGCATGGTCATTTCATAACACACATACATGTAAACAGTGGATGTGTAATTCAAATTCGGATTGGTTGCGAAAAATGCGAACTTCACACGACAAACATAATAACAATCTTTTGCATCGCAGATTACTAACTAAGCATGTAGGAAATATAATATCCATAATTATGTATTAGTTGCATACTATACAAATACAAGTTTTTTCAACCAAGCTATCAATATTCAATAAATATTGACTTTATGGCAATTCAAATGGGTCGCACACAGAAGACGTCACACTATATTCCATTTATTTGTCTATTCCACTTGTTTGTGAGTACTAACTAATACTGGTAGTTAATATTTCAGTTCACAAACATGCTCGTGGAGTCTTCAGGCATCTGACTCTTCCAAGAATGTAATTCTAGAAACAGTGGACATGATGATATAACCCTCAACTGGTTGTGTTGATGATTCAGTCAGCATATATGACGGTAAGATCAGTATACCCCTTGGAGATCCCGGGATCCTATATATAGTATGCTGGTCGTAAGATGCGACCAAATGGATAGGGTGGTTAGGCTCGGTGTCCTCGTACCATGATGGCGTGGTTTGTGGCTCACAATATCGACCACTGGCTTGTCTGGTCATGACCCGACTATCTACATACCGCCGTCAGACAGCTGGAGATTACTACACACATATGTCTTAAATATTAGATGTCTCGTATATATCTAAACACGAGCGTAAATGACACAATTAGTATGTGCCAGAAACTGACGCCGGTACATTTCGCTAAATTGACAAACTGACTGATAAAATTGTACATTATACATAAATTAACTGTTGTGTCTTTGTACCATTACCCAAGTACAGTGAATGACTCAGCGATTGTTTATCAACAATTTAACCTTCATATTACGTCGGCTGTAAACAATGATATTTTAATTATTTTATGTGTGTATGGGTAAGTCAAAATCATAGAAGACAACAACGGATTATATACAGTGAGTGTTTAAGAAGTGTTATTATATAACTAGGCAATCAGTAGTATAAATGCTATATCCCTATAACATGTTCAAATGCCTTTACGCTACAAGCTCTAACTGTAGCCAATATACATTCTTTACAGTTCTTATATGCTCATTGGATAAATCACTCGCCTCTGTTGATTCCGGAAGTTTGAAACCAATAACCATTGCAGATTCTACTTCCTGAATCATCAGATTCGAGTGATATATCTGATATTTAATTTCTTTATAATTCTGTATAATAACCTACAGTTGCGTCAGTTTTACTTGCACAAACTGCACGCTCAAAATGGCCAGTGAATTCCTTGTCAAGAACAATCTGCAACAACAATAGCGTGGCATCATTGTATTTATGTATTCCCCCTATGCTTCCATGTGTTATGCGTTGAAAGTAACATTATTGATATTTATATATACATATTATATAATTTCACTACAGGTGACTCAAACTCTGCCACTAAGCTACACACGTTATGTCGAGACACTCGTGTGTTTGTGACCTCATCTGGACGGAACATGTACCTTGAATTTCGTTCCAACAGTATTCTGGAGACAAGAGGCTTCCAGTTTCGATACTACCAGGGAGACAGTGTGTAACACCAAAGTCATTATCAGCCATTAAATATACGCTACTCAAATGTTCAGAATACCATGTCAGGTCTTATGGTAAACGTTCACCCATGGGTGCAGACAGTTAACTCTGCACATATTACACAGTATCGACTATAGCGATCAAAATTTGAATCCTTGAACAAAATATGTTATTGTTCGTGACTTGGGAATCACGAAATATATGGTTAAGTGCATATTTTATTAATAGGTACCTATCGTTCCATTGACGATCCTTGGGGATTATTCAATCAGATTATTACGCTAGTACTTCTTTGTACCTGTAGAGAAATATGAAGATGTTTTTATGATCACAAAACCCCTTGTGGATTTAAGTGAGATTTCAGATCCCCAACTACCCATGTGTTCATTCATCCAATTGTAATTGATTCGAAACATACAACTCCAAAAGAGCCCTATTTATGGTTCAAGCTTCAAGAGCTCTAGTGTTTATTAGTGTTGAAAATCCCAAATAGGCTTTCCAAAGATTTTAACGCAATGTGATTGTTCTTCTCGAAGTAAAGTGAATGGTCATTAAAATGGTCAGTCAGTTTTGCAGTCCATTTATGAATAAAGTTGGTAATACCACAGTAGCTGTAACAGTTTAATTGTTATATATCTAATATACCATATGTACTTATGCGTATATATTGAATTATAATCTCGTCATCAGTAGAGTTAATATAAGGAAAGTACAAGTCGATAAATGCGTCGTGAAGGTGAATTGTCATTTTCCTCAGAAGCTACGCCTTGCACGTTCACGTTTACTGCTACTCGGGATGTGAAGACCTTCAACTCACCTGGCTACCCCATTGCATACTTCAAGTAGGTTGTACTGTCCGAGGACCAAGCATGATTCATACTTGCTTTTATTGCAGTTGCATTCGTCCATTCATTAGCTTGGTGCCTTCAATGATACACTTGTTAATGTTCTGTTCTGTTATATATTTTGATAATTATATGTCTCCAATTACTTCCTCGTTCTGATCAATATAACCTAGTTTGTATGACACGTTGCTAGGCAACAACAGGTGAATTCAACACTCATTTCTGAGCAAAAAGATGTTTTTGCTTGGTAGATAACCAATTTATCAATGAACTAACTCTTATGACGCTGTGAAATGATACCAATGGCACAAAATGTACAATCACTCAACGTACATAGAATGAGAATGTGTACAACGTGAACACAATTGAATAGTTACGTATACTGAATGAGTGATTTAATGTAGTGTTACGCCGCACAACATACATTGACGTGATCATTTATACTAACCTAACGTTGATTTGTTATACACCCATTTAGATTTGAACTTTGTCATGGCTTTGCAAATAAATTTATTTTTCAGAATATCATGTGATTTATTTTACAGCGGTTTATCCTGTGAATATTCAATTCAAGCGGCCGATGCATCAGATAGTCTGCAATTGGAGTTTACAGACGTTGATGTTCAATCATCTCAAAGTTGTCGTGACGACAACAACAGCGTGGCAAATATAAATAATGCATTACAATATTTCCGGAACTAAACTTTTTCGGAGCACAGTAATATATGTAGTCTAACCCGCCTAATTCAGTGTGGAGATACGTGTGTCTAATTGTGTAAGGACCCGCTGGTTACTGACTGATTCGCCCTGATTGTGATCCGTGGTTTGTCGGCACCATCGAGGTTTTTACTTGCCTTTGTCACGGGTGCCGCCGGTGAAAAAGGATAAACTTACCTAGTCGTGAACACCTGTATCATCACCACCTGACGTACAATGGATTCTGCGTTTAGCAGATATTTCTTCTATGTGGTTCGTCGTTTTCCCCATCGTACATCTCCCACGCCATTGAATAACTGAAATATTGTCAAAGTTCCAAGTGGCAACAAAGGAGAGGTCATTAAAGTCGCTCATTGTATATATCATTAAAGTCGCTCAGAATATATCACTTATGTAATCTGGAACACTTATAGTATACAATCAAAGCAAACCCGATACATATGTTTGACTACAATGTGCCGACAATTGCAGCTATATATATATTGGCTGTGTAACAACTGAGACACAAAGCACACTATCCGACATATGCATAAGTCTATGTTGACTCAGTTTCAGGTGGAGATGACCCAGTTGCCACAATCTGTGGTATGCCGAACTCAACCTACCAAGGAGGAAACAACATGAAGGTCACATATACCTCAGATGGGTCAAGGGTCAATAAAGGATTTTCAGTTGGATATCGAAGCGTCTCGAGTGAGACATTTTTAATTCATGAAAGTAAATCATAGTAATCATGTTTTTTAAACGACACTTATGAGGGTTTTTTATATTAAAAAATGTGCCGTAAAAATGTCTTATCATTGCCATACCATAAAATCATTAATTCTTATGAAACATTAGTTTTAAACACTTACAAATTTTATTCATTATGCATTTTCTTTGAACACACTATGTCATTTAGAATGTGGTCTTATGTAACAAATGTTATTGGTGGCGTGAAACCTTCTGAGAAAAGTAACAATTATGTTACTTCCGTCCTCGATTCGAACCCATACTGCCAGACCGAGGCACCTAATCGCGGGCACACAAAGTCAGCGATGCTTTTTCTTGTTTATTTACTTGTTTTCCTTTTCTATAAATTACATTACATAAAGTACATGTTACCTGGTAAGTCTTTGGCATGGTACACCTGAAGAAAAAGAAACATTTCCAAAATCGGAAAGAACATGGACAAACTGACCTTTCCAACATTCCATCTGTGAAAATGTGTGCAAACTTCCAAAAGTAAAATTTAGAAATATCACCTTTCCGAGCTTTTGAAAAGGGTCTTTTCCCTTATTACAATAGGAGGAAATGTTTGGAAAGAGATGTTACAGAAGGTGTTAACATTGTACATAGCGATGGAAATCTATAATACATCTCGTTTATTTTATATGCTTCAGAGGAAGAATGTTCAATACACGTGGAGGCCACAGATATGGATTCGTTTATCATGTCTCCAGGGTACCCGACTCAGTACTTCAGGTAAATATTGTACAGGAACATTATTTGCCATGATCGTTTCTTGTCATGTTACCTTCTTTATAACACCTTCATACAAGCGTGGGGAATTATAATAAAACTTACATTTCGTGGTTCATCTTATAAGTGAAGGAACGTACGAATATTGTTTAACACCGCAATCACATTAGCATTCCAGCTATGTCGCGGCGGCATGTCATAAATGGAGTCTGGACCAACCCAATTAGTGCCAGAACCACCGGGCCCTCTTTAATTGATTCAAAACAACTTGTGTAACGACCACAAACACTGTTAAGAATAATTTGTGAAGCTGATTACAAACTGTACGATTTGCAGAAATGTCGAGGTATGCACCATTAATTAATAAAAAGCTCGATGCCATAGAGATATTGTGTAAATGAAGCTTTGCTCCTCCAGCAACATGAACTGCCGCTGGACCATCGTGGCGACGGATAACGATGCTACGGTCGAACTGGTTGCTGTCATCTCCGACATTGCCGACACTTCCCCATCTTGCAGCAGTGACAGAGTGTCTGTTACGGACTGTAAGCTTCTATGTTAATGACGTTAATGGATAATTAGATTTGATAAATTTAAATTTAAAACAATATTCAAGAAAATGTCAGTTCCGTAGGTGGTGATATGAACATAAGAACATAAGATCAGTATCGGTTTTTTTATTCAACGATGTCACTCAATGGTTGGCTGGGTACTTGCCGCGTTCTCAGGATTTCGTAATCTTTGGCTAACTGTGACAAAACAAATGCAGGATGCATAAAGACGAGAGAAACGAGGGATCTCGCAGTTTCATTCTTCACACACATACACATATTCATTATATACCGGATTTTGTGAATGCTAAAAAGAAGAAATGTGAAATGTGTTGAACTATGTTGAAAGCTTGGCACATGTACATGTGGCATTGTCTTCCTATGAACAGTTCAGCTGATGAACACTGGGGTCATTTGGTTGAAACATTTTGGTCATGTCGAAAATTGTGACACACATATACGTGTAAACACGTTCCACCGGATTTCATGAATGAAAAAAGTGCAACTGTCAAATGTGTGAAATGTATTAAACAAGTTTTTATTGAATTACCATCTTCAGCTGATATGACAGAACTGGGGATATTCTGTGGAACGAACAAACCTACATATAATAGTACAGGACCAAACATGACTGTTGTCTTCACGACTGATGGCACCAATCAGGCACCAGGATTTCGTCTGAAATACAAGCAGAAACGAGGTAAGTCGTTTTTCATGGGTTACACCACATTATTATAAGGTCTACACCGTTCTGTTAGTGAGAAGAACAAGGAAAGAATGAGTAGAACGTGTTCAAGTTATCACAGACTGTATACATCCACTGCATTTCATCTGTTGAGAGATTGTTATGTATGTGAAAACAAGACACGATGGACAGCGCAAGTGCTCTATGAAATCTCAATCAGATATGTTTGTAGAATGCTTTTGCAAGGTTCAAATGTATTTACTAAAACAATTTATAAAGTAATTAAGATTCCAATCATCGTTGCCTGCATATTCGGACAATGGTGTACTCTTGCGATATTGTAAAGGAAAAACGAGTGCAGCAATGTGTCAAATGCAGGACTGGTTTCGCGTTATTTAATTTATATATTTGTATTAGAAATATAATACGATTTTGGTTTAAATGTCAGATTATTTCTTGTGCAAATGTGAACCAAGAGAACGTAGCTGCTAGTAGAAGGGGTGGAGATGCGTACAGTGACTATGGTCCGTTTACAGCAATACAGATTGTCAGACACACCTTTTCGTACAGCTTTTTCACTCCTTACGTTTTTAAAGTTATTTGCTGTGCATCTTCTAAATTTAAGAAACCCAACAAATTAACCTCTTCTCCCAAATTATTAACACCCCATTCTGGTCCATTGTAGTTATATATTATACGCGGAGCTGGATGGACTGTTGCGTACCTTTGGGGTACGAGAAACCGATTGCCGTTGATTTTGGTACGATATTCTCCCTGATTATGTTACTAGGTTTGTCATAACCAGAGTCGTGCCAGTGTGTTTAGCCATACAGATTACACTACTGATCCAACGTATGTCGGAGAGAACCAACTTTTGACACTCTGTTGACCCATGTTTAGCTGATAGAGGAGGTAGTGATTGCTGTATTCCTGAAACGAATGGCATCAGGTGTATTTGCTGATGCCTGCCTTTTAGATGAGATGTAGTGTATTTGGTGCTATTTGGTTTTGACATTTGCTTCAATAACATAAGGTTAGGTGACAGCTCAGTGACGTGGTGCTTCGTGTTACATCTTGCGATTGATCAAACTTAATCATACCTTACTATGATGTTTGCAGCCACACTGTCAACGTGTGGAGGGGCATTAACAGCTTGAGGTCCTGAGGAACTGCTTTCACCAGGCTACCCAAGAGCATATTTGAGGTCTGTTACAAAAGGTCAGGTATTGCTGTGTTTAATTGATCAGCAAATGCTGATATGTGAACGGTTTGGGAGATTAGGTAATGTCAATTAATATTTATTCACAGGTATTTGTTTGTATGGGCAAGCTATATTTAACGCCGTCTTAGCACTGGAATCGTTTTATGGTGAAGGGAAGCTCAAAATAACATGCAAATATTTACCTCTATGGAAGCATAGGTTTGGACCTGCCAGCGTTAATCTTGGCTTTGAACCTCCGTGCAAAGTATCTTAGCATGATCAAGGGACGCAGTCTAGTCTGTTTGGCCGTCGACGGTTTTTTTTCTATGACGAGATTTGTATGTGAACAAAATGAACAAGCAATTGCAATTGTCCAGTGGAAGTTGCTTGTGTCATATCAATGTGTTACAGATCACAAACATGCATATGGACAATTACAGCCTATAATGAAAGCTTCGTCAATCTCAAGCTTGTTGACATTGATGTTGAAGTTAATGATCGCTGTCAGCCGGATAGCCTCAAGATATATGACGGTAATCATTTGCATGACTTTGGATTATATATACTCCAATAGTAACTGTAATACTATGGCATCAATGTTATCATTAAGAGTGACTTTGCATTAATGGCTTTGTATATCATCAATGATCTGTGTACAAGGAAAATCACTTCATGCAGAAGTGTGGACTAAACAACTCCAGGCATTACAACATGACTTCTTCATTATTAACAGGGGACAGTTCTGCAAGTCCTCTTCTGGGAACTTGGTGTGGACAAATGAACGGTTACAGGTTACAAAGCACAGGGAATGTGATGACTCTTATCTTTAACACTGACGACTCCAATAACGGAAGAGGATTCAAAGTCAGATATACACAAGAATCAACTAGTAAGTTTGTTTATTTGAGTAAATCTTGCGTATAATTTCGACAGTTCACCAAATGTTGACGTAGCAAACCTTGTGTTACAAATTCTAATTCCTAAGTATTGTCATAAAGATCGAATACAGTTCTCTCTTTTAGCAAATGTATAAAAGTTATAGAAATTAATGTAACATGGCTATATAAGTAGACAGATATAACGTAGTTTTATTGTCTTTCAAACAGGTATGGTATGCGCCGAAAGATTTGAAGCTACAGACACATATTCCTACATAACCTCGCCGAACTACCCGAATTCTTTCCCAGGGTTTGTAGTTTTAATCTAGAAACAAGACATAATTACAAAGGTACTGGTGTTCATTGAGACCGTGTTTGTCCGTACCCAGTTCATCCATCTTTCAGGGTGTGACTGCTGGTTCCGCGTGCATACATACATAGTGACATTACGCTAGAAACATGATTCATTATTCCGGACATTCATTAAACCAGACGATTTCAGTGGGAACGCTGGCGTCCAAATTAACCGGATTTCATTGTTTTCGTTTTATAATTGTTGTGTAGTATTGCGTATTTGTAGTAACAGTGTAGTTAAAATGTTGGTTGGTCTTAAAAGGCAACTGAAGCATCAATCGGGACAGCATTGTTGCTGAATTCTGAAAGTCAATGCGGTGAACATGCTTTCACTGATTCAGTTTCGAATACAATTTAGAGGTATCACATTTTGATCTCCATTTTACCATGACAAAAATCTGCTATCTATTTCGTGATACAGAAAAATAAAAGTAAGCAACATTGGATAAATAATATTTGTTTTGATTCAGTGACCGATGACAAGAAATAATAATCCGCATATTTTTTCAATAATATCATAATCTTATATAATACTCAAATCACCCAAAATAATTTGTAATTTGTTCTTTAAATAGAACATCCTATAACAATTTGAGGCTACCACTGAAAAGTTAAATAATCAAATACACATCACCAGCATGATGTCATAATGTACAGACATGACGTCAAATATGTGAAACTTAAGTATGACGTCACATTATCTAGACTAACAAGCGATAAATTTCAGGTTCTCTGATTATCCTTTTTCAAAGCGTGCATCACTCTTGTTCTTCTACAAGGGTATCAGGGTTTTGCGTCTTAAATATTTTGCAACACTTAGCGTTATCTAGCAACCACCACGTGTGTGGTTATCAGTGAAATCAGTGTTTGAAATTGAAGAAATACGTAAAGATGTCATTACAGTAAACTACTGTTATAACGAACTCAATGGGACTACTAATTTTAGTTCGTTATAACCGTAGTTCGTTATAAGCATATATACAGCATAACTACAGCAAATAGTCGGGACCAAAAAGTTCGTTATATCCGTCAGTTCGTTATAAGCTTGTTCGTTTTAACCGTAGTCTACTGTATATCTATACTCAAACCCTGAAGTGAATGAGATCATATACATCTATTGATAACTCTGAATGATGCATACATGTAGATTGACATTTAAAAAAAGGAATTGTCAGAATAGCCATGTGACAGATCTAAAGCCAAATGTGACAGCAGTACACTTTACATCGTTAAAGAATGTGAAAGGAAGTTTGTGTTGTCTGCTTCAAACTAATCACAAATATGATAAATATGATTACCTTTTTAGTATATGATCTAGTTATGTAGTCTTTGGAAGAACTTTCCCAACATTAACCCAAGCTTTGAAAGAGCAAGGGAAAACTTAAAAACGTCCCATTTTAATTCTGGAAACCCGTTTGTCCAGAAGCTCTCAACACGATATTTTCATATGTACTAAGGAAGAAAACACTGAAACCAAAATGTTTCGAAAACACTGTCGACTTACGCGCGACACGCCGAAGACCCGGGTTCGATTCTCCATATGGGTACAATGTGTGAAGCTAATTTCTGGTGTCCGCCGAGGTGATATTGCTGGAATATTGCTAAAAGCGGTGTAAAATCAAACTCACTCACTCACTCACCTTGCCTGGTTAATGTTGAAAAATCATTCTAAATTCGTGTTCTTCAGTTTGAAACTTTTCAATCCTGACCGGTAATTAGAGGGCGCTCCGCTAACCTATGTAAACTGCTTGGGCGGTCTGCGCGCGCAATTCGGTTGTCAACACAATATCCGGCGTTATGCAACTGAAGGGAACTATATTGGTACAGGTCCTGCCCTGAACTGACCAGCGTCACAGTAGCTTGACCACACCACCTCCCCAGCAACGGCGATGTGGATGGTGAACCTTAGCAACAAAAGAAACAGTTTGATGTTGGACTAATATCAGGGTTACCCAGACAGTTAAACCCGTAAATAAGTTATATTCCGTGCTCTTTCAGCTTATAATATCACTTGGTGTATATCAGTAATGGATAATATCAGTGACTGAGGGTTTACTCCGCTTTAAGCAGAACTCGAGCAATATATGGGGAACCAGAGGAAAGGACTTTACATATGATTATACTAATTTGAGGAACAGAAGCTGGTCTTTGGCGTTAGGAACGAACACTTTAACCAATAGAATACCCCACCAATGGTTGTGGGTTGTAGACTGAGAGTGAGTGAATGTTGTTTTGCCCTGCAGTAAGCACTTTTTCAATATTATAACGACGGGTTGGCTGCATGGAAGAAACTCTATGTTGTCGGGTATGATGACTTACAACAATCCAAACTGACGTTGTAATCACTCTATCACGCGACTCATTCTGAGGACTGAATGAGAGGACTCATTCTGCTCCAGTATACCCACGGGGCCGTTCTATTGTGACATACCCTGCAATCGTTCATCAGGATAGTTTCGTTCAGAACACACCCCGGTGCTGGAATGACGTAGCATTTAACCACAACCATAGGCTCAACTTGCACATCATGTGATCGGACTTTTCTCTTGTTTGTAGACAGACGTTCTAATTCCAAAACCAGAACAGACGGGCCTTATGCAAGCCTTTCAGTGCGCTTAACATGTTGTTCGACGGTGAGATACATGGCAATTATCTTTATTCATCAAGTGGCCGTATCGCCAGATCTCGACTGTGCTTCGACGACAGCACGTGGAGCCGCACAACCAATGTAAACAAAGGATAACTACGTTTTATGACATTTTCTCAATGAAAGTTAAACACTCTATGACATATGTTAATCTAAATGTAGAGGCTCGTCAAAAATGAAACAGAAGAAAAACGTATGCAATATATTGAGTGGGCTGTGTAAGATGTGACGAATCGAAGGAGAGAAGTTTCAGAAATCAGATCACATCTATGTCTCCATATTATTCCTTTTATTAACCTTAGAAAGAATATACCTTTTCTGAATGCGAATTCAAAGTCCCTTGCAATATACAGTCGAACCAACTCACTGCTATAAATGATTCATTTTCTGGAAGTGATAGTTCCATAAGTGGTAAGACAAGGAAGTCCTTATGGTAAAAGGAGTTCCAATGGCGTTTTTTTTAAACGACATGCAACGAGGTGAGTCGAGTAAAGTGATACCGCAGCTTGTTTCATTCCTGAAAGATTAATGTAAGTGGATGCCCTTGTACAAAACAATCGTAACGCTACGAACTGTCGTAAGTCTATGTTAAGATGTGGGAATTCCGAGCACCCAGGTCGGCTCTTTTTGACGTCGTGTCGTTCGAACCGGATTCAAAGAGAAACTATGGTGGCGAATGTGTCCAGGGTACTTAGCATCATAGAATACAGTGAGTGAGTGAGTATGGTTTTATGCCGCTTTTAGCAATATTCCAGCAATATCACGGCGGGGGACACCAGAAATGGGCTTCACCCATTGTAACCATGTCGGGAATCGATCCCGGGTCTTCGACGTGACGAGCTAACGCTTTAACCACTAGGCTACCCGACGGCCCCTTCATAGAATACAGATATAATGCCCCGGGTTATCAAGATTGGTGATTACAAAAAGTCATCTTGTGCTGTACTGTGCTGTGCTCATACTATAGAAATACCATGTACTCACCATCAAATACCTGAAGATAGCCATCCTTGCACGGATACTGACGTTTATCATCATTTCCAGACACAATGTTAACATGCACCTTAAAATTGGAATCGTTTAGCGCTTGGGTCGTCAGTCGCCAGAAACACTGGATGTTCCTTAAAATAATCAAAACGTTCGAAATCAATGTACACTTTATCAAAAATGAAATAATCTATACACGCATATTTATTGTAAAATGGTCTTTTGGTTCTATCCCAGATATATATGCTTAACAAATGGACAGATTAACTTTAGTTTAAAACTTTAGGACAGCTATTCCACATGTATACAAGAGGCAGTATACAATCAATGAGACGTAGTGGATATACATTCAATTATAGCCAGTGGATATGGAATCAGTTAGAGCCAATGGATATCAGTCAGATGGAGTCAGTGGATATCAGTCACTGGTAGCCAGTGGATATACAGTCAGATGGAGTCAGTGGATATCAGTCACTGGTAGCCAGTGAATATACAGTCAGTTGGAGTCAGTGGATATCAGTCACTGGTAGCCAGTGGATATACAGTCAGTTGGAGTCAGTGGATATCAGTCACTGGTAGGCAGTGGATATACAGTCAGTTGGAGTCAGTGGATATACAGTGGATATACAGTGGATATCAGTCACTGGTAGCCAGTGGATATACAGTCAGTTGGAGTCAGTGGATATACAACCAATGTTAGCCGGTGGATACAATCAGTTAGAGACAGTTCATATAAAGCCTATCAGAGCCAGTGGATATACATCAGTCAATCAGTTAAACTGATACGCACAGTTGACCAGAGGGGCAAGGAAGGATTTGCTCCTGTTCTGTGACAGCGACAGTCACTGGGGCAGGACTACAAGCCGACGTCTCCTCTGAAACAACCATGTACTTTAATCTTTGACTGATGTTGTAGAGTAAATTTAAGTTGGATATTGAGAACATGATTCCCAGTCTCTTGCTTGGTAAAGGTACCAGAATATATTTGTATGCTGTTGAAGACCATTCTCAGCAGCATCCAAACTATATGATGGCGTCTTTAAATAACCGAATCTGGATCAGACAAACCAGTGGGGCATGATGGCACGCTGTCAATCAAGTCACCGAGCCTGTCCTCCCGACTCGTTAGGTCTCACGACTCGCACAGGGCGCTGGAGACGTATTCGAACCCGGAATCTCACAGGGCAGAGTAACCGAAAGCCGCATCAAATCTTGGTAATTCTGGGTAAATATCAGTGGGACGAAGCAACCTTGTCGTAAGAGACGCCTACTAGATCGGGCGATCGGGTTCAACGTTATAAAGCAAACAAACAAACGAAAATCGCATCAAAATAATGAAAGAAGTTTAAATCCATAACAGAATACTTAACCACTTTGGAGTAAACTGATTATTACATAAAGGTTCACACAACAGAATGCTATTGATGTTATGATCTCTATCATTAAACCTCTTTTTGTTTTGAACTCAATTCTTGTAAGAGGAATGTTTCTATTTTAGTACTGGGAAGACGAGGATCAACCAACCTTTGTTAGAAGGGGTCGTGGCAACTGTTTGCATTGGAGGCCGTGATTTTGGAGATTTCCATGCAGTTTTGCGAACATGGGTTGCCGGCAAAAGGGACCTTATCCTCCCTGAGTTGTCTGATATTTGCTTGTAGCGGATAGAAAAACCAAAATCACTGTCGATAATAACAGAGTTGAACTTTATGGTCAGAGTCGAGCCGGACGATTGAAACGCAGGAGTCTGCTGACCACACCAGGATCCGAGAAGGTTCCGCCACACAAGAGTGCCTTTAAGAAAGCTACTTTGTAATTGCATGCTTTTAATATACAGAGAATATTACTCAGAATGTTATGATTTCATAAACAGAGAAAACAATCGAATTTACATTATCATGATACAATACAGGGGGGTAGAAATCAGATAAATTTTGCTTTTTTATTACGGTAAGTGAGTATGATTGCAATTTGTTTCACGCCGTTTTTAACAATATTTCACTTTTTACACGGCTTGTCAGATTCATGTGGGAGGTAATCCCGAAGTGATGCAGGTCTTTGAGCAGCGTTGACAAAACAGCCAAACATAGATATTAAGAACATCGTACACTTGGTCACTCTCTACGTATGCATACCCTCGTTTACGCTTATGTTGTAAACGGAGTCCCATCTTGAAGGAAGAGACGATTCCACAACCTCCATCAGCACTCTGTATCCAGGCCTGGCATAGATCTTCCATTCGCAAACACCACTGCTGGCTACAATGCTAATCATCATTCTGTATCACCTTAAATGTTCCACACAACAGTGAAGATATAATAATTATTTCATAACTACATGGCCAGATTACTGCTATTCCGAATCAACTCACCTGTAAAAAGGAATATTATTTTGCGCTATAATCAGCGATATTACAGCTAATTATGGCGACATGGTGGTTGATAGCATGAACACCGATATACGCAGTCATTCATACACAATTACAGATTTTTTTAACCATCGGTCCTAAGTACCAGTAATCGGATATTACGAAGAATCTAAGCCCCAAGAGGATTAACATACAATTCGTTTGTTGCACATTATATATCAAATAGACATTTACATAACATTACGTCTGTGAAAGTAGAATATTTGGCTGTACACCATACCTCAGAAACAGCGGGCCATGATGCGTTGACATTGTGTTGAACTTCGAGGCGGCAAACACAACGGCATCACAATGGGACCAATGGATGGAGGCAACTGGACATAGGTTTTACGATTTATTTGTAACAGACATTTATTCTGTAGTGTGCATGAGAGTAAAACAAGATTAAGTACAAAACCCCTACCACAAATTAAGAATTCATGGATGTTATTTGTATAAAACATGGGAATGTTATGAATAGTTGTATTGTTATTATCAATATTGTTGCCCAAAACAAGCACACTATTTCGAACACGAAATAGTGATCCCAAATTTTGTAAAATTATATGTGGAAATGCAGTGGACACTGGTGCAACTGTAAACCTTCCTTTAGTTCACGGAATTCCATGTAAAAGGACATTATGCATATGAGTATAAAACAAGCTCATACTATTCGTCAGTACATAATGAGTACAGAAATCAACATTAAAATGCCATGTATATCGACAGAACAGTCAGAAGGGGCCATGGGTGTGATGCGGTTGTTTGTACTCGTGTAACAATCACCAGGTTCCTGTCACGCTGTCGACAGACATGGCAGATAGTGGACAGACCCAGGACATGCAGGCAGGCCCAATGTCCTTGTCCTCGTCGGTCCTGCATTTCCGCTTCCAGTGCATTTAAACTGTATAATTAAGTGTTGTGTTTTTGCATATTCACTGATTATAAACGTTACATTTGAAAAATCTTCTTGTCAAGCCTAATATATAGCTTGTAAATGTAAAGGTCCTATAGTGTCACTGATCATGAAATCCCTGCCAATATATTATATGGGGGTTATTTTGCCATATATCTAACAATGGGAAACTTCCAATGTATAATAGCAACACTACACCTTGCTCTTGATTGGTAAAAATAATTGTACTGAAGACATAAATAAGGGAATTAGAAATAAGTAAAACTATAATCATGTCGTAGTGTGTTAATAAACAATTACAGGCTTTATGGACAGAAGTTTATTTTAATATAATTCCGGAATTCCCTTATGGCTCATGAATAAGCCAAACGTGTTTATCGTTTGGCGTGCATTCAATTGCTTGACATAATATTAATATTTAGATTTAAAACTGTCACCCGGGCTTGCTAATATGCTGCTGTAGAGGGTAATGTGACAATTCTAATAGACCATTTATCCATATTAATGAGTAAGTCAGTTAAAGTTGTGTTCAGGTGGGCAGTATTTCAGCCATATTGTTCAATTATTGTACAATATGAACATGTCGACGACGGACAGTTTAACATCCTTCTAGCTGTAATCCATTATAAGATTAGTCGTCAGTTAAAATATACCAATATTCTGCGAATACAACTTATAATAAAATAATATAATAATATGAACATACTTTGCATAATGTTACCTTACAGTATACATCCACATTAATTAATAAGTACCAAATCCCCATTTCAGACAGATATAAAATTAAAAGATGATGTCATTTAAAAATGTATGATGAGTTTCCGAAATGAAGTTACCTGTATCAATGCAGAGACCCAACAGGAAGGCAAGGCAAATCCTTGTCAGTGGCATGATGCTAACACTTGCATGACCCAGCGACCACGTCGAGTACCTGAGATTATCTGTCATCAGTGTGACTGTGCAGGTGTCTTTCTCTCTGTGTTCATTATGATGAATGTTTTCCTTTGTAGAACTTCTTATTGCAGAAACCCATTGAAAGTTCGATATGACTAAAGTATACATGTGTGTTTTTTGGCGAGTACAGATATGTGCCTGCAGCTACAAGAACGTGTTATTTCTTCAAAGGAAACCTCACATACAGTAATTGTAACAGTATTTCAATGTTAATAGATCAGGGGGGTACTTTTGCAAAAATCTTTTCAAATGAATTATTGACACGGTTATATTGAAATATGTCCAAACATCGTAATAAAACCAACTCTTTGACAACTTATGTGCAAATAAATCAAAGATGTCAAATATTTTAGTCAAATGACGTCAGGAAAATCTTCATTGGTTTCTAACGTACATGAAGCAATATTGTTTAAATTCTCATAATTATACATGACTGTCACGTGAATGCAGCGCGCATTCATCATTTTGTTAATTGCATCCGTTGAGGACATTATCATCTATCAAAGGAGAAAAATAAAATGAAATCTGCTTTATTGTGATGAATGACAAAATGATTGACTATACTTGTTTTCGAGATGCTGTCAAATCGTCATGTTGCCACTTGGTATTAAAACATGTAAACTACATCTATCTTCAACTGTAAGGAGATATTTGTTTATCATTAAAAGAAAGCGACCAAAACATTTCCATGGTAATCAGAAAGCTCTCTTAAAAGCAGAGTTCATTGTACGATTCTGGCAGCATGCTCGCTTGCACCTAAAAAATGTGAAATGTAGACTGGAGGATCTAGGATATTGCTCGACACCTGCATATGGAACAGGTGAAGTCATCGCTCGTGCCATACAGTCTTGTGGAGAGTTTTTTGTCACTAAAAAATAATCTACGTGCATAGGTCTGAATATGAGGCGGGTTCACTGGTCTCTTTTCTTTTAGTTCAGGTGCGTAAATCAGTGGAACAGACTTTGTTATTCGACCGTTATTGAACTATATATGATAATCGATATACCTGAAGCTCAAGTTAAATTTCGTGGCCAAATTCCCATGAACATCCGAGAAGAAACTCTAAATCAATAAGCATAAAGAAACTGACCAACAAGCAGGGAAATACAATTGGTGTCCATGGGAATGCCTAGTACTTAATTAGGCATCGTCCCATAAAACCTATGATCCAAGATTCGCCCTGTTGATGCTGTTTTGATGTTCGTCAGCACGGCACCACTGCGTACTCGTAGACGGGTGATTCCTGTAGAACAGGACATGCTAACCCTTTTCGTTAAAAGCTGGTTTCATTACAGATTCAAACTCACCTACAAGCCCTGTCTTAAAGAATATCAATTTCACAGTGGGTAACCCCTCAAACTTAACTTGCACATTATCCCAATTAAAACACCAGGCATTTAAACGTGACCCTTGTGAGAGGGATGCATAATGAGATTAATTGAGAAATGTCTGTATATTTCTATGCTGTGTTGCCCAGTGGTCTGTCTATGTTTAAGGCGCCGCTTCTCAGTTGTCGTGAGTTCCAATCCCATATTTCTTTTAATTACAATTCTTGGCCCGGAGTTTGAATCCCACATTAGTTTTGAATATATTTCTTGGGTGTCAGTTCGAATCTCTTTTTTTATTATAATTCTTGGACATGAGTTCGAACCCCATATTCTATGACTCTAGGACGTGGCCTCATCGATGACTCATCGTATCCCGACGGGTGGAATGTTCTACATAAATCAGTCACTGGTTTGTCTAGTCCAGCATGAAGTATGTACTGGTCGCATTGAATCATTGGTGCGGGGACCTGGGATTATATAAAAATTAAACTATTCCAGAAATTGTCTGAAATAAATAAATATGCTACAGGTTGTTGGACAAAAAACAAACAAATTGTGTACAGTAGCAAAAAAACACATTGTTGCAAGAAGTTTACAAAATTTATCAAAACCCGTATTTGCAGCAGAAGGTGGAAGATATCCAGACTCTACACAAACTCCTCAACCTGACCCAGCCCCACCCCACTTCAACCCCGTCACTCCCCCTCCTCCGAGTACCAAGTGATGCCTCCATGTGGTGCTCCAAGTGTGTGACTGATCACTTTAGCTCACAACAGCCGTACAAGCAACAATAAACGAGACACATGGTGATGTGTTGTGCATAGCGTACACAAATACGCAGCTTGTATTATCTGGAGGTATGCTATAATTTCTTCCCCGCAGTACGAGTGAACAGTCGATCCATTATCAACACAAGCGATTGCTGTTCCCCTCATACAAATCACTTACAGTCCTTAATCACTTACACTTCCGCCTGTCTCAAGCTGTAAATCTTTAGTCCATTGACTGTCCCGAGGGCGTCGTGAATGATGACTCACTCATACGCTCAAAAAACGTGTGTTGACATATAAAAGATCTTTATGTCCGTCTGCTAGTGCAAAAGGCGAAAATAAGAGATAGTTGCCGGCATCTAAAAATTCACCGTCAATCGCAGAACATAACAAAGATAAATTACATAATATATTTATTTAATAAAAAAATAAATACGATATTCCAGATTATTTAATAAATATATTTCAGAAAATACAATGATCGACTTCTACAAGTGCATCAAATGGACGTAACAAAACCTTGAAATGGTTGGATCAGATATTTTATTTTGACATACATATACATTATGATTGATCGATTTAATCTCAAATAATAGCTAAAATACATATACAACAGCAACGTCTAGACAAGTTTCACGTCAAGTATTCACGCCTCTACAGACAGATGTAGTACAAGGTGTTCAAGTCTTTACAGACAATTCAACACCAGGTGTTCACGTCTCTACACATACATCTGGCATCGGGAGTTCACGTCTCGTTCGACAAGTGTAGCACCAGGTGTTTCTACACGTTTCTACAGACAAATGTAGCTGTAGGTGTCCACGTCTTTGCAGACAAGTGTAGCACCAGGTGTACACGTTTTTACAGACAAATGTAGCTGTAGGTGTCCACGTCTTTGCAGACAAGTGTAGCACCAGGTGTACACGTTTTTACAGACAAAAGTAGCTGTAGGTGTCCACGTCTCTACAGACAAGTGTCGCATCTGATGTTCACGTCTCTCCAGACACATGCAGCACTGGATGCCCATTCCATTTAAGACAAGAGTGCTCTGAGAGCACAACATCCCCCGCATGAATTTTTTTAACGAGTTTATATTTTCTTTGTATTTTTCATGAAGCTCCGTAAAACAGGGGCAGTAACTCTGTCAAAATTAGTCGAAATGAAACGGGACTGCGATATGCGTATAATCAACATGTCGACATCTTGTGAGTAGAGTGTCAGGGATATTCTCTGGAAACTGTAGGAGGAGTTGATTTCACAAGCTTAGTACCCTCTGTGGGACGGACAGACGGATAGAGGGAGGGAGGGAGGGACTGACGGACTGCGCCACGACATAATCCCCCTTCGGCCATTCTGGCCAGGCGGTGGATAAAAAGCGTAGGGATCGTGTGAATAATATGCTACTCAGTAGAAGCACACAGGTCAAAGTATTACCATATACCATTGGAAATCAATACGCCCCTTGTCATATCATCTATTGATGGTCCCGATCTGATACCGCTCCACAATACTTCAAATTGTATAACGAGAATCTACATGTAAGTGTGAGCCTTTCAGCACGATTCATCTCAAAACAAACTCATTAAAATCAGATCTTAGTCCATGCAGGCGTATACAATTTAAAATACATCTCATTACAGTTCTCGTCATGCAACCTCGAAAACGTAAAGTGGACACTCAGAACGACGGTTACGGGCTGTAACATACTCAGAATGCTAGATTATCATCCATCTCTCGCTTCATTGGGATACACATTTAAAACGTTAGAGACTTTCCATAGCCCGCGGGAAGTACTGCCGTTCAATCACGGCCACCAATTAGACATTCCAAAATGTTCTATTGTTCAGTTTTCACATTTTGAATTGAGAACTTAGTCGAAATATCTTTCAGAACGTAGTCTGAAACGAAAGCAGCTACGTCGATATAAGCGCCGTAAGTTCGAGAGAACTGCTTTCTGATTGGCGCATGTCGACTTACTGGTAGTCATCTTTGGGGGGCTTGTTTCGCGAAAGGCCGCGTAACAAGACACGTAATGGGATGTTCTCAAAACTTTCGTAAAACTTTCGTGTTGCGTCCACTAAGATCTGTTTTTAATGAGATTATCTAATTAACCTGACAAATCTGTGCATACAAAGTAAAAAAATGAAACTGGTTCGGGGGGTTTGGCCCCTCTTCCTGTAACCATCTTCCCGAGACAAGGGTGTTAACTGACTACAAAAGTCCAGTTTCCGACCTTGCCGAACTAGGTTTGAATTTCAAAGCTCGCCAGTAGCGCCAACAGTGAATTATCTCCCTTCTATGTCCCTCCTATTGACCAATCAGATTCCATCTCTCATATCACTTGCAATTGCTTCCATCAAAATGGCGGCGCTCAGTCAAGACTATCTGATTGATAATCAAGATCTATATTGTAATAAAACGAGTCTTACCTCGCGAAGTGCATCACATCACTTGAGCACCTCCATTAAAACATGAAAAGGTTTGCCCGGCTGACGGTACACATGCTTTTCAAATAATGCAATCGACCGAAGTCTGCACTTTGAAATCTGTGTTGTTAACTAACCGGATGTCTAGTTCGCGATTTTGATTGGACTATGCATACGAATCGTTAGTCCCGCCAAATTAACTCCGGATTTCAGGCCTAGTACGGCAAGGGTGGAAACTGGACTTTTATAGTCAGTTAACTCACTTGCCTCGGAAGATGTCTTTCAATTTACAATTGCTGTCTCTATTATTTCAATATTAAACAAGATGCAAACGTATGTACATTGTGCTTTAAGATTTAAACTGTTCTCCGTATTCTCTCGCATTGGTCATATCTGAATGGCATGTACCTTATTAGTAACTCAATGTTTGTTCACACACTTTGCTTGAACATTCCCGTTGTTATATCGAGATTTACACGGTCTTTTAACACGGATGAATACAGATGCTCCAATCACTAAAATCACCAGTACACCGCCAACTACACCTCCAATGATGTATCCAAGATATGATTCTGAAATATCCAAATGAAATACAAGTAGTACTCATATCATGGCGTGTTTTCGTCGTATTTGTTATCCCCTCAAGTCGTCTATCAAAGTGAGTGAGTATGGTTTTACGCCGCTTTTAGCAATATTCCAGTATTACTACGGCGGGGGACACCAGAAATGGGCGTCACACGTTGTACGCATGTCGGGAATCGAACCTGGGTCTTCGGCGTGACCAGCGAACGCTTTAACCATTAGGCTACCGACCGCCCTTCGTCTATCCAAACGTTAATGTCTGAAAGGGGTTTGGGGTTAAGGCCTTAAGCACCCACGATTATCCAGTGTAGTATATCTCCATGCTATTATGTTAAATACCCTGGACCTATTTGTCACATAGCTTCGTTTTGGAAGTTACGTCACATTCTCTATCTCTCCTCTATCATCTTAGCGCATACTTGCTCTTGCGCATGCGCTTGAAATCAACAACCAATCAAAATTACTCTTCTGAAAGCGAGTTCTCGATATATCCAGTCGAATGAGGAAAAAAATGGGTCCGAGTTATTTATCATTATATCCTAGAAACATAGTATCCCGGAAAGCATCCCTCTCAGAGACCTGACGATGCATGACCGTGTTAAATAGCGTGATTGGGTAAGGGTTATGTGAAAAGTAGTAGTAGTAATTGGTCATAAGGAGGCTTCTTGTGCCCATTAATGTGTAACTCTGGTACGAGAGGTCAACTGTCATGAAACAAATTCTGCCAATATGACAAAGAGAAGACCTCTCTTTTCCCCATATGTGTCATATATTTCAATAAATATTACTTCCATATTCTGTTTTCACGGTGATACAAACGCTCTACTGTTGAAAAACAATTTGTGTTTCTCCATCACGTGAAAAGCAACACCAACACAAAATAAAAGCGATAATATATAAAGGCCTACATTCGGTGTCCATCACCTTCTTTCTTTGCTTTATTATATTTCACACCGATTAATTTTCACGCTATTTACGACTGTAAATAATTGAGTCTGTATCAGACAAGACAGTGGTTTATATTATGATCACCGCCACTGAACTTTCAAGTTGTTCTTTCGACAAGCCTAGGATACTTGTAATCAATTCTATGCATGAATCCCCATTTCAGAGACTTCACAGATTGTGTCGAGATCCCAACTACCCATCATCGCCTTTTCTACTTAGTAAAAATACCTTTCTCGTAGAACTTGATTTGAAACCCCTTGCCAGCGATTTCGTTGTCGTTGCTAATCAGTACGATGGTCAGTTCTCCTCCAGAACTTTCAAATGATGGCGTCTCTGTGCCACACCACTTTCCAAGAAGTTTGTCTTTCTTTGACGCACCTGGAACAAGTATATTGCTGCTCTTATTTATGTGTGAGAGAGTGAATGCTTTTTTTACACCACAATTAGCATTTATTCCAGCTTTGTCATAGCCACTCAAGTAAATGGGTCGAACACACCAGTGGTTGATACGATGACCAAAGTCATGTGATCATTGAATATGATCCAGGTCACGCCGTTTAATCACGATACAGCCTCATTTGCAACTGGTAGCTCTGAAGATTTGTCGCTTTTATTTCATTCGTTACTCATTACTCATTACTTCAATTGCCTGAAGGATAATTAGATAGTGCTTACCATCGTATGCTTCAGCTCTGTCGTTGACGCAGCCTTCTGACATCTCTATCTGTGACGACATCACTTCAACGACAACTTTGTCTACGTATGTCGTTAGTGTCCAAGAGAATTCAGCATTCCTGAAAAACAAACAAACACTTACTTGTTTGTGCAAATTGTGTGTGAGTGGCGGGAGCACCTGGCGATATCAGTGCTTTTCAGAGATCCATTCATATAGTTTTCACCACTATTTTGCTTCTTATGCCCAATAAAACCCGTTTTGGCAGATAATTGAGACTAAGTATTCTCTGGCGTTGGCGTATATATTTGAAGTAATTACACTATTTTTTAACGCCGCACTCAATATTCCGTCTACATGATGGCGGAATGTACATCGAGTCTGGACCAGGCAAACCAGTGAGTGATTAAAACCAAATCAACGAAACACTGAATTCCCACAGAAAGTTAAGTATTTTATCATGTAATAATGAAACAGTTTAAACAATAAGAATTCAAACCTTACAAACAATTTTGAATGAGTAAGCGAATTTAGATCAGTCTGAGTGACAATGTAAGTACCGTGGGTAATTTAAGGGGTAATTTGGAGATGTTAGGATGCTTTTCCTGTCGGAATAAAGGTACCTCTCTTGACCCAAGAAACTGGTAAAACCTGAAAATAAATCAACATCTGTTATTTGTATAGGTTACATTCATATTTAGGCGTATATGTTTACCATTGGTGGAGTGTATGAAGGACAAAGTGCGTTTCCTTACCGCTGCATTGAACAAAATTTAAGCTTGATATTGGAGAAAGCCCGAAATGATGCAGGTCTTAAACGTTCACAAATTTGGGGAAGCCCGCGAGCGAGGGTAGAGTGCTGACAAACCAACATAATCAGGACGAACTGGGATTCGAACCCACGACCATGGGTTTCTGGCACGCCTTAGGGACGCAACACGGATCAACGTATTGGACTTCCCAAAAGTTTGGCCCTGTGCATTATTTATTTGGCAATTTGTACAACGGTGTCATGATGTACAGTTTCACACATAAAAACGATCTTGTAAAAATTAAATGTCAGTTTCGTTCCTTATCACATTAGCTGATAATTAAAAAAAGCCGTTATGACTCATCTATAGACCACCTCCGTGGCCTAGTGGAGAGAGCGTTTGCCCGGAGAGCGGAAGGTCGGCGGTTCGATCCCGACCGCGTCACATCAAAAGACATTTAAATATGGTACTTATTGTTTTCCCTCGCTGGCGCTTCGCATTAAGGGGATAAAACAAGAACCGGTCCGCCGGGAGTCAGTATACTACGTCAGGGGCATGTAGAAGTGCAGCATGGTATCTCAGTAGTCTAGCACTATGAAACTGGCATTAGTCCGGACTAGTACGAGCAAAAGCACAAGCACACAAACACGAAGACGCACACGTACACACATTATCAAGATAGTCGTTAAACCTTTATTGACCCGCACGGGTATGTCTACCTTTCCAGAGAAAGGCTTTGTCAGTTATAACCAACACATAATGCTCGACATATTTGAGGTCTTGGTTTATATTTGAAAAAAGTTACCGATATGATATTTATATTATACTGTATATGACGTATGGTAAATCCATGTTGTCTAAAGGAATTGCCGAGCACACTATTATATCTCTTTGGCGCTATTGTTCACGAGGCCAGAAATACTAAATACATTTATGTGATGAATATATATCAAATCTTTACCCATGAAATGAGTGCGTGCTTTGAACAGTATTTCAGTTATATGACGCTAATGCACGTCATATGACTGACATGCAAAAGAATCATAATCTCTCGATTTAACATTTACATTGTTAAATCAGATCATCAAAGTTACAAGTGATCTCTCAATTGCCACATAAAATGTGGAGCAAAGGAAACTTAATTGATTTTATCATGTTTGATGTTCAGTTGGAAATATCTTACGTAAGCTATATTATAAGAAAAAATGAACTGTACTGCCGCTTAGTCAGCACTAAAAGAATACTTCTACATTGTCCTCAAGATATAATTTGTTTTAAAATTAAAAAAAATTGTTTGTTTTTAAAAATATCGCCTAATAGATAGCTGCTGATGGGTACCTCAGACATCTTATCTATGAAAATTGGCACAAAACATGGTGGGGTCATGTGGTTGCAAATTCATTTCTTACCCCAGTATTCACTGCACTTATTTATTTTTACACAAAATTACCCCGCCACAGATAACTTTTACAAACTGTTACAGGAGAGGGTGATGGTTAAATAGACATAATCATCTTCAGCAACATTCTTTCAATTTACTTTCTATCACATGACAAAAATAGCAGGGGTCATCACAAAAGCATATTTTTATTAACCAACCTGGACTGTAGTCAATATCGAAAGATCCTTGACCTGACAAGACTGAAGTGATAAAGACATTGTTTCCGAAAATAGAAAGCTCTGATACTTTCCCACCACAAAAGCGTCCAATTAAAGGGCTTGATGATGATTGACCTGAAAACACAAATTACACAAACCTTAAATATCCACTCTGCTGAAAGAAACCTATTTTATTGAGATTATCCAAAACATGTTACATTTGTTTCCATGTATGACCCTGTGCGTTCGTATGGAAAGCCTCGTTGTTTCTCAATCTGCCTCTCTCTGTCTATCTGTTTCGTTCTCTCAGCATCAACGACCTCTCTGTCTCCACATCAACACTCTCTCGAACTTTCTCACTTTTTGATCGATGACCATGAGATATTGCGATGGCTTGGTGATGGCGTGCTGGCGTACCCTGACATCTTCCCGAGGCAAGTCAGTTAACTGACTATATAAGGCCAGTTTCCACCCCTGTCAAACTGGGCTGGAATTATGGAGTTATATAATGGCTGGACTAACGAGTCTGTCCAAAGTCAATTCAAAATAGCATAACGAGATCGACATCCGGTTCATAAACTGCCGTGCAGCTTTCGGTCGATTGCACGATTTGCAAAGCATGTGTACCACCAACTCGGCGTCAACATATATGTTCCAAATCCTTACATGTTTTTAAACAAGGTGGTCACGTGATTTGATGCACATTGCAAAGTAAGACCCGTTTTGTTACAAAATAGATCTTGATTATCGATCAAATCGTCTTGACTGAGCGCCGCCATTTTGTTCGAAGCAAATGCGAGTAATATGAGAATATGATTGGTCAATAGGAGGGATATAGAAGGGACATAACTCGTAATAGCCACTGGTGGCGATAGGATCAAGCCCAGAATTTCCACCCAAGTTCGGCAAGGGTGGGTGTAAATTGGACTTTCAGTCAACTCCTTTGCCTCGTGAAGATGTACCCTGTCGTTGCTCATTATCGATGACTGGATAGGCTGGTCTCCAATGTAGCAGGGATACAGCTGGATGGAATATTCAGGCGTCAAACACTCTCTCTCTTTCTCCCTCCCTCTCACTCAAGTATAACATTATTGTTCAATATATAAAACATACCATCGTATACCCTAATGTAATCCTTTGTACAATTCGGGCTTTGAATTAAAGCAGTCGAATTAATCGTCAGTGTGAGATATCTGACGCCCACCATCCATGTTCTTCTCAACAACCATGAGCAGGAACGGCCTCTGGAAATGTATTGAATGTGAAGAAGCATTTTAATTAGTTAACTCCTACTAAGGTAAATCTGTTAAAAAAATAAACAGTAGAAAAGACACACAGCTTATCGATAAACTGTCGCAAAACGATTGCATGCTTGTTTTCTTGCAAAACTGAGAAATCGGTTTTCACGTGCAAGTCATTGGCTAGTTTATGACACATGTGTTCATAACTAATTTAGCTGATGAAGCAATGTTTTGGAAATCGACCTGACAAAAGATACGCGAGAAATAATGCTATTGATGGAAACAAACATAATGACAACGACAACGTCTCGCAAATTCTGCTTCTGCGAATGTGCTGCATGACGACTGCAGCTACGTACAGAATATTCATTTTTGTAACCTTACATGAATAGCATTGTTTACCTAGTCTCGAAGCCATCACTTGTAGCTTCGATAAATGTGAGTGAGTGAGTAAAATGTGGTTAACGCTACTGTGAACAGTGTTCATGTTAATCACAGCATGTCATCTTGTTGTTGGAGAAAAGTCGTAAGTGGTGTCAGTCTCAGACGTTTACCACTATCGTAAATCCCACGTGCTCGGGAATGGTGCTGACAAACCTGGAAACATAATCGGGGTGAACCGGGATTCGAACCCACAATCATAGGTTTCTGGCGTGTCAAAGAGACGCAATTCTGTCATGGCCCCAGATGTGGCACGAAGGCAGAGGGTGGTGCATGACTGGATCTGTTTCGGCAAATTGTTATGGTGTTTATAATGTTATAAGATACCCTTAGGTCTATTGACAATATGATGCCGGTTAGAGTGAAACAACTACTTTAATTTTTCTTCAGAGAGAGAACTGACCAGGGCGGCACCATTGATAGCCACTGGCACATTGTCAATCCTCTAAACGAGGCTCTGACATATGACATTGTACTATCATGAGTTTAATATATCATAGCCACCACACATTAGATCTTTTTGCATGAACACTGCAATGTATTTGAGCTCACTCTGTGCAGCCCACAATAGACACTTCACAATAGCTAGTATCACCACGACCTCGACAATACACTTTTCTCTCGTGGATGTATGTCCTGGTCTTGTATCACCCTCAACAGGGCATATCTTGCGATAACACATCTTGATTGTCAGTGATCCATTCATTATTCAGCAAATAATCTTTCATCTTTATTTTGTCCTCTAGCACCCAAAGGAATTTGTTTCGGTAGATACTCTGACTGAATATTTTCTATCGCTGATGTTTTCTATTTTCTACATTTGACATTGTGACATATGTCGGACAAGAAAAAAGTGAACTGTGTGGTATACCAAGCGTTGTACACGGGTACTGGCCTATGGCTCATATGATACAGTGGGGCAGCAGTAGAATTCCCCCAACTTGCATTGGGATAACCCGATAATCCACTGTGGTGAGAATAGTCCTTTTTGGTGTGTGCTGCGTATTGTTTTTCGCTCATTCAATTGGGAAATACATGACAAGATTGTGATCCATTCAACAAATCAGTTTTCAGGAATTACAATGAACAAACAATTATTAGACTGATATTCGAAGTGGAATTATGTTCCCAGATGTGAACACGGTTTATCCAGATTATACTTACTGCACTGGTCCCTCCACACTTCCAGGAAACTTAATTGAACCGTAATCGCCGATGTCCTTTATATGATCACATGACAACAGATCTGAAAAAATATGTGTATCGCTAGTAGTCATCATCTTTTCTAGAAGACATCAACTCATACATATACAAACGAAAAGAAGTTCAGACTAACACGGTATTTATTAATAATAATTCTCGACGAAACACATGTATTTTTATTCACAAAGTGACATCGTCTTACTGGAATACAGAAACCGAAAGTGATTATATTGTGAAACATTTTGATGCTGTTCCATTGCAGTAGTTATTTAAGTAACGTATTCATTCAGCTGCTTCCTCGGCTTCTTTGTGTAAAATAAAGTGACCCAGGACCTACGATTATTCGTAACGTTCACAAGACCTGCATTATTTCGGGCTATCCTCCCCCATTAAGCTGACACGCCATGATCGTAACTGGAATACTGTTCGAAGCGGCGTTAAATCCAACTCACTCACTCTTGGTATAAAATGAAGTGACCCGATCATTTTAGAGGAACATACAACGTCTAACAACAATTAAAAACTAAATCAATAGCTTATGTAAAATCTGGCGTTATGTTGATGGTCAGGATACTTCAAAAAGTGTACATGTAAAGAGACACAGAGTATGTACATGTACATGTAATGTATTATTACTGAGTGAGTTGATAAAACAATTACTGTTGTTGTATCACTTGGCACAGAGAAAAGTTTTTTTATGATGAACCTACAAGGTATGGCCTCGACACTTGACAGACCAAGTAAGGATCTTGGACATCTTCCCAAGGCAAAAAAGTTAACTGACTTTATAAAACCAGTGGCCAGCCTTGGCTGGAATTATGGTGTAATACATAGGCTGGACTAACGAGTCCAGCCATAATCCAATCATAATTTCGGAACGAAATCGATGTCCGGTTCTTAAACTGCCAAGCAGATTTCGGTCCATTACAGGATTTGCAAAGCATGTGAATCGCCAACTCGGCGTCAACGGATATTTTCCAAAAATGTTCACGTTTTTAATCAAGGTGCTTATGGCGGCACCATTTTGTTTGAAGCAAAATGCAAGTGATATGAGAAGTGGAATCTGATTTGTCAATAGGACCATTATTTCGGCAAGGGTGGAAACTCCCTTGCCTCGGGAAGATGATCTTGGATTCATTACGGGATGGTTCTGGCACGACTTCAAGTGGGCCACACTTACGCGTTTATTCAGCCGTGGTTAATGCATGTAGCTCCGATATTGCTGCGTGAACACGCATGCATTGAATTATCTTTAATCTTTAATAAATGATAAACAATTATTTTGTGTAGTTACCTGCTGTTTGGGTGTACTGAAGACTGAATGCATTGGCCGCACGAAACGCTTCTAGTACCACTGTCATTTTGTTTTGGGTGCTCTGGTGTTGCATCAACGGCTGTTTTTCACATTCTGAGACGTAGTTAGTGCCGTTGCCGTCACCTGGAACAAGCGGCTAAATGAACACAATACTTGTGTAAAAGCAATATGAACAAATGCGAAGATAAACATTTCCATTTGGTCCGACCATTTGATAATCTTAGACTGTCATGGGAGTTTTGTTTTACAAAGGTGTTCTCTAAAATAAAAAAAAACTACTTTGCTCACAGGTTGTAAAAAACAAAATGGTAAAATGGTCATCTAAGTTACTCCTATAAATGCCAAATGAAGCACTGATTGCACAGCGGTGGATCCAGAGGGTGTGGCGTGGGGTGGGGTGGGGTGGGTGGTCTGTGGGTGCTTTACATCTGATGATATTTTATATGCGCATTGCTTACCATTATAACATGTTGATTTGTTTCATAGAGTAAAATTTAAAATGGTATACAGAAAGTGTTTGTGATTTTGTGGGTACGTTCTTGGATGGGCATCTCGACCAAACTCACAATATTTGTTCATAAATTAACATATTTAGTCGTGTAAGAGACGGTGGGGTAGCCGGCGGTTGAAGCGTTTGCTCGACACGCTGATGGGCCAGATTTTGGTTTGCCACATGGATACAATGTTTGAAACCCGTTTCAGATTTCCACCGCCGTTATATTCCTTGAATATTTTTAAAAGCAGCGTAAAACCATGCTCACTCACCGAAGTATGTCGTGCTCGTATCTATCTAGTACATATCAAATAAATATATGTCTACTCACCGTCGTATATTCTCAAGTAAGTAATACGACAACCATAAGTATAAGGACTTTCAAGCAGTTGAAAGTCAGTTGTGATGAGCCGTACCATCTTGGTACTATCTGTTGCTGTAATGGTCCATGAACAATTTAAGAACCTGGTGAAAAAGTCATTCAACATTAGACATGAAAAATTACATACGTCCTTGTAACATGCAGTTATAACATAATAATAGTGGCGCGACACAGTACATGTAGCTCATCGGAATAGGTAGTTATTTAACAGTTCAAAAGTCAAGTTGCTGTCAGCCTTCGGACCGTGAAAGAAAGAGGACCAACTGACAGAAAATACATTTTACTAGATATGTAACAATGGATAGATCGGCGGCGCGACGGAGTGGCGACTGAGATTCTATAGGACTTTAAAAAAAGCCGAAATTGTCTGCCGCAAAATATACATTGTTGCAAAATGATTATGACTTGACTCGCCGTTTATACGGCGTGGCATGGTCCGAATCAATCTCCCCAAAAACAATTTGATGGAGTCTTGTTCTCTTGCAGCGCTGCTGTCCTTCGACGTCGGCCTTAGATTTTGGCGTACATGTCCCAGGCGTGATCTCTGGGGTAAATGTCAGGACTCATGTTTGGCCATTGCATTCTGGTAATGTTTTGCTGCTGGAGGTAGTTAGTTATATTACGTGCACGGTGGGCACGTGCGTTATTGTCTTGAGAGACGAAAGGTCGCCCAGCATGGCGCGTAAACGGAATAACTATTGGCGTCAGTATCGGCAATACTCTCAAATGCGTTCTGGCAGTCAGAGTGATCCCGCCTATATTATTACAGACCCACCCCCTTACTTTCATGTTTCCTTATGTTGATGTTCGAATGACGTTCGTAAGGACGCATCCAAACACGCCCTCGCCGTTCCATAACGTCCAGAGTGAATCTTGGCTCATCCGAATACATTACACGAGACCTATGATTTCCACGCTCTAAACACCATTGACGTCTGGCTATTATTTGTCAATTTGTTAACGGTGGTACAACACGTGGTGGCGGAACCTGCAGATTAGCAGCATGCATCGTATGGACAGTAACTTGTTCTCCGGTGGCCTTGCGCCACTGAACTGAGTTTTGATTGTCTGTTTGGGCTCGATTTCGTATCGCCTGATTTCTGATTAATCGATCATGGACCTGTGTTGTTGGCCTAGGAAGCCATATGCGGGACCGATTAGGGACATTTTGTGTCCGCAGGAACCTATTCACAGACGGAGACACATTGAACGTATTTCCTACCTCTTGCTGAGTTATGCCAGTTTGAAGAATTTCAATATCCCTTTGGAGTTCTTCATGTTGTAGACGACGAACTAACGAAAACTAGCAATACTAATGGCTCAGAGCGATTTGACCACCTTTCACTGAAGAGTCAAACTCAAGAATGACCAGGGGGAATTGCATAATCCATGTGCAATGTTTTGGGTGTGTTTGGTTCCAAAACCGTTTTATCACTAGCAGTCAATTTTCAAAGCTGATCTTTCTTCTGACGACAATCACAACATTTATATTTCATGATCCCGTACTTCTAATGGAGAGTATGTAACAGTGTTGTACCAAAGTATAATCACGATTCTTGATTTGTTTACATTGCAGTAAATGTGCGACGAGCGTAAGCAGGCTTGGCATTCTGGTGAGATGAAACTATAACTTTAGATGCCAAAAGGCAATAGGAACAAGTGAAGTTTAGATAATTAAAAAAAGAGGCCTACCCTCTATAATTGTTTGGATAATTTGGTGATGTAATGTTCTGAACTTCATCAGTCGCAATCAGTGACCCGCCACAGGGAGACACAAATTCATCTGAATTACAAAACAAATAGTTATTAAAGTATGCATAACTTTAACATAAAACTTATAACTCTTCTGCTGCAGTTATATGTGTATAGCATAAATACAGAATATGCAGATATATGAACAATTATATATTAAATATATCGTTTAAACGGAGACTGGAGTGGTCCAATTTTCTGTCCCATCCTATATGATTAAACATTTTCAAATCCCCGTGTGGTCACTGTAAATTCAAAATGTATCATATACATTCACTGATCACCTGAGCAATACCCACATTACACATAGCCAATTGCAATGACCCTGTTTGAGGCAAGTCACTAATTTGTGACTAGAAATTATCGTCGATCGAAATGCTCCCAACTGATAAAAGAAACGTATTTGAATACGTTATTATAATACATGTATACTAATACATATGTCCACTTTCGGGCTAACATAATGCTGTGATTCGATTTCGTTCAGTTTTCATTTCCTCGGTCACTGATATTTCAAATATGATACAAAAGCTTTAGAACAACAGTAGTTTAAAACAGTAAATTTTAGTATGTTATATTAATAGACCCGGTAACAATATGTTATCAGATGTAGTTTTAACTTTTCAAACGTTTGTGAGGAACGTAGACGCAATAAATACAATGTGATAGGAAGGTTTTGTCTGGGCCATTGCCTTTGTTAATCAGAGGAGCATTCATTTCTTTGTGTGACCACTTATTCCTGGTCTGAACAAGTGAGTGAATGCTGTTTTACACCGCAATCAGCCACATGTTTAAGCTACATGTATAAGACGACAAGACGACCTGTAAGTGATTGAGACGCAGCAAAGTGGTGACTTGCTGCATTAGGAAAGCTGTCGGACTACATTACCATAAAATCAGCCAGGTCAAACAATATCATCTTCCCGAGGCACTGGAGTTAACTTTAAGTCCAGTTTCCACCCTTCCCGAACTAGGCTGGAATTTCTGAGCACGATCGTAGCACCACCAGTGGGTATTACTCCTATTGACTTATCAGATTCCACTTCTCATCGATTTCGTTACGCGATTATGATTGGACTATGGATAGACTCGTTAGTCCAGTTAATATGTAACTCCATAATTTCCAGCCTAGTCAGTTAATCCCTTGCCTTGAGTGATTAATATAACCACCCTGTAAGTCAAAGTTTATTTGTACGACATGCATGTGGGCCCTTCTTGTATACTACCCCAAATGGAATAATTATTCCCATTGACCCACCAAATGGATAGTGTTACAATTATCGTCAATATTCCAATACGTTCAACAACACTACGTTCTTCCATCGCCTGTGAATACATACTCTGTAGAGCTGGACTCGGTGTTAGAGTCATTGAAGCAATGAAAGGTTTACATTACCCGCAAATATTCCTTTCGAATATCTCATCCGGAAGCTGCTGTTTGTTGTTGCTTGTGTACTGTGGAATTGGACAAACATTAGGAACCTGGGGCTCACGAACGTCGGCAGTTCCTTACCACAGAACCGGAAATGTTGAGTGTTGATGGACTTGAGTGGTATGGATAGGTTGGACCACCCTATAAAACACAGACAATCATGCAAGATATCCATCTGTATAGAGTGAGTAATATATTGTGTTTTCAGTAACATTCACGTTGCAATGTGCATCATGCAGCCTGTACGTAATCTAGTCAGGCAAATAAATGCTTGAGAGCATGAGTCAGCGTCAGCGGAGTAAGATCTCCGAGATCTGATGGCGTGTCCGTGCAATTCTACTCCGCGATAAGCTCCTACTCGGTATCCCATCATACAGGCTCAATTCTTATACTTCTCCTTCGTACCAATACGCTGTTCACTATGGATCTCTCTACCTCAAAACAGCTCCTACTCTGTCATGTTCAAGTCAAGACTAAAGACACATATCCTTGAACGTTACAAGTTAATATCCATTCACGTATTTCTCTCATGTATTTTCAGATTAAAATAAATAAAAGCAGCAAAGAGGGTTTGGGTGATCCTGGCACAACATGGCTGTATGTTCATTATCAGCTCCTCGCCCATGCCCCCTCTACACGCAGCCCAGAGGGCTAATGGGACTTGCTTGCTCAGTCGAACCCACCGAGAACTTTTCGGAGAATGTGAAAACTCCCCAACATTGCAGCCTTCTGTATTACCCAGATTGACAAAAGGGCTGTATTCCTGGCAGCAAACCTGGGTACTCTCCCAATGCAGTCAACAGATTCAGTGATATATTTTTTTTATTTCATTGGATTTATCTAAAAGGACCAGATCGGGTTTGTTGGCCTCGACACGTCTGACGTTGTATACGGGCCTGTTCCAAAGAATTTTGTATTTATCATTTTCCATGACGCCCTCTGCATAATCCGGGTCGTACTATGGGTGGACCTGTGTGTCAAAACCACATGCATGGCGAAGAAGGTAATAAAATGATCGAGCTACACCATCATGTCGCTTAAGTTACTGTGTTTGTGCCAAAGCTGGACATCCACTGACAATGTGTTGGACAGTCTCATTAAATTCATTGCAGAATCTACATTTCACATTTACATTTTGATGCAAAATCACACATTGACGGTTTCGAGTGGAAAGTGACTGGTCCTGAGCAGAAAACAGAAAGACTTCGGTTTCTCTTTTCAGGCCAGCCGACTTCATTCAAGCGAAGGACTCTGCAGGGTTCCTGATCATCTCAACACACTGCACATAAAATCGATGCAGTGGTCGTTCAGATAGCCTCTCCTGGAGTCTGGGCCGATTTGATATGGCACTTCGCTGGTCGATACACATTTCTGTACCGTCCAGCAGTACAGAACTATCACGAAAATCAACACTGACATTGAGATTATGTCCCACATCCTTGGCTCGTTTAAGAAAACTGTGGAATGCCTTGTTTTCATCATGAGTCTTGATATGCTTCACAAGAGGATCATCAGACAAATAAATATATTAAGTATTATCATTATTATTATTTTATTATTATTATTCTTATTAACAATTTGTTACCCTAAGGAAAAACGTTGTTTTTTAAAATAATAACATCATATTGTGATTCCGGTAGATACATTCAAATTCGTACTTGTTGCACTACATTGTATTGTATATCATCAAGAGAGGCAAACAACAAAGTTGAGTTTTCAGTGGAACAATTAACCGCTTACAACATTAATTAGTCATGTGACGTCATAACCTATAGCCCAGTCATGGGTTTTACCGGGGACACGGGTGGCCCAGTCGTCTAAGGCGCCGCGAGTCGCTCTTCAGAGTTGCGTCCCTTGGGCACGCCAGAAACCTATGATTGTGGGTTCGAGTCCAGGTTCACCCCAATTACGTACCAGGTTTATGAGCACCATACCCGTGCTCGTGGGTTTCACCGAAGTGGAAAACGTCTGAGACCTGCATCACTTCGGGCTGTCTTCCCACATTAAGCTGACACGCGATATAACTGGAATACTGTTAAAAGCGGCGTTAAACTTAACTCACTCACTCACTCGCTCACTCATGGGTTTTACGTCAGTGGTAAACGTCTGTGGCCTTCACTTTGGCCTTTCCACCTGCATCTAACTGACACGCCGTGATATACCTTGAATACAGTTCAAAGCCGCAAACCCAACTCATTCACCTACGTGTTTATAGTTGTATGTACCTTAAGCTTCACAGATGAAAAATATAGACGCCAGATTGTGGACGTTGTAGTAGATCTCTAAGACAGACAGACAGTGTGAATGTAATGCTATATACGTTAGTCCGCGGTAGAGAGTTCGTTATGTAAGTAAATTTTATATGATAATATATAGGAGATAAATCGGGGATTATGTAACTGTTCGTGGTATCCGTTTGTTCGTTCTTTCCGTGTTCGTTATATCCGAGTTCTACTGTAGGATACATCACACAACACAATGTCAAACGAAGATAAATCCGTCAAATACAACAATATGATACATTCCTTGCATAAAACAGTGTAGCGGGAATCTATAACACGATCATACGTTATATTCATTCACTTTATTCAGATGTATTGTAGGCCATAGGCCCATGATACAATGGTTACAGTGTGGTAATGGGAGTTGGAGATCCCAACAGACTTTGCCTTAGATTACGTTATATTGCGAGTTAAAGGATCCACCAGAAGTGGTTAAAATGAAGTAAGGAAATCCACTCACCGTCATGTACTGTTATGTAGTCACTCGTACACTCGCCACTTACTCGTTCAGGGAGATTTAACTCCAGCACTTCGAGCTTGTTTCTGGTATCAATGTCTGCACTTATTTTGTACGACGTACAGCTAGAAACACTGAAATTAAAAGATTTTACATCATGAGTTCGGTCTTGTCCTGGATCCATATGGAATAAATAACTCGTAATCATGTATTGTCAAGTATTACTTTTCATTGCTGGTTCTAAGCTTACACTATTGGTCAAGCAAAGTCAAAGTAGGATTTAATGTTACTTTATATAAAGCTTTTTCATGATTACCTTGGAATGTGAAATAAAAGTTATTTCCAAAGGATAATATCTTATCCAAAGAATTGGAAAGATTGCTTAAAGTTTACTTATGGACATTTTGGAATGATTAATATTTCACTCAAGGCAGTCAATGGTTCGATCCCCGGTCGCGTCATACCAAAAAATCGTTATAAGATGGTACTTTATGTTACCCGGGGCTCGGCATTCATGGGATAAAAAAAGCGGATAAAACACGGGTTGGTCGGTTCAGGGTTAGTATACTATACTTTGTCTGAGTGGGGTGTCTGTGTGGGCAAACATGATGAAACTCGCACCGTCCGTTTGTTTTCCAAACATACATAGGTGTACATACAAGTATAATGACAAATGATTCAGCTTATTTTTGGTACACTTAAACTAATTTGTAGGGTTAATAAACATTTGGTCAAAAGTGTAACTACTATTTTCATCAGAGATTATTCAACTTTACAAATTTACTATAATTGGAACTTAATAGTGCAGTCAGAAGACACGTTTTACAAACGAAACTAAATAATTATACACCAGTATGATCCCATAAAAGCCGGCATACTTAACAACGCCTCACGTTTACTAATGGAGCGTGGTGAGTGGTTATTCGGTACGTAAGGGACCAACAATTTGCTATTCGGAGAGGGAGGTGGGGCGTCAGGGAGGATTTTATTGAAACAAATAATAAAAAACAAAACTGAATAAAAGAATTTTGCTTCAGACTTTGGAAAAAAGGAAATTGCTTGGCACAACAATTACATTGTTCAAGGTGTTTCTTCCACAACAAAACATTCAGGCTCAAAATTATAAATACAAAATATATATGGTTTTGCATTTTTCGCGACAGATATCCTGAACATTGATTTCTATTTATATTTGGTTAACTTATATATCACAGGAATGTATCCACATCGTCTTTCATCTTTACTCTTGCCATTTTGTTCTTCTAGCAGTAATTACTCAAAATATCAATAACATTCTCAAATTGGATAATTTCCATGTATACATCTGAATAAATTACATGAACTATTTAATTGAGATGGCATCAGGAAGTCGACAGCTTTCACGGGCTTCACGGTCGTAGTTTCAAAGTGGCGACTTCCACTTCAGACTGTGCCTTGTAAATATCTTGACTTCACAAAGGAAATGTAAAGTGTAATATGTGGCTGAGATAGTATGGCAGTATCTTCCACTATGGGAAGGCTCTTCCGTTTCAAATGTCCAGCATGCCATGTCCATATCTAGCATCACAGCCCGCTCAGATACCACTAAGATATATTTTTATTGAGATGGCATAGTTTCTCACATAGTTTTACCCCGAACCCGATCCCGTTAGTCGCCTTTTACGACAAGCATAATCGCCTTTTACGGCAAGCAAGGGTTGCTGAAGACCTATTCTACCCTGGATCTTCACGGGTGGATGAACGGGGTAAGGACTAACGGAGTTTCAATGAACATCAGTACCTTTGTAAAGTCTTTTTTTCTAGATTAAAACTACAAACCCTGGGAAAGAATTCGGGTAGTTCGGCGAGGTGATGTAGGAATATGTGTCTGTAGCTTCAAAGCTATCGATGCATCCCATACCTGTTTGAAAGACAAGAAAACTAAATTATATTTGTGGACTCGCACAACCATGAAATGACCGGTATTGAAAGAAAGTAACTGTGACATTAATTTCTATGACATTTATCCATTTGCAAAAAGGAGAGAACTGTATCATTTTAACACTAATTTGGAATAGGAATTTGTAATAATTATTCGAATTGCTGTTTATGAACACAATGTTTGCTACGTAAACATTTGGCGAACTGTCGAACTCATACGTACAATTTACTAAGATTGATTTCAAATAAACAAACTTACGAGTTGAGTCTTTTTTATATCTGACGTTGAATCCTCTTCCGTTATTGGAGTCATCAGTGTTGAAGACAAGAGTCATCACATTCCCTGTGCTTTGTAACCTGTAACCGTTCATTTGCCCACACCAAGTTCCGAGAAGAGGACTTGTAGAATTGCCCCCTGTTAACAATTAAGAAGTACCTGCCTATAACTTACATTTTTGTTTTGTACGTAAGTCATATTGCGATGACTGGAGTTGTTCATTCCATACTTCTGCATGAAGGGATTTGCCTTGTACACAGACCATTGATAATATAAAAAGTCATTAAGGCAAAGCCATTGTTAATGAAAATAATGTTAAAGTATTACAGTTACTCTTGCCTTGGAGTATATAGAATGCAAAGTCATGCAAATGGTTACCGTCATATATTTTGAGGCTATCCGGCTGACACTGATCACTAACTTCTACATCAATGTCAACAAGCTTGAGATTGACGAAGCTTTCATTATAGGCCGTAATTGTCCATGTGCATGTTTGTGACCTGTAACACGAAGATCATATTGAGACAAGTAACTTCTACTGGTTCATTTTGTTCACATACAAGTCTCGACATAGAAAAAACCCGTCGACGGTTAAACATACCAATGCAAATTAGTTTAGCAGTGTTGCGTCCCTTGATCGTGTCGGGATACTATGATAGGAGGTTCAAAGCTTTCAGCTCCAAACCCCTGCTCATTGGTTTTCCATAGAGGTAAACAATTGCGTGTTATTTTGAGCTTCTCTTCACCATAAAACGATTCCAGTGCTAAGACGGCGTTAAATCTAGCTTTCCCACACAAACAAACACCTGTGAATTAATATTAATTGAAATTACATAATCTCCCAAAGCGTTCATTTATCAGCATTTGCTGATCAATTCAACACAGGAATACCTGACTGACCTCTTGTAACATACCTCAAATATGCTCTTGGGTAGCCTGGCGAAAGCAGTTCCTCGGGACCTGAAGCTGTTAATGCCCCTCCACACGTTGACGGTGCGGCTGCAAACATCATAGTACGGTATGATTAAATTTGGTCAATCGCAAGATGTAACACGAAGTACAACGTCACTGAGGACACGGGTTGCGTCACGTGCAAAGGGAATAACCTTAGTGAAATCAGTAATGTAATCTATATGGCTAAACACACGGGCACGGCTCTGGTGGTGATAAACCTAGTAACATAAGCAGGGAGAACATTGTACTCGAATCCATGGCAATCGGCAATACTGCTGCGTTCTGTTGGTTTACATTTACACTTAAAATAGCTCTGACATTTAAACAAAAATCTTATTATATCTATTTCTGTATAATAACGCGAAACCAGTCGTGCATTTGACAAATTGGTACACCAGGAAGATAGTTATATTGATATATATTGTGAGGAACACAACGTTTCGGAGTATATGCTTACTCCTTCATCATGTTCCAAATGTACAGGTAACGATGAATTGAATTTTAATTACTTTATAAATTGTTTTAATAAATACATTTGTAACTTATAAATTAAAGCATCCTACAAATGTATCTGATTGAGGCTTCTTAATCAACATAAGGGCTCTAAATTGTCACTGTGAAAAATTATTGACAAGTCTTGTTTTTACATGATACATAAGAATCCCTCAACAGATGAAATACAGTGGATATATGCAGTGTCCGTGATGGCACGTGTTACGTATTCTTTCCTTATTTCTTTTACAAACAAAACTTATTATAATGTGACATATTCCATGAAACATGACGCACCTCGTTTCTGCTTGTATTTCAGACGAAATCCTGTTGCCTGATTGGTGCCATCAGTCGTGAAGACAACAGTCATGTTTGGTCCTGTACTAGTATATGTAGGTTTGTTTGTTCCACAGAATGTCCCCAGTTCTGTCATATCAGCTGAAGATGGTAATTCAATAAAAACCTGTTTAACACATTTCACACATTTGACCTTTTTCATTCACGAAATCCGGTCTAACGTGTATACACGTATATGTGTGTCACAATTTTCGACATGACCAAAATGTTTCAACCAAATGCCCCCACGGTCCATCAGCCGAGGTATGGGGTGACAATGTTACATGTACACGTGCCAACCTTCGACCATATTTCAACACATTTCACATTTCCTCTTTTTAGCATTCATAAAATCCGGTATATAATAAATATGTGTATGTGTGTAAAGAATCAAACTGCGAGATCCCTCTTTACTCTCGTCCTTATACTTCCTGCATTTGTTTTTTAACAGTTAACCAAAGATTACGAAATCCCGAAAACGCGGCAAGTGCCCAGCCAATCACTGAGTGACATCGTTGAATAGATACTGTTCTTATGATCATATCACCACCTACGTGACATTTTCGTGAATATTGTTTTAAATTTAAATTTATCAAATGTAATTATCCATTAACGTCATTAACATAGAAACGTACAGTCCACCACAGACACTTTGTCACTGCTGCAAGATGGGGAAGTGTCGGCAGTGTCGGAGATGACAGCAACCAGTTCGACCGTAGCATCGTTATCCATCGCCACGATGGTCCAGCGGCAGTTCAGGTTGCTGGAAGAGCAAAGCTTTTATTTACGCAATATCTCTATGGCATCGAGCTTTTTATTAATAAATTACAAATATCTCGAAACAATCAAAGAGAAGACTTCGTCTCGGACATTGTGGTCTTGGTGCATACCCCGACATTTCTGCAAATTGTAAAGTTTGTAATCAGCTTCACAATATGGCTCAGTGTCTACTGCGTTGCCTAAACTATGAAAATCGACGTCAGGTAATGGTGGAATCTCATTTAGTTCTCAATATTGACCTCCCATTGGCTGGACTATTACGTTCTAGGACTATCGTTCGCCATGAAGTTCAAAATCTTATTCTTGCTTGTATTGAAACGTGTCATATATTGTAACAAATGTTAAATTTGGAATAACAAATCCAAAATTAGTAAAGTACAGATTCTCGTCCTTTTGGGGGGTTGAGTCCCGTCCGGGATTGGAACCCACACTTGCCAGAGTGAGGCTACTAATCGCCAGCACACCAAGTCAGTGATCTAACCCACTCAGCCACCGAGACTTCCACAAAAATGAAAATGGTAGCCTAGATCACGTACTTTGAGTACCCCTCAGACAAGTGTAAATTGGCACGGCTCCCATGGCCGAAAGCTATGAATACACAATGTCATTTAGAAAGTGGTCAAATGCAACAAATGAACGAGAATCGGTACTTTACTAAGAAAGTGTTATCCCAAATAGGACATTTGTTAATTCTGACCACTTTCTAAATGGCATTGTGTATTCATAGTGTCATATATTTACACAATGGAACATAAGTTACATTGCAAGGAAGAGGCAAATGATACCACCACATTTATCCGCTATACAATCCTTTTATCCAGCTAGCATATGACCTTCATAAACGTTAATATCAATAGAAACATTGGAATCCTACTCATTGAATCAAGGTGTATCGCCACATATCCATGTTATTCTTCATCCATCGCGTAAATAATCCACTGATCTATGTGTATATAATCCGTCCAGAATACATTTTGTCCCTCGGTACCTCAAGTTTGTTGCTTAAATAGGTATCATATAGTCGCAATGTGGGACTTAGTTTAAGTGTGCAGCTTACCCTAAAGGATTACGTATGATTTCTTTTCCTGTCCCAACAGAGGGGTATTTCTGACTGACCTTTTCTATGTGGATGCACTTGGGGAATTATCTCCCCTTGACCATAGCATCTGCACCATTATGAAACCCGTTAAGTTTAAGGTACAAAGACTATTATTTAGCTGTTACCAAAGGCAAGAGTAACTGTGACCATGTTCGTATTCATCAACTTGGGATTTCTCTTGAAGCACATCATTTCGTTTTTGTGAGATGAATTATGTTCTTTTGTTTTATTGATTTTAAAAGATGGGCTCTTTTCTAAAGATTTTGTGTTGTTTACACAAATTGTTGTGAAACCCAGGGGTATTTGTATTTAAAGTGTAGACAGAAGTTTGAAAGGGAGAGACGATTTTAATTGAATCGGTATTAATCTATATTGATCTAGGCAAGTGTTTTTCAATGTACAGGGATAGGTATGCAATATGTAAGGCCATTCAGTCTATAATAGAAGTTATTCATTCATTCACATTTTCTTTTGCGTACACATGTCCCTGTCTTTGATAATAATGTAAGTACCCTTGAATCCATTCATCTATCATTTATCAGCCTAACATGTATACAATGCACTATCTAAGACTGTTTATCACAAGGACTTGCTTTATTATCATTAAACAGAGAGTCAATTAAAAAGGGCCCGGTGGTTCTGGGACTAACTGGATTGGCCCAGACTTCTTTAATGACATGCCGCCGCGACATAGCTGCAATACTAATGTGACTGCGGCATTAAACAATATTCATATGTTCTTTCACTTATAAACTGAACCACGAAAGGTAAATGTAATTATTATTCCCCACGCTTGTATATATGTGTTACAAAGAAGGTAACATGACTAGAAACGATCATAGCAAATAATGTTACTGTACAAATTTACCTGTAGTACTGAGTCGGGTACCCTGGAGACATGATAAACGTGTCCATATCTGTGGCCTGGACGTGTATTGAACATTCTTCCTCTGAAAGATATAAAATAAACGAGATGTCTAATAGATTTCCATCGCTACATACTATGTTAACACCCCCTGCAACATCACTGGAATTAATAGCTCTCTTTCTATACATTTCCTCCTTTGGAAATAAGGGATTTCTAAACGAAAGTACCCTATTCAAAAGCTTGGAAAGGTGATATTTCCAAGTTTTACTTTTGGAAGTTTGCACAGATCAGTTTTTCCCTGACGGAATGTAAGAAAGGTCACTTTATACATGTTCTTTCCAATTTTGGAAATGTTGCTTTTTCTTCCAATGTATGTCAAAGACCATCCCACATCACGTGGCCATGCAGGGATAAGTGCACGTACTTGACGGGAAACAGGTAATAGAATATATAGAAAAGGAAAACAAGTAAATAAACAAGAAGAAACATAATGAATAAACACTATTGTTTTATAAGAATTAATGATTTTAAGTTATTACAATGATAAGACCTTTGCACAATGTTCATATATAATAAAAACACTCATAAGTGTCGTTTAAAAACATGATTACTTTGATTTACTTTAATGAATTATAAATGTCTCACTCGGGACGCTCTGATATCCAACTGAAAATCCTTTATTGACCCTCGACCCATCTGAGGTGAATGTGACCTTCATGTTGTTTCCTCCTTGGTAGGTTGAGTTCGGCATACCACAGATTGTGGCAACTGGGTTATCTCCACCTGAAACTGAGTCAACATAGACTTATGCATATGTCGGATAGTGTGCTTTGTGTCTCAGTTGTTACACAGCTAATATATTTATAGCTGCAATTGCCTGCACGTTGCAGGCAAACATAAGTATTGAGATTGCGTTGATTGTGTTTCATATTACATAAGTGCTATATTCTGATATAGTAAATGAGCAACTTTAATGAGGTCTCCTTTGTTGACACTTGGAACTTTGACAATGTTTCAGTTATTCAATGGCATAGGGATTGTATGTTGGGGCAAGCGAGGAACCCCATTTCAGAAATATCTGCTTAAACGCAGAATCCATTGTACGTCAAGTGATGATGATACAGGTTTTGCGAATAGGTATCCTTTCTCACCGGCGGCAAGTGACAAAGGCAAGTAAAAACCTCGATGGTGCCGACAAACCAAGGATCACAATCAGGGCGAATCAATCGGTAACCAGCGGGACCTGACACAATTAGACACACGTATCTCTACACTGAATTAGGAGGGTTAGACTACATGTAGTTCTGTACCAGGAAAAAGTTAAGTTCAGGAAATGTTTGAATGCATTACTTATATTTGCCACGCTGATGTTGTCGTAACGACAAGTTTGAGATGATTGAACATCAACGTCTGTAAACCTCAATTGCAGACTATCTGACGCATCGGTCGCTTGAATTGAATATTCACAGGATACATCGCTGTAAAATAAATCACATGATATTCCGAAATATAAATTAACCAAATTGCAAAGCCATGACAAAGCTCGAATCTAAACGAAAGTATAATAATTCAACGTTAGGTTAGGTGAGTTTAAATGTTCAAACAATTAACTCAATGTATGTTGTGCTACGTAACACTTCATTAAATCACTCATTCAGTATACCTAACTATTCAATTGTGTTCATGTTTTACACATTTCCATTACCAACACATTTTCATTCTATGTATGTTGAGTGATTGTACATTGTGTGCCCTTGGTATCAGTTCACAACGTCATAAGAGTTATTTCATTGATAAATTGATTATCTACCATGCGAAAACATCATTGTTGACTGAGTGTGTGTTGACTTGACCTGTTGTTGCCTAGCAACGTATCATCAAGCTAGGTTATATTGATCAGAACAGGGATGTAATTTGTGACATATAATTATCAAAATAGAAAACAAAATTTACTTTACAGAACATTTACGAGTATATCATTGAAGGCACAAAGTAAATGTATGAATAAATACAATTGCAATAAAAGTAAGCATGAATCATGCTTGGTCATCGGACAGTACAACCTACTTGAAGTATGCAATGGGGTAGCCAGGTGAGTTGAAGGTCTTCACATCCCGTGTAGCAGTGAACGTGAACGTGCATGGCGTTGCCTCTGAGGAAAATGACAATTCATCTTCAAGCATTTATAGACTTGTACTTTCCTTATATTAACTCTACTGATACCAATATTACAATTCAAAACAAGGTAAATCAGATATATTCAACAACTACTGTTACAGGTACTGTGATATTAACAATTTACTTGACTGTAATACTTGGACTAAAAAGTAATCAATATTCAAACTGTTGTACACATACAACAAACCACTTGTCAAGACCCGGGTATCTTGGTGCCGTGTTGATGGGTTATCAGGTGAAACAAGGTCAAAGTTCAAATTTTCCTTCACTTTCAAACTGCATTTCATCTTTTATGGTTAATGAAAATCCTCATTCATTTTACTTCATGAAGAACAATTGATTTGATTGTGAAATTGTGAATTTCTTTAAATTAAGATTTTTGAAAAATCTTAGAAAGCCTGTTTGGGACTTTCAACCATATTAAACATCAGAACTATTGAAGCTTCAACGAAAAATAGGGTACATTTAGAGTTTGATGTTTAGAATCAATCACAATGGGATAAAATGAAAATATAGACTGTTCGGGACCGAAGTTCTCATTTACATCCAAAAGGGGTTTTGTGATTATGAAAAAATCTTTATATTTCTCTACATGAGCAGAGAAGTATTGGCGTAATGATTAACCTATCAATGAATTTGGCATTTTAATCATACATTGCTTGATTCCCATGTCATGAACAATAACATTATATTGTTCAAGGGTTCAAATGTTGATCGCAACAGTCGACGCAATATATATTCGTAAAGAGTTAACTGTCTGCACCCATGGGTGAACGTTTGCCATAAGACCTGACGTGGTATTCTGAACATTTGAGAAGCGTGTGTTTAATGGCTGATAATGACTTTGGAGTTACATACTGTCTCCCTGGTAGTATCGGAACTGGAAGCCTCTTGTCTCCAGAATACTGTTGGAACGAAATTCAAGGTACATGTTCCGACCAGATGAGGTCACAAACACACGACTGTCTCCACATAACGTCTATAGCTTAGTGCTAGAGTTGGAGTCACCTGTAGTGAAATTATAATTATAATATGTATATATAAATATCAATAATGTTACTTTCAACGCATAACACATGGAAGTATCAGGGGAATACATAAATACAAGCTGCAACCATACTAACATTTTGAAAATAAAAGTGAGAAATTAGTAAACAATGATTTTAATAATGCTGAAATATACGACGATGTCCAGTTAAAACATCACTATAATATTGAATGCTTTTATTTTATGTCGTCGTTTGTCTTCTTTTGAACATTTAAAAATAAGTACTTTCGATACGATTTTGTAAACACGCTTCATTCATTATTGTCACAAGGCTATCCACTCCACATAACGTGTGTAGCTTAGTGGCAGATTTGAAGTCACCTGTAGTGAAATTTTATACCGTATTCGACGTAATAAGCGCCCAGGGTGCTCTCAAAATTAGAAATAGGGGGCTATTATTAGAATATTATTTTGGTTAAAAATACAGAGTTGAAAGATAAATTTCGTGGTTTATGTTGACAGCCTGAAATGTCTATGTACGACAGATATATATTTCTAGAATTTAATTGCCCATAATTAAGGGTGCATATAACACACGAGTACGTATTGTACGCGAATAATTAAGTCTTGTGAACATTGATCAATCGGAAGGGGTGCCAGTTGGGATTGTTCACTAGCCAATATCGAAGCAAATACCGCCGTGGGCGCTTATTAGAGCGGGGCGCTTATGACGTCGAATACGGTAATACATATTTCAAAATCAATAATGTTACTTTCAACGCATAACACATGGAAGCACAAGGGGAATACAAAAATATAAGCTACCACAATAATAAAAATTTAAAAAATAATATTGAGAACTAAGTACTCAATGATTTATTAATAATAATGCTGAAATATACGACGATGTCCAATTAAAACATACTTATAATATTGATTATTATAAATGCTTTAATTTTATGTCGTCGTTTCGGAATCACACGCGGGGAGTGATTTCTCTATTGCAGAGCATATAAGAACTGTAAACAATGTATATGCGCTACAGTTAGAGCTTGTAGTGTAAAGACATTTGTACATGTAACAAGAATATAGCTGTTATATTACTGACTGCCTCGTTATATAACACTTCGTTAACATGATTTTGACTTTTCCATTCATCACATAAAATGATGGAAACATCATTGTTTAAAGCCGACGTATAATGACGGTAATATTGTTGATAAACAATCGCTAACTCATTCACTGTACTTGGGTAATGGTACAAAGACACAATACTTAATTCATGCATAATGCTCAATTTTGTCAGTCAATTTGTCAATTTAGCGAAAGGTAATGACGTCAGTTTCTGGCACATACTAATTGTGTCTTCACGCTCATGTTTAGATACATACGAGACATATAATATAGAAGATGAGTGTAGTAATTATCAGCTGTCTGACGGTGGTCTGTTAAGTTGCGAGTCTGGACCAGATAATCCAGTAATCGATATTGTGAGCCACAAACCACGCCGTCATGGTACGAGGACACCGAGCCTAACCACCCGATCCATTTGGTCACCTCTTACGACCAGCGTACTACTTGTAGGATCCCGGGATCCCCAAGGGGTATACTGATCTTACCGTCATATATGCTGACTGAATCATCAACACAACCAGTTGAGGGTTGTATCATCATGTCCACTGTTTCTAGAATTACATTCTTGGAAGCGTCAGATGCCTGAAGAGTCCACGAGCATGTTTGTGAACTGAAATTGTAACTATTAGTTAGTGGAATAGACTTTTCAATGAAGCATATTGTGGCGACTTTTGTGCATGACCCATTTGAATTACCATATTGTCGATATTTATTGAATATTTGCTTATAGATAGTGTGACTGAAATAATTTTGCATTTATGTATATTTTATTTCCTGCATGCTTAGTTATTACTCTACGGTGCAAATGATTGTCCATATGCTGTGTAGTGTAAAAATCGCATAATTCGCAACTGAATTTGAAATGCACATTCATCAACGGATATTTAGTTAGGGACACTGTAGCTATTTACAAGTATATGTGTTATGATATGCATAAGAATAGGGAATTGTATTTGGCGTTCTTTTGGCCATTGATACGTCAAATTTGGAAATGTCCTCCTCCACATGTCTACCATAAAAAAATGGTGTTTCTGTGGACGTTAAATTGTCTTGTAACAACACGTTGACTCGATCCTGCTTCAAGCATACCAATACCTCGCAGGCGCTCATTTTCGGACAGGCGTGGCATTTCGTAATGTTGAATAATTGCGTAATGCTAAACAATGCATATGGAATCCCGTTAACGCACTTGTTTTTATACCCATTCTTTTGTTGTTGAGTATATTTGTGAATTGATAACGTGGTTCTTGACCATACCACATGAACATACACTTCCTTGATTAATCTCATTGTCCCAAAAATACGTATCGACGTGAAGATATCCTATTTATTTTCTTATTCAATAAGCTTGCAGACAGCTGTATTTGTCTCGTAACATTGTAAAGGCACGAACACAAGACAGTGTCTTCCTTATAACAAACAACATGGTTCTGTTGGATCTAAAGGGCGATGTCCTTTCTAGGATTCTATAGTTATTCAATGTCCAAATTGATTCATTTAAAAAATACTTACGGTTCATATTTGATAGGATACCCTTCTGAGGTAAGGAGCTTCTTTTCAGTCGTTGCAGTTAGCCCACCGCATTGTGTAGCTGTTATGTAAATACAAAAGAAGATAAAAGAGCTGATGTAAATAACATACCCTTATCATAGGACTACGTATCATTTACATTGTAAAAAAACCGGTAACAGTAAACCAAAAGTTGATAATTAGATATGCGACAATTTTACTTGTGAACAAAGCAACCATGTTTTTACGTTTTGATTGACAATGATGCTGCAGTGAGCGCAAATCAGCTTACTTTTTATAAGAAATCAGGTTATCACAAAAACCTATATTCACAGTCTCTTAAGCAACGAGGAAAAGAAATTTCTTTGGCTCCCACTTCAGAGAGAACATTGTATGTTTCGAGAAGTGACCGAATAGATATCCTGTCTCTAACATTAATCACAGATCCCCTCTCGAACCGAATAAAATATTGCCCCATTACATATATTGCTATAAACATAATGATGGTATGTAGAAAAGACTTGTTTATTTGTCATCGCGGTGTCATCACCGTATTGTCAGCGTCGCCTCCATGAAGGTGTTTTGATTTCCAGTAACTGATACATATGTCCGCTGCCGATCAGACCGTGTTCTTTATGCGGAACAATAAGGTGGTCAGACTATAAATTGTTTGAATATTTTGAAATATATATTTCTCGATTATGTGTTGCAGTTGTGTATCACTTTGTACTTGATTGTGTAATTAAGGGGGAAATAATTATTTTTCTGTAAAGTTATTTAGTTCATATAATTAATTACCCCTTTCCTGTATGTAATACTTTGAAAAATAGTATCTTAATATTGAAGGAATTTAATATTTAAAAGCAACATCCGCTTTTATGGAGATATTTACATATAAGTATAATCTAAGTTGAATGAATAAGCAGAGTTAAATATCGCTAAGTGGCATGTTTATATTAAAAAACTGCAAGTCATCATTGCACCTTCTTCCATTCAGGAATCCCAAACCATTGCATTAAATATAACCAGATGATTGTTATAATTTGCATACCGAACCTTTGTCTGCTCACACATAGGGAATAAAAGCGACAAAACTATTCTACAATCATTGCCAAAAGGGGGTTCCATTGAACGATTTCGACTCTGTTATAAGCATGACAATATGCTCGTGTGAGGATGAACGTTTCAACTCGTCACAAGCATATGTACAGTCAAGTATTTGAGTAAGAAGGCGTTCGGGCGTACACGAAGGGGAACATCGCCTTGACAGTGGTATTTAACAACTAATCTATGTTGTAGGTTTCATCACAGTAGGAAAATGGTCGCATGTTGTATTTCTGCAGGAATATTGTACAATATGATGTGTTTGATTTCATATTGAAATTATTACTTTCAGTGAATGGGACGTGAACATTATAATATGGAACGTAACAATACTTCATATTGACGATAGTTGTGAGAGAATTTACTCAATTTAAAAAATCCAAAATGTTTGGCCACAGCGAGGCACCACAACATATTGTGCTAGGCACGGTACAACTGGAATGAGGGAGGGCCGTATTCCTCCTTGTGGGTGACCTGCTTGGCAATTTCGGACGGGAAAACTGCAGAGTGTGAGAGCACAGTTGTGTGTGTGTGTGTGTGTGTGTGTGTGTGTGTGTGTGTGTGTGTGTGTGTGTGTGTGTGTGTGTGTGTGTGTGTGTGTGTGTGTGTGTGTGTGTGTGTGTGTGTGTGTGTGTGTGTGTGTGTGTGTGTGTGATAATACATATGAGATTACCTGACGTTAATGGGAGGTTGAGGAAACCCAGCATAGAGGTGAACACGAACCGCCAGTAATCTCGGCCCATGGTAACAGGTGTGGGTCCAGCAGTATTCTGTATCAAGTGGGCTGCGCGTTTGCTTTTAGCCAGGACGTCTTGCGAAATTCGCTTTGTAAATGCGGGATAGGCGTGTTGCTTTAGGCCTTTAGGTCTTTTTTTTCATAAACACCTGAGCTGATAACGTTCAATGTCTGCCTTGCACCAGTCCTTGTACCCTGACGCGATCCTGCTTGTACAATCAGGTGTAGAGCGAGGCGGGGCCTAATTTTCATTATCATAAAATATTTATTGAGGATTTAATGAATGCAGTGTGTAAACATACGGATAGATATTGGTGTGGCTATCTATTGACAGCCTACGTCTTTAACACGGCACTTGGAACCACTAAGACTGGGAATTGTCTACAGCAAACCAGGGAGTCTATATATAGACTCTATCAGTGAACATATTGAGTCCGCCATCTTGGAATAGATATGTGGGTGGCGTTCTTATACATTTGCATAGGAGCTGGAATTTGACTGATGACCTTGTCTTTCTTACAGACCCCAGGTCATATATACAGTATCAAAACAGGCACCCGGATATCATATTCACAACCTACCCAGCTTTCACAGCCTATACACATCCCATTATTATTATTATTATTATTATTATTTTAAGATTAAAAACAAAATGCAGCAAAGAGGGTTTGGGTGATAGAGGTTTTTTCGCCGGACTACCTTGCTATAGGAAGTCTTAACCAGACAATCCAGTCACACGATAAAGCATTTACTGACAATATGTTCACTTTAAATTACTTCAAATGGCGACGTTGCAGGGAATGTTTATAAAATGGTGCAAAGATGGTGCGTGGTGTCTCGTATCTGAATAAATCTACTTATATGCTCATGCATATACTTATGTAGTGGTTTGATAAATGTCACTTGACACTGGTCGATCATATCAAATGGCATATTGTACTTTGTTCACAACACATACATGTATGGAGCGACGCCCTGATAAGTGTGGCCACGCGGTTAAAGTCGATAACAATTTGAAGTGCATTACTACTACAAAACTGATTATGACATACGCATTTGCACATATGTCTCAATTCCCGTGTAGTGTATATGAAAACCTACTATTAAATATGGGTCTTTCCGTGGGTGACATGTGCTAAGTGATATAACAGTAGAACCTCAAATATTAGAAGTCAAACACGTTTTACGAATTCTGTACGGGGTATTACAATCAGACAGACGGCCATGAAGACAGCTAAATATCTTGTAATTGTTGGAAATTAATGTGTAATGTAATTAATTGTCGTCAGTGCATCCAAGTTTCCGACACCTTGACATACCCTTTTAACTGCATGTTTGGTCACGTGGCCACAATGTTATAACTGATGACTTAGCTACCTGTATTGTGATATGTTTTGATTATGCAAATATATCTTTGCCGATTTTCCCAGTTTTGCCCTGTTTAGTATGATACCAGGATCAGGTTATTATACTCAGTCACACATGTCACATAACATATTTCACATATTGTCTATTAAACTGTAAACAAGGTTTAGACAAATAAACTTTGCGTTTTCTCTAGATATTTAATGCTTTTATGAATGTGTGGGGCGGTAGTTGAAGCATTATTCTGTCGCGCTAAATTGGATTTCATGTCCCATATGAGTACAATGTAAACGTGTAATCTGGTGCATCTACATGTAGACGTATTCTGTCGATATATTGCTGGCATACGTAATAACGCAGTGTTTATCCATGTCATGACAATGAAACAAAACACAGCATGACACACAGTTTCTACATTATGTTTAGAATGATCAGTTCAGTGTGGCAAAAATAACACAATATACATGTATGATGTGAACAACTCTGAAGCGAAAATAACATATACTGATAAAAGTTAAATGTGCTAGTAAATATTGTCAGTTTGTGTTAATTAATGAACCAGGTTTGATTGTTCTGACATTTGGTATATACGTATAGTGTATACAACACACACACACACACACACACACACACACACACGCACGCACGCACGCACGCACGCACGCACGCACGCACGCACGCACACACACACACACACACACACACACACATGTAACAGAGTCACAGACACAGGCGATAACAAACTCCCACAACATGGAGAGAGGAATTTTGAGGGGCTTTCTAATGTACCACCTTACCTTGAAGCATTGTTTGGGTGCAGGGAATGCTCGAAAATGGGTGATGTGATTTTCCAACGATTAATGAACACTTGAGGGAACATTGTGGCACGAATGTAATATTTTAAAGCCTTAATATTTTTATTTTAAATATCTTTAAAAAAATCCCATATTCTCACAAGAAGGTTATATGATGTAGGATCCAACTATATATACCCCGTCAAAAACAAATGCAAAGGTAAGTCAATTGTTCACCTGAAAAAAACCCACGGGAACACATGGTACAAGTCAGAATAAGGAATTGCATTGGACATAATGTTTGTCACTGATGCGTCAAATTGTCCTCCAGGTCGTTACAGCGCATTCCACGAAGGTGTTCTTTCAGTTCATGAAACAGGTGGAAGTCACTTGGTCCAGGTCTGGCGAGTAAGGAGGGTGAGGAAGCTCTTCGAACCCACACTGGGTTATTTTAGACCAATCGCACGAACAAGTTGTTTGGCAGAAGTATTTGAAAAATGTATCCATGAACATGTGTTTAACTTCTTCAATGACAACAGAATTCTGAGCAATCTCCAGTCAGGCTTTATACCAGGCGATTCCACAAGCTACCAATTATAAGATCTGTATAATTTATTTCAAAGGCTCTAGACAATGGAACAGAAGTAAGGGCAGTGTTTTGTGACATTAGCAAGGCCTTTGATAAAGTTTGGCATGAAGGATTACTTTATAAGTTATCTTCATGTGGAATTCGAGGAAAATTGTTGAAATGGTGTGACAGTTATCTATCAAACAGAATACAAAAAGTGGTTATTAATGGTAAAGAATCAAGGTTAAAATCTATCACGGCAGGTATTCGACAGGGATCAGTCCGAGGACCATTATTATTTTTTATCTCTATAAATGACCTGGTTGATACGTCACTTTATATTATTGTCGATGATCCTAACACAGCAGCGATTAATTTAAATGTTGATCTAGGAAGGATATCCGTATGGGCGAATAAATGGCAAGTCACGTTTAATCAACACAAAACTGAAACCATAATGTTTTCAAGAAGAATTAATTCGAATAAAACCTGTTCTCAAAATGAAAGATACTCCAATAACAGAGGTCTCATCGCACAAACACCTAGGGCTAAATTTACAGCAAGATGGCTACTGGTCAAATCATATAGATAATATGGTAGATAAAGTAATGATTAACTGCTTTAGAACTTTCAAATACCGCCTGTCCAGGAAAACGTTATAGAATATATATTGGTATTGGAAAGGCTAAATGTTGACGCACTGAGAACAATATGTAGAGCTACTCGTGGTACCAACCACGAGTCTCTATACTCTGAAACTAACCTTACACCCTTATCCAAAAGACGGCAATCTCATAAATTAAAAACATTTTACAAAATGGTTAAGAAGTTGGCCCCTGAATATCTATGTAATCTTGTGCCTCCTAATGTCTCAGCGGGCGCACGTTACAATTTAAGAACTTCTTCACAGCTACAGACTGTAAATGCTAGAACAGTTAACTATCACAAATCATTTTTACCCGACACAGTGCAAATGTGGAATGAATTACTGGAAAATGTTCAGTCAAAATATACTGTAAATGACTTCACTAAATGTATCACCACGACAGAAAATCCTAAGATATTTAGTTTTAACTTAGACTATGGTACCCGTTTCTGTCAAATTATCCATTGCAGCCTCAGATTAGGATGCAGTGATTTAAATGCACACAAATATCATAGACATATTCATGATTCTACTACCTGCTTCTGTGGATATCATTATGAGGATCCTACACATTACTTCTTTTCATGTCGCAACTACTGCAATCTTCGGAACAATATGTACTACTATATAAAGGGATATGACTTGGATTCAGTTTTATATGGAAATGCTACAACATCTACTGATACTAACCTTGCTATTGTACAATCTGTCCATTTGTTCATTGCAAAATCTAAAAGATTAAAAATCTTAATATGTCTTCTAAACGATTACATCGATCTAATAGTTGTTTGTATGTGTGATACGCTGGTATGCTGTTTGTTTATGTACCGATATATGTATGTGTGCATTTATGTATTTGTGAGTGACTTGTATATCATCATAATATTTGCAACAGTAGGTACAATTAATCTAAATCTATTATCTTATGTACAATTTACTCTCATTAATTGTTAAATGTCCCTTGTAGGGAGGGGTGTTTAAATAGGTTGAACCTGTTCACCGATCCCATTCCTTTTTCATGGAACAGGACAATCTTAAAGAAGTAAAAAGCGACGTTTCGGTATCGATACTTATACTGTTGCCAAGCAAGATTGTCCTGTTCCATGAAAAAGGAATGGGATACATTTTTCAAATACTTCTCCCAAACAACTTGTTCGTGCGATTGGTCTAAAATAACCCAATGTGGGTTCGAGAGCTTCCTCACCCTCCTTACTCGCCAGACCTGGCACCAAGTGACTTCCACCTGTTTCATGAACTGAAAGAACACCTTCGTGGAATGCGCTGTAACGACGTGGAGGACAATTCCAAATTTGACGCATCAGTGACAAACATTATGTCCAATGCAATTCCCTATTCTGACTTGTACCATGTGTTCCCGTGGTTTTTTTTCAGGTGAACAATTGACTTACCTTTGCATTTGTTTTTGACGGGATGTATATAGTTGGATCCTACATCATATAATCTTCTTGTGAGAATATGGGATTTTTTTAAAGATATTTAAAATAAAAATATTAATGCTTTAAAATATTACATTCGTGCCACAATGTTCCCTCAAGTGTTCATTAATCGTTGGAATATCACATCACCCATTTTCGAGCATTCCCTGCACCCAAACAATGCTTCAAGGTAAGGTGGTACATTAGAAAGCCCCTCAAAATTCCTCTCTCCATGTTGTGGGAGTTTGTTATCGCCTGTGTCTGTGACTCTGTGTGTGTGAGTGAGTGAGTGAGTGAGTGAGTGAGTGAGTGAGTGAGTGAGTGAGTGAGTGTGAGTGAGTGAGTGAGTGAGTGAGTGAGTGAGTGAGTGAGTGAGTGAGTGAGTGAGTGAGTGAGTGAGTGAGTGAGTGTGTGTGTGTGTGTGTGTGTGTGTGTGTGTGTGTGTGTGGTGTGGTGTGGTGTGGTGTGGTGTGGTGTGGTGTGGTGTGGTGTGGTGTGGTGTGGTGTGGTGTGGTGTGTGTGTGTGTGTGTGTGTGTGTGTGTGTGTGTGTGTTGTATACACTATACGTATATACCAAATGTCAGAACAAGCAAACCTGGTTCTTTAATTAACACAAACTGACAATATTTACTAGCACATTTAACTTTTATCAGTATATGTTATTTTCGCTTCAGAGTTGTTCACATCATACATGTATATTGTGTTATTTTTGCCACACTGAACTGATCATTCTAAACATAATGTAGAAACTGTGTGTCATGCTGTGATTTGTTTCATTGTCATGATATGGATAAACACTGCGTTATTACGTATGCCAGCAATATATCGACAGAATACGTCTACATGTAGATGCACCAGATTACACGTTTACATTGTACTGATATGGGACATAAAATCCAATTTAGCGCGACAGAATAATGCTTCAACTACCGCCCCACACATTCATAAAAGCATTCAATATCTAGAGAAAACGCAAAGTTTATTTGTCTAACCCTTGTTTACAGTTTAATAGACAATATGTGAAATATGTTATGTGAGATGTGTGACTGAGTATAATAACCTGATCCTGGTATCATACTAACAGGGCAAAACGGGGAAAATCGTATTTGCATAATCAAAACATATCACAATACAGGTAGCTAAGTCATCAGTTATAACATTGTGGCCACGTGACCAAACATGCAGTTAAAAGGGTATGTCAAGGTGTAGGAAACCATGGATGCATTGACGATAATTAATTACATTACACATTAATTTCCAACGATTACAAGCTGTCTTCATGGCCGTCTGTCTGATTGTAATACCCCGTACAGAATGCGAAAAACGTGTTTGACTTCTAATATTTGAGGATCTACTAACACAAGGTGTCACCCACGGAAAGACCCATATTTAATAGTAGGTTTTCATATACACTACACGGGAATTGAGGACATATGTGCAGATGCGTATGTAATAATCAGTTTTGTAGTAGTAATGCACTTCAAATTGTTGTCGACTTTAACCGCGTGGCCACACTTATCAGGGTGTCGCTCCATACATGTGTGTGTTGTGAACAAAGTACAATATGCCATTTGATATGATCGACCAGTGTCAAGTGACATTTATCAAACCACTGCATAAGTATATGCAAGAGCATATAAGTAGATTTATTCAAGACACGAGACACCACGCAAATTAATAATAAATCCAACTTTCATAACTCCTTTGACAGGCATTTAGAAGTTGAAGTACAAAGTAAGGATAAGAATTTATGGATGAACAACTTCTTAATTACAATTAAGAGCGACGTTTCGGTGTAGGTTCGTCGTAGGTGTAGTGAAACGTCGCTCTTAATTGTAAATAAATAAAGAAGTTGTTCATCCATAAATTCTTTTCCTTACTTCCAACTTTCATGTAAAAAAAGAATATTTAATGAGAGGATTATTGCAGCAGGAATATTTTACCAACAGGTGTTTACATGTATTTATCAAACATTACAATTTATCAATTCCTTCACACTGTAGCATTACAGTAAAGATTGTACATTTACATGTATGAAGAGTATGGCCGCGGTGTTATAGTTCCATAAAACCTTTAATTAGTACCACAGAACAACAAAATAGTTTTAGTAGGAATCCGCGAACTTATCCGCTGATTATTCGCAGTTTTACTGCAGAACACGATAACAAACTTGTACGTTGTTGTGTAATGTCGGCGCTTTGATATCTTTGCAAAGCATTTTAGACGGTGTCACACGATAGTGTGTGTTAGGCCTCTATTTATTGTGGAGGGTTGTTATAGGCTGCGTTCAAACTTATAGTAGGGCTCCCTACTTCATTGCAAGAACAAATTAAACCCGACAGCAGGCAATGTCAAAAGGGTTACACAACTTTACAATTGCTTACTGATTTGGGCGAATTGAGTTGTCGGGTAGACGTTGCTGTATTCTTTCGTTGATTTATATGCTCGTCTAGTAACATCGTCATTAAAGGGGTATAACCTGCTGTAAAATATCAGGATTTTCAGTGATCCATTCATATTTATTTAATCACGATTTTACCTTTCACTTAATTTTTGTGTGTCAGATACTCGAGACGTTGATGTTATAGATTTACATACATACAGTGTAAAATATGATCTTTGCACCATTTTATAAACATTCCCCGCAACGTCGCCATTTGAAGTAATTTAAAGTGAACATATTGTCAGTAAATGCTTTATCGTGTGACTAGATTGTCTGGTTAAGACTTCCTATAGCAAGGTAGTCCGGCGAAAAAACATCTATCACCCAAACCCTCTTTGCTGCATTTTGTTTTTAATCTTTACATAATAATAATAATAATAATAATAATAATTGGATGTGTATAGGCTGTGAAAGCTGGGTAGGGTGTGAATATGAAACCCGGGTGCCTGTTTTAATACTGTATATATGACCTGGGGTCTGTAAGAAAGACAAGGTCTTCAGTCAAAACCCAGCTCCCATGCAAATGTATAAGAACGCCACCCACATACATGTATCTATTCCAAGATGGCGGACTCAATATGTTCACTGAGAGAGTCTATATATAGACTCCCTGGTTTGCTGAAGACAGTTCCCAGTCTTAGTGGTTCCAAGTGCTGTGTTAAAGACGTAGGCTGTTACTAGATAGCCACACCAATATCTATCCGTATGTTTACACACTGCATTCATTAAATCCTCAATAAATATTTTATGATAATGAAAATTAGGCCCCGCCTCGCTCTACACCTGATTGTACGAGCAGGATCGCGCCAGGGTACAATAAAGGACTGGTGCAAGGCAGACATTGAACGTTATCAGCTCAGGTGTTTATGAAAAAAGGACCTAAAGGCCTAAAAAAAACGCCTATCCCGTATTTACAAAGCGAATTTCGCAAGAAGTTCTGGCTGAAAGCACACGCGCAGCTAACGTGATACAGACCACTGCAGGACCAACTCCTGTCACCATGGGCCGAGATTACTGGCCGTTCGTGCTCACCTGTGTGCTGGGTTTCCTCAACCTTCCATTAACGACAGGTAATCTCATAATTATGATCACTATATGCCTTCTAGGACAACCTGTGTAATATGTACCGGCATGTAACCGTCTGACCGCCCATGGCGGGCTAGGTACAGGGTTTACTGGATGTACAGTCTTCGACAAACGAATAGTGAGTCTGTGGGATATTTATAAATATGTAGGTCAGGCGTAGGAGTATTGATCAATGGATGATGTGATGCGTACAACTATGGCATCTTTTTTATGCAGGGATCTGCCTAGTGAGCGACTATAGCAGGGGATGAAACTCCCAAAAATTTCAGCCAGACCACAGGACTGGTTAGCTGAAATACTTGCCCACTATGTTTCTCAGGATCATTTAATCAAAAATATGAAAACTGATTGCTTGTAGCATAAGCGCATCGCTAAATGTTAGGTTGTCTAAAAGCTAACGGGGTTTCTTTTTGGTTACATTTTATCATTCATCTTTACATGTGGATTAATGCTTATCATCGGGAAATATTTAGAATATTTTCACCTTGAAATATAACCCGACCGTCGGGCAGGGGGATTTGAAAAACTGGCAGCCCGAGCTGAAATCAACCCGTCTCGGACGGTCGGGCAGGCAGGTATTTCGGACGCTGCTATAGTGGATTATAGTATATAGTGTGTACCGTAGTTGATGCAATTTATCCCTCTTCTACTCTAAAGCTTTAATTACAATGTATAGAATATAGTATGTTTTTTATGTATATATAATATGTCTAAGCTGTTTATATAGTGTACGCTTTAGCGTTATTTAAAGTAGTGTATGCATCAGTGTATAGATTTGTTAAGGGAAACAGTTATTGGGAAACGGGGAGAAGAGGAGAGGGGATGAAGATTTTTTGTTGGAGTCTTTATTTAACTGCTTCAAAACATCCAGTTTATTTTTTACAACACATGTTTTCAACTGTATAGTTGTTGGCAAAATTATTTTTAGAAAATGCCCATAAATTATATATAAAGATCGCTCTTAAATACATAAATACACACACACACACACACACGCACACACACACACACACACACACACACACGCACACGCACACACACACAAACACACACACATTCACATTCACATTCACATTCACATTGATTGTTTCATTAAATGTATCATCGAGTATCAGTAAGAAACTAGAAATAACTGCCTTTGTTCTGAAAATCTCACCAAGTTTCAGCTTTCGCCTCTTCCTTTGTGGAATGAGGTTTCACATTTGTAAAATGATCTCTCTTATCTGTGCTCTCACCCCCTGCAGTTTTCCCGTCCAATATTGCCAAGCAGGTCACCCACAAGGAGGAATACGGCCCTCCCTCATTCCAGTTGTACCGTGCCTAGCACAATATGTTGTGGTGCCTTGCAGTGGCCAAACATTTTGGATTTTTAAAATTCAGTAAATTCTCTCACAACTATCGTCAATATGAAGTATGGTAACGTTCCATATTATAATGTTCACGTCCCATTCACTGAAAGTAATAATTTCAATATGAAACCAAACACATCATATTGTACAATGTTCCCGCAGAAATACAACATGCGTCCATTTTCCTACTGTGATGAAACCTACAACATAGATTAGTTGTTTAATACCTCTGTCAAGGCGATGTTCCCCTTCATGTACGCCCGAAAGCCTTCTTACTCAAATACTTGATTGTACATATGCTTGTGACGAGTTGAAACGTTCATCCTCACACGAGCATATTGTCATGCTTATAACAGAGTCGAAATCGTACAATGGTCCCCCCTTTTGGCAATGATTGTAAAATAGTTTTGTCGCTTTTATTCCCTATGTGTGAGCAGACAAAGGTTCGGTATGCAACTTATAACAATCATCTTGTTATATTTAATGCAATGATTTGGGATTCCTGAATGGAAGAAGGTGCAATGATGACTTGCAGGTTTTTTAATATAAACATGCCAATTAGCGATATTTAACTCTGCTTATTCATTCAACTTAGATTATACTTATATGTAAATATCTCCATAAAAGCGGATGTTGCTTTTAAATATTAAATTCCTTCAATATTAAGATACTATTTTTCAAAGTATTACATACAGGAAAGGGATAATTAATTATATGAACTAAATAACTTTACAGTAAACTAATTAACTCTATTTATTACACAATCAAGTACAAAATGATACACAACTGCAACACATAATCGAGAAATATATATTTCAAAATATTCAAACAATTTATAGTTTGATGTACTATGCCCGGACAACCAATAAGCAGCTGTTAATGGGATTGTTATGCCCTTTAGTTAGTTTGTGGGAATTTATTTAACAATATATTCCTCGATTGATATCTAACACTTGATGTGAACAGGTAAATTGGATAACTTGATCCGTTAATTAATTGTAGCCGGTGTAACCGATAGGGAAGGGCATGCTTACCCTTTTCGGGAACAACTGGTATCATCACTGTTTCATAGATCCATTCAATATTTACCACTATTTTGCCTCCCCCCTCCCCCAATGGAATGTGTTTGGTCCGATAATCGAGACTGTTTATTCTCTTCCTTTGACGTTCTATATTCATATTGTGGGACCGTGGACATGGTAGAGGATTTCATTATTGTCGCAATAATATGTTTTCACAATCTGTTACCCATGTGATCAGAAACAAGAGAGAATTTATTATTGAATAGGTAAACTAGTGTACATGCCACGTCAACTCAACACTAGAGAATAATCAGTCTCGATAATCTACCGAAACAGATTCCACTGGGCGTAAGAGGAAAAATAGTGGTGAAATTTATATGTATGAGTCACTGGAAATCAAAACACCTTCATGGAGGCGACGCTGACAATACGGTGATGAAACCGCGATGACAAATAAACAAGTCTATTCTAAATACCATCATTATGTTTATAGCAATATATGTAATGGGGCAATATTTTATGCGGTCACTTCTCGAAACATACAATGTTCTCTCTGAAGTTGGAGCCAAAGAAATTTCTTTTCCTCGTTGCTTTTTGTAATTGACACGGGTATTGATAAATTCTGTAACGGTTAAGAGACTGTGAATATAGGTTTTTGTGATAACCTGATATTTATAAAAATGTAAGCTGATTTGCGCTCACTGCAGCATCATTGTCAATCAAAACGTAAAAACATGGTTGCTATGTTCACAAGTAAAATTGTCGCATATCTAATTATCAACTTTTTGTTGACTGTTATCGATTGTTTTACAATGTAAATGATGGTAATCCTATGATAAGGGTATGTTATTTACATCAGCACTTTTATCTTCTTTTGTATTTACATAACAGCTACACCATGCGGTGGGCTAACTGCAACGACTGAAAAGAAGCTCCTTACCTCAGAAGGGTATCCTATCAAATATGAACCGTAAGTATTTTTTAAATGAATCAATTTGCACATTGAATAGCTATAGAATCCTAGAAAGGACATCGCCCTTTAGATCCAACAGAACCATGTTGTTTGTTATAAGGAAGACACTGCCTTGTGTTCGTGCCTTTACAATGTTACGAGACAAATACTGCTGTCTGCAATCTAATTGTATAAGAAAATACACAGGATATCTTCACGTCGATACGTATTTTTGGGGACAGTGAGATTAATCAAGGAAGTGTATGTTCATGTGGTATGGTCAAGAACCACGTTATCAATTCACAAATATACTCAACAACAAAAGTTCCTGTGACACCAATATTTTAGTGTATTTTTCAAACAAGTAAAGTTTGGTTTTCAATATTGTAGTATATGTATGGAATCAAGTCACACAAACGCAACTGCTACCGAAAAGCATGCATTCCATGCAAAAGTTTACTTTTATGCAAGCCCCATGCATTTCACTACCAAGGAATGGGTATAAAAACATGAGCGTTAACGGGATTCCATATGCATTGTTTAGCATTACGCAATTATTCAACATTATGAAATGCCACACCTGTCCGAAAATGAGCGCCTGCGAGCCATTGGTATGCTTGAAGCAGGATCGAGTCAATGTGTTGTTGCAAGACAATTTAACGTCCACAGAAACACCATTTTTTATGGTAGACAGGTGGAGGAGGACATTTCCAAATTTGACGTATCAATGGCCAAAAGAACGCCAAATGCAATTCCATATTCTAATGCATATCATAACACATATACTTGTAAATAGCGAATTATGCGAACTTTACACTACACAGCATATGCACAATCATTTGCACCGTAGAGTAATAACTAAGCATGCAGGAAATAAAATATACATAATTACAAAATTATTTTAGTCACAATATCTATAAGCAAATATTCAATAAATATCGACAACATGGTAATTCAAATGGGTCATACACAAAAGTCGCCACAATATGCTTCATTGAAAAGTCTATTCCACTAACTAATAGTTACAATTTCAGTTCACAAACATGCTCGTGGAGTCTCCAGGCATCTAACGCTACCAAGAATGTAATTCTAGAAACAGTGGACATGATGATACAACCCTCAACTGGTTGTGTTGATGATTCAGTCAGCATATATGACGGTAAGAACAGTATACCCCGTGGGGATCCCGGGATCCTACATGTAGTATGCTGCTCGTAAGAGGCGACCAAATGGATCGGGTGGTTAGGCTCGGTGTCCTCGTACCATGACGGCGTGGTTTGTGGGTCACGATATCGATTACTGGGTTATCTGGTCCAGACTCGCAACTTAACAGACCACCGTCAGACAGCTGGAAATTACTACACTCATATGTCTTCTATATTAGATGTCTCGTATGTGACTAAACATGAACGTAAAAACACAATTAGTATGTGCCAGAAACTGACGTCATTACCTTTCGCTAAATTGACAAATTGACTGATAAAATTGAGCATTATGCTAAAATTAACTATTGTGTCTTTGTACCATTACCTAAGTACAGTGAATGAGTTAGCGATTGTTGATCAACAATATTACCGTCATTATACGTCGGCTTTAAACAATGATGTTTTCATCATTTTATGTGATGAATGGAAAAGTCAAAATCATGTTAACGAAGTGTTATATAACGAGGCAGTCAGTAATATAAAAGCTATATTCTTGTTACATGTACAAATGTCTTTACACTACAAGCTCTGACTGTAGCGCATATACATTGTTTACAGTTCTTATATGCTCTGCAATAGAGAAATCACTCCCCGCGTGTGATTCCGAAACGACGACATAAAATTAAAGCATTTATAATAATCAATATTATAATTATGTTTTAATTGGACATCGTCGTATATATCAGCATTTTTATTAATAAATCATTGAGTACTTAGTTCTCAATATTATTTTTAAAAATGTTATTATTGTGGTAGCTTATATTTTTTTATTCCCCCTGTGCTTCCATGTGTTATGCGTTGAAAGTAACATTATTGATTTTGAAATATGTATTATATAATTTCACTACAGGTGACTCCAACTCTGCCACTAAGCTACACACGTTATGTGGAGTGGATAGCCTTGTGACAATAATGAATGAAGCGTGTTTACAAAATCGTATCGAAAGTACTGTCTTGTTTTTAAATGTTCAAAAGAAGACAAACGACGACATAAAATAAAAGCATTCAATATTATAATGATGTTTTAACTGGACATCGTCGTATATTTCAACATTATTATAATCATTGTTTACTAATTTCGCACTTTTATTTTCAAAATGTTAGTATGGTTGCAGCTTGTATTTATGTATTTCCCCGATACTTCCATGTGTTATGCGTTGAAAGTAACATTATTGATATTTATATATACATATTATAATTATAATTTCACTACAGGTGACTCCAACTCTAGCACTAAGCTACACACGTTATGTGGAGACAGTCGTGTGTTTGTGACCTCATCGGGACGGAACATGTACCTTGAATTTCGTTCCAACAGTATTCTGGAGACAAGAGGCTTCCAGTTCCGATACTACCAGGGAGACAGTATGTAATTCCAAAGTCATTATCAGCCATTAAACACACGCTTCTCAAATGTTCAGAATACCACGTCAGGTCTTATGGCAAACGTTCACCCATGTATGCAGACAGTTAACTCTTGACGAATATATATTGCGTCGACTGTTGCGATCCACATTTGAACCCTTGAACAATTTATGTTATTGTTCATGACATGGGAATCACGCAATGTATGATTAAATGCCTATTTCATTGATAAGTTAATGTTCCTTGACGATATAGTATTGATTCAATATAATCATTACGCCAGTACTTCTCTGCTCATGTAGAGAAATATAAAGATTTTTTCATGATCACAAAACCCCTTTTGGATGTAAATGAGAACTTCGGTCCCGAACAGTCTATATTTTCATTTTATCCCATTGTGATTGATTCTAAACATCAAACTCTAAATGTACCCTATTTTTCGTTGAAGCTTCAATAGTTCTGATGTTTAATATGGTTGAAAGTCCCAAACAGGCTTTCTAAGATTTTTCAAAAATCTTAATTTAAAGAAATTCACAATTTCAGAATAAAATGAATTGTTCTTCATGAAGTAAAATGAATGAGGAATTTCATTAACCATAAAAGATGAAATGCAGTTTGAAAGTGAAGGAAAATTTGACCTTGTTTGACCTGATAACCCATCAACACGGCACCAAGATACCCGGGTCTTGACAAGGTGTTTGTTGTATGTGTACAACAGTTTGAATATTGATTACTTTTTAGTCCAAGTATTACAGTCAAATTATGAATAAATTGTTAATATCACAGTACCTGTAACAGTAGTTGTTGAATATATCTGACTTACCTTGTTTTGAATTATAATATTGGCATCAGTAGAGTTAATATAAGGAAAGTACAAGTCTATAAATGCTTGAAGATGAATTGTTATTTTCCTCAGAAGCAACGCCTTGCACGTTCACGTTCACTGCTACACGGGATGTGAAGACCTTCAACTCACCTGGCTACCCCATTGCATACTTCAAGTAGGTTGTACTGTCCGAGGAGCAAGCATGATTCATGCTTACTTTTATTGCAATTGTATATATTCATACATCTACTTTGTGCCTTCAATGATATACTCGTAAATGTTCTGTAAAGTAAATTTTGTTTTCTATTTTGATAATTAGATGTCTCAAATTACATCCCTGTTCTGATCAATATAACCTAGCTTTATGACACGTTGCTAGGCAACAACAGGTCAAGTCAACATTCACTCAGTCCACTATGATGTTTTCGCATGGTAGATAATCAATTTATCAATGAAATAACTCTGATGACGTTGTGAACTGATACCAAGGGCACACAATGTACAATCATTCAACATACATAGAATGAAAATGTGTTGGTAATGGAAATGTGTAAAACGTGAACACAATTGAATAGTTAGGTACACTGAATGAGTGATTTAATGAAGTGTTACGTCGCACAACATACATTGAGTTAATTGTTTGAACATTTAAACTCACCTAACCTAACGTTGAATTATTATACATTCGTTTAGATTCGAGCTTTGTCATGGCTTTGCAATTTGGTTAATTTATATTTCAGAATATCATGTGATTTATTTTACAGCGATGTATCCTGTGAATATTCAATTCAAGCGGCCGATGCGTCAGATAGTCTGCAATTGAGGTTTACAGACGTTGATGTTCAATCATCTCAAACTTGTCGTTACGACAACATCAGCGTGGCAAATATAAGTAATGCATTCAAACATTTCCGGAACTGAACTTTTTCCTGGTACAGAACTACATGTAGTCTAACCCCCCTAATTCAGTGTAGAGATACGTGTGTCTAATTGTGTCAGGTTCCGCTGGTTACCGATTGATTCGCCCTGATTGTGATCCTTGGTTTGTCGGCACCATCGAGGTTTTACTTGCCTTTGTCACGGGTGCCGCCGATGAGACAGGATACCTATTTACAAAACCTGTATCATCACCACTTGACGTACAATGGATTCTGCGTTTAGCATTCCCCATCGTACAATTCCCACGCCATTGAATACTGAAATATTGTCAAAGTTCCAAGTGTCAACAAAGGATAACTCATTAAAGTCGGTCATTGACTATATCAGAATATATCACTTATGTAATCTGGAACACTTATAGTATACAATCAACGCAACCCTGATACACATGTTTGACTGCAATGTGCCGGCAATTGCAGATATAAATATATTAGCTGTGTAACAACTGAGACACAAAGCACACTATCCGACATATGCATAAGTCTATGTTGACTCAGTTTCAGGTGGAGATGACCCAGTTGCCACAATCTGTGGTATGCCGAACTCAACCTACCAAGGAGGAAACAACATGAAGGTCACATTTACCTCAGATGGGTCGAGGGTCAATAAAGGATTTTCAGTTGGATATCGGAGCGTCCCGAGTGAGACATTTATAATTCATTAAAGTAAATCAAAGTAATCATGTTTTTAAACGACACTTATGAGTGTTTTTATTATATATGAACATTGTGCAAAGGTCTTATCATTGTAATAACTTAAAATCATTAATTCTTATAAAACAATAGTGTTTATTCATTATGTTTCTTCTTGTTTATTTACTTATTTTCCTTTTCTATATATTCTATTACCTGTTTCCAGTCAAGTACGTACACTTATCCCTGCATGGCAACGTGATGTGGGATGGTCTTTGACATACATTGGAAGAAAAAGCAACATTTCCAAAATTGGAAAGAACATGTATAAACTGACCTTTCTTACATTCTGTCAGGGAAAAACTGATCTGTGCAAACTTCCAAAAGTAAAACTTGGAAATATCCCCTTTCCGAGCTTTTAAATAGGGTACTTTCGTTTAGAAATCCCATATTTCCCAAGGAGGAAATGTATGGAAAGAGTGCTATTTATGCCAGTGATGTTGCAGGGGGTGTTAACATAGTATGTAGCGATGGGAATCTATTAGACATCTCGTTTATTTTATGTCTTTCAGAGGACGAATGTTCAATACACGCCCAGGCCACAGATATGGACGCGTTTATCCTGTCTCCAGGGTACCCGACTCAGTACTACAGGTAAATTTGTACAGTAACATTATTTGCTATGATCGTTTCTTGTCATGTTACCTTCTTTGTAACACCTATATACAAGCGTGGGGAATAATAATTACATTTACATTTCGTGGTTCAGTTTATAAGTGAAAGAACATATGAATATTGTTTAATGCCGCAGTCACATTAGTATTCCAGCTATGTCGCGGCGGCATGTCATTAAAGAAGTCTGGGCCAGCCCAGTTAGTCCCAGAACCACCGGGTCCTCTTTAATTGACTCTCTGTTTAATGATAATGAAGAAAGTCCTTGTGATAAACAGTGTTAGATGGTGCATGGTATACATGTAGGGTGGATAAATGATAGATGAATGGATTAAAGAGTACTTAAATTATTATCAAAGATAGGGACATGTGAACTCCAAAGTAACTGTGAATGAATTAATAACTTCTATTATGGAGTGTATGGCCTGACAGATTGCACACCTATCCCTGTACATTGAAAGAAAAACACTTGCCAAGATCAATACAGATAAATACCGATTCAATTAAAATCGTCTCTCCCTTTCAAACTTCTGTCTACACTTTAAATACAAATACCCCTGGGTTTCACAACAATTTGTGTAAACAACACAAAATCTTTAGAAAAGAGCCCATCTTCAGCCCAAATAAAACAAAAGAACATAATACATCTCACATAAACGAAATGATGTGCTTCAAGAAAAATCTCAAGTTGATGAATACGAACATGGTCACAGTTACTCTTGCCTTTGGTTACAGCTAAATAATTGTCTTTGTACCTTAAACTTAACGGGTTTACAATGGTAAATAAATACCCCTCTGTTGGGACAGGAAAAGAAATCATACGTAATCCTTAAGGGTAAGATGCATACTTAAACCAAGTCCCACATTGCGACTATATGATACCTATTTAAGCAACAAACTTTAGGTACCGAGGGACAAAATGTATTCTGGACGGATTATATACACATAGATCAGTGGATTATTTACGCGATGGATGAAGAATAACATGGATATGTGGCGATACACCTTGATTCAATGAGTAGGATTCAAATGTTTCTATTGATATTAATGTTTATAAAGGTCATATGCTAAATGGATAAAGGATTGTATAGCGGATAAATGTGGTGGTATCATTTGCCTTTTCCTTGCAATGTAACTTATCTTCAATTGTGTAAATATATGACACAATGAATACACAATGTCAATATAAAGTGGTCAGATGTAACAAATGTTATATTTGGGATAAGACTTTCTTAGTAAAGTACCGAATCTCGAACATTTGTTAGATTTGACCACTTTCCAAATGACATTGTGTATTCATAGCTTTCGGCCATGGGAGCCGTGCCAATTTCCACTTGTCTGAGGGGTACACAAAGTACGTGATCTAGACTACCAGTTGTTGGATTTTCATTTTTGTGGAAGCCTCGGTGGCTGAGTGGGTTAGATCACTGACTTTGTGTGCTGGCGAGTAGGTGCCTCACTCTGGCAAGTGTGTGTTCGAATCCTGGACGGGACTCAACCTAAGAAAGAAAGAGAATCTCTACTTTACTCAGAAAGTGTTATTCCAAATATAACATTTGTTACAATATATGACACGTTTCAATACAAGCAAGAATTACATTTTGAACTTTATGGCGAACGCGATTCCTAGAACATAATTGTCCAGCCAATGTATGAGATTCCACCATTACCTGACCATTACCTCGATTTTCATAGTTTGGGCAATGCACTAGACACTGAGCCACATTGTGAAGCTGATTACAAACTGTACGATTTGCAGAAGTGTCGGGGTGTGCACCAAGACCACAATGTCCGAAACGAAGTCTTCTCTTTGATTGTCTCGAGATATTTGTTATTTATTAATAAAAAGATCGATGCCATAGAGATATTGTGTAAATATAGCTTTGCTCTTCCAGCAACATGAACTGCCGTTGGACCATCGTGGCGACGGATAACGATGCTACGGTCGAACTGGTTGCTGTCATCTCCGACATTGCCGACACTTCCCCATCTTGCAGCAGTGACAAAGTGTCTGTGATGGACTGTACGTTTCTATGTTAATGATGTTAATGGATAATTACATTTGATAAATTTAAATTTAAAACAATATTCAAGAAAATGTCAGTTCCGTAGGTGGTGATATGATCATAAGAACAGTATCTATTCAACGATGTCACTCAGTGATTGGCTGGGCACTTGCCGCGTTTTCGGGATTTCGGAATCTTTGGTTAACTGTTAAAAAACAAATGCAGGAAGTATAAGGACGAGAGTAAAGAGGGATCTCGCAGTTTCATTCTTTACACACATACACATATTTATCATATATCGGATTTTATGAATGCTAAAAAGAGGAAATGTGAAATGTGTTGAAATATGGTCGAAGGTTTGCACGTGTACATGTAACATTGTCTTCCCATTCCTGAGCTGATGGACAGTGGGGGCATTATAGGTTGAAACATTTTGGTCATGTCGAAAATTGTGACACACATATACGTGTATACACCATAGACCGGATTTCGTGAATGAAAAAGGTGCAACTGTCAAATGTGTGAAATGTGTTAAACAGGTTTATATTTTATTACCATCTTCAGCTGATATGACAGAACTGGGGACATTCTGTGGAACGAACAAACCTACATATAATAGTGCAGGACCAAACATGACTGTTGTCTTCACGACTGATGGCACCAATCAGGCAACAGGATTTCGTCTGAAATACAAGCAGAAACGAGGTGCGTCATGCTTCATTGAATCTGTCACATTATAATAAGTTTTGTTTGTAAAAGAAATAAGGAAAGAATACGTAACACGTGTCATCGCGGACACTGCATATATCCACTGTATTTCATCTGTTGAGGGATTCTTATGTAAACACAACACTTCTCAATAATTTTCCAAAGACACAATGGACAGCCCATATGTGGATTAAGAAGCCTCAATCAGATAAATTTGTAGGATGCTTTACTTTATGAATTTCAAATGTATTTACTAAAACAATTTATAAGGTAATTAAAATTCAATTCATCGTTGCGTGTACATTTGGAAAATGATGAAGGAGTAAGCATATACTCCGAAACGTTGTGTTGCTCATAATAAAGAATTTGACATCAATTTATTCTCTTCCTGATGTACCAATTTGTCAAATGCACGGCTGGTTTCTCGTTATCAAACTTGTACAGAAATAGATATAATAAGAATTTGGTTTAAATGTCAGAGCTATTTTTAGTGTAAATGTAAACCAACAGAACGCAGCAGTATTAGGGGCCCAGATGCGTAGCGTGACTATAGTAATCGTACAACAATACAGATTGTCAGACACATTAACACCTTTTCGTTTAGTTTTTTTTCATTCCTTACTGTTTTAAAGTTATTTGCTGTGTATCTCTAAATCTAAGAAACCCAACAAATTAACGTCTTCACCCAAATTATCAGCATCCCATTCTGGTCCGGTGTAGTTATAGATTATGTGGGGACACGGATGGACTGTACATGTTGCGTACCTTTGGGGTACGAGAAACCGATTGCCATGGATTCGAGTACAATGTTCTCCCTGCTTATGTTACTAGGTTTATCACCACCAGAGCCGTGCCCGTGTGTTTAGCCATATAGATTACACTACTGATTTCACTAAGTTTATTCCCTTTGCACGTGACGCAACCCGTGTGCTCAGTGACGTTGTACTTCGTGTTACATCTTGCGATTGACCAAATTTAATCATACCGTACTATGATGTTTGCAGCCGCACCGGCAACGTGTGGAAGGACATTAACAGCTTCAAATCCTGAGGAACTGCTTTCGCCAGGCTACCCAAGAGCATATTTGAGGTATGTTACAAGAGGTCAGTCAGGTATTCCTGTGTTGAATTGATCAGCAAATGCTGATAAATGAACGCTTTGGGAGATTATTAATTAATATTAATTCACAGGTGTTTGTTTGTGTGAGAAAGCTAGATTTAACGCCGTCTTAGCACTGGAATCGTTTTATGTTGAAGGAAAGCTCAAAATAACACGCAATTGTTTACCTCTATGGAAAACCAATGAGCAGGAGTTTGGATCTGCAAGCGGGAATCTTGGCTTTGAACCTCCTATCATAGTATCCCGACACGATCAAGGGACGCAACACTGCTACACTAATTTGCATTGGAATGTTTAACCGTCGACGGGTTTTTTCTATGTCGAGACTTGTATGTGAACAAAATGAACAAACAATTGTCCAGTAGAAGTTACTTGTCTCAATATGATCTTCGTGTTACAGGTCACAAACATGCACATGGACAATTACGGCCTATAATGAAAGCTTCGTCAATCTCAGGCTTGTTGACATTGATGTAGAAGTTAGTGATCAGTGTCAGCCGGATAGCCTCAAAATATATGACGGTAACCATTTGCATGACTTTGCATTCTATATACTCCAAGGCAAGAGTAACTGTAATACTTTAACATTATTTTCATTAACAATGGCTTTGCCTTAATGGCTTTTTATATTATCAATGGTCTGTGTACAAGGCAAATCCCTTCATGCAGAAGTATGGAATGAACAACTCCAGTCATCGCAATATGACTTACGTACAAAACAAAAATGTAAGTTATAGGTAGGTACTTCTTAATTGTTAACAGGGGGCAATTCTACAAGTCCTCTTCTCGGAACTTGGTGTGGGCAAATGAACGGTTACAGGTTACAAAGCACAGGGAATGTGATGACTCTTGTCTTCAACACTGACGACTCCAATAACGGAAGAGGATTCAACGTCAGATATAAACAAGACTCAACTCGTAAGTTTGTTTATTTGAAATCAATCTTAGTAAATTTTACGTATGAGTTCGACAGTTCGCCAAATGTTTACGTATCAAACATTGTGTTCATAAACAGCAATTCGAATAATTATTACAAATTCCTATTCCAAATTAGTGTTAAAAAGATACAGTTCTCTCTTTTTGCAAATGTATGAATGTCATAGAAATTAATGTAACAGTTACTTTCTTTCAATAACGGTCATTTCATGG